CTGGCAAAGGGGGGCCTGCGCGGTCTCCCGGTGAGGAGCCACGAGCTCCGTCAAGCTGTACATGGAGATGAGCGCCACCGGTAGAGAGATGATCGGAGCGAGGATCAGGGACACGGACTTCTTGCAAGGAGATGACATTCTCTGGATCAATTTCAGGGGAATCTACGAACTATACCAGCTGGACGCCCTCGACGTCTCTATTATGAGTTGCTGGATTTTGTAAGTATATCGTTCAGTTAGATTTCTTACTATACGTCTCCTTTAATTAATTAGGTCCTTGTATATAAGTAGACCATAGAAAATAATATACTCCCTTTTATCGTTGTAGAATGGAGATTCAAAGGGCCCGACGGCGGAGGGTTTTCGATACTGGATTCATCGACCCTCGGAAAGTAAACGTCGCAATGCTCGACCAATATCCACAAGAAACAGAGGACAATCTCGTCCATCTCCTGAAGGCGCAGCATTACAAGACGTTCATACTGTTGCCATACAACACAGAGTTAGTTTAATTTTACTGTCTTCCTACATACCAAATTTCATTCCCGTACGAACTTGCTAAGTGTTTCATATGTAATGCATCCCACGCACATTGCAGATTCCACTGGGTGCTTTTACTCATCGACCTGGAGGCCTGCACCGTCAACGTATATGACTCAATGGATAAAAAAGAGTCTACGTTTGACAAGGTTTTCGAACTTATAGACAGGTACCGTCATAAGTTCCTTTGTTAATTAAGAAAATCTTGTTATGTTAATTGCTACTACGAATCATAGCTTTAAACTCCATGTAGGGCTTGGTATCGGTTCCGTCATTTGGTCCGCGGCAAATGGAGAGAAAGACTTAGGCGGAAGTTCAAATTTCCTGTGAGTACACATGCTCTACATTTATATTTCTCCGATTCAAATACATACAAGTGTATATTAATTAGATCTCTCGTTGTTTGTCATTTATTTGTAGTGCGCAAAGCAAAAGCAGGGAACTAACTTGTGCGGCTATTACGTGTGCGAGTATTGCCACTGCCTTGCAGACCAAATCATCACCACAAGAGAGCTCGATGTACGTACAAATAAATTCAAAATTTCATTACGTAGCGATTTCTTGTTTAATTACTAATCAATTTCATACATTCATATAGTTTATTCGCATGAGGGATAACCTGACCACACACAAGGAATTTATCGCGGCGGTTCAAGAACAACTCATGGGATTCATCAACGAAGAAATCCTTGATCCCAAGGGTGAATTCTACTACGACGGAAACACAATTCACCGGTCCTTAGCTTCTGAGCTAGCAGCGAGTACTACTACGTCGAAATCGTAGCTAGCTAGGACATATAATGGATTGTAATTAATACATGACTACATATGTTTCTATATGCATGTGTACACATTTTCTATAATGTAAATATATTTTGTTCATATATATATCTATATACATATGCATTTGCATAACATATATATGTATAAATACATATATATATATGTATGCATATATATGTATTGAAACATATATATGCATGGTTTATATATATATATATATATATATATATATATATATATATATATATATATATAAACCATGCAGCAACAGGGGCATGCAAAAAAAAAAGGTCAGCTCTATCTTTAGTCCCGGTTGGTGTTACCAACTGGGACTAAAGATAGATCTTTACTCCCGGTTATTTCACCCGGGACTAGAGATAGCGATCTTTAGTCCCGGATTGGTACTCCCGGTTTGGAAACCGGGACTAAAGGGGGGTTACGAACTGGGACTGCAAAGGGTTTCTCCACCAGTGACACATGATTGGAATCCAGGACATGCCTCAACTAACTCAAAAATGACCATCACATGGAACCAAATTAGAAAGTGTGATCAGCACTTTTCAAATATATGCATTGTATATTTTTGTCATACACACTCTCTCCAAGCAGTTTCAATATTTAGATACTTTCAATTGCTAGCAAGGCTTGTTTTCTTTAGTTTGAGAGAAACATCTGCCATCATATTTTTCATTATTATTTTTTATATTTTTGGTAATACGTGATGAGCAGAGCATCCTAATATACATAATAAAAGATGTTTTTAGTTTTAAAGCGCGCGCATAGAGTGAGTGTGCATCTAAATATACACTATCAAAACCTGATGATTTTGAAGTGTAGGCAGATAGCGAGTATTTATATGTTTATGTGCAACTAAATATACACGTCAAAAAATGACCGCACAGACCATGCAAGAAATGGTTGGCGCTAATCCAAATATTTACTAAAAATATATATCTAGACTTGTTTTTTCAAAGTTATCATTCTGGATCACTGATTAAAATATAGGTGTTCAATTCATGATCATGAGCACGTGTTGTTTGAACTAAAGGCAAACAAATTTGCCCTTATCATGACAACGAAATGGATAATGATGACCTAAGGAAAAAAGAAGGGAGTATCTGATGAGCAATTTAGGCATTTTAAGGTTTGCTGCCGGAGAAGCTGCTGGCCGTCATGATTCCAAGCATGCCTCTTTGCCCGGTCAAAAGACGGCACCGGTCTTCAGGTAAAAAACCAAGAAGGGCAAGCATAATCAACAAATGGATAGAATAAACCATCCAAGTACCATCATTTGGTTGGCCATTTGGCATGCTAATCACTGCCTGACATTCTGGAGATGCTGAAAGGAAATGTTCCTGACATTCTACAACGAATCAGCCGCTACAAAACTTAAAATTTTAAAATTAATTTTAGAGCTCATTTTAAGTTGTTTTTAATGAAGTTTTTTTTCAGCATTGCTTTTAAGTCACTAAGAACGTGTATAAGTTTTATGCCGTTACAGCTTAATGTAACTTATAATCAGTGTTACAAGAAAGATAGGATGTACAGATCAGATCATTTCTACCGTCAGCAGAGATTATCATGCATGGTAAAATCATACAAGGAAAAATAATTTACTGACCACATAAATCACAAAAAGAAAAGGTTCATCAGTTTGGCAAAAAAGATGGCCAACCTGCCCCTACTTGAATAGTTCCATTATCTTATAACATTCCAGTTCATACCATGTTTTGTGTTACATTTCAAGTGCAACTGCTACAGTGCTTACCTAAACCAAACCCCAAGTGCTTCCCAGCAACACTAGTACAGCACAGTTCACATAGCATTAGCATGTCCTCTCATCTCACACTGCATCATCCATTGTGGTTTCAGATTTTCAGTGACCTGTCTTGCAGTTGCATGCAACAAAATCAGGCAGGCAGGGACAGTGAAAAGAGCAAGGAAAAAAAACAACAACGCATCAATGTTTCCCAGATTTCTTGTGTTCATGTTCAGAAATCAGAACAAGATGGAGTGCTACTACTGTTTCCCTCATCACATTGTACTACAGTGGTCAACTGCTCTGAAAAGTGCAGGTACTACTGTTTTGCCAATCTTTATTTTTTGACAATTTTTATTCTGAAATAATTACTTCCTCCGTCTCATAATATAAGGGATTTTGAGTTTTTGCTTGCAACGTTTGACCACTCGTCTTATTCAATTTTTTTTAAAATTATTATTTATTTTATTTGTAACTAACTTTATTATCTACTGTACTTTAAACATAACTTTAGAGACTTTGGAGGGAGTAAAAGTTACTAGGAGTAATATTCTGCAGTGCACAGATTCTTTCCCAGTGATCATTGATCACTTTTACCAACTCTCCTCGTGTCTTTTGCTGAAACATTACTCCAAAAAGTTTGTTCTTGCAGTGAGAGGCTCCCAGTGCAGCTGAAGATCTGACAACACAAGCCTTGCAGCAATCCAGCCCCAGATACAGATACAAGCAGCCTTCACCAGACAAGGCTCGAGGAGTAGATGGAGTAAATACTCTGAATATTTTAAACATGCAGATTTAAAGACAAGGATTTGATTCTCCATTTAAATATTTTAAAGCATGCCCATGTTGCTATACATTTCTCAGATGAGAGCAAATAACAGTTATATGTGAGTGGTTTAAAAACATTGCATTGCAGCACACTGGATAGTATTTTACTCCCAGGTTGTATGATAATTATGTCTAAAGAAGTTACTAAGCACAAGAAGCAAACAGGATAAGAAAAGAACTGTCATGTCAGCTGTTCCTGTCCACCTAATTAAACCCCAATGGGGGAGCAGTAAACATTAAACAACAACATTATTAGTACCAGGCTTGCAACCGCAAGTGTTTTAATTACTGTTTCTTGTTTCTTGCAGCATTCAGATTGAGCCAGTTTCTTAAGAGAGCCTCACCAACCAGTGTGTGCTGCCATTTATCTTCAGTTATTGCAAAGCTAGCTAACATGAACAATATAGAAAGGCAAAGCTTTATTGCAAAGCAGCAAGCATGGACCAATAGAAAGGCAGCAAAGCTCAAGACAGAGGATTGCTACTGGCCATGTCTGAAGGAAACAGGATTACAAGAGTATCTTACACAAGATTCTTGTTGGTTCATTAATATTAATCACTGCTCTTAGCCATTATCTTAGTTCTTAAATCTAAATCTAGAGATATCCTTTAGGTATTTGCAACTATATCCCCATATCATTGTTCATAACTACTTCCTCCGTTTCATAATATAAGTCATTCTATTCTTCGTTTCATAATATAAGTCATTCTAGTATTACCCATATTCATATAAATGTTAATGAATCTAAACATATATGTGTGTCTAGATTCGTTAACATATATATGAATATAGATAGTGCTAGAAAGTCTTACATTATGAAACGGAGGGAGTATATCCTTTAGGTATTTGCAACTTTACCTTTATCAGAAATATTTATGTTGGCAATTTTCTCCAGACCAGGAAAGTGTACTCCTTTGTTCTTCTGCAATTGTCATCCAGCAGTAGCATGCTGAAACTAAAGAGTAGCTTCTACTTGGGCTAAACTGGGATGAAGTTTCCCCAAGTTTAATAACAAATTTGAACCAAATAAGATAGAAAATCTAGACAACCAAACTACTTTAATCCTTGCTTCCCATGAAAAGCACAATACTTTCAGTTCTTGGATTCTTTCCACTATAATATTTGGTAGTGTCACCAACTCACCAACACAAACAGTAATCCCAAGAACACCAAGCAGAATAAAAAAAACAATAATAATAAACCATTTCTTTGGCATTCAACACTTGCATCACCATAAATTACTACAAAAGAGAGATCAAACAGCCCATTAATCCCCTTTTTTCTATACAAAAACGAAAGTCAAACATTTTATCATTCCATGCCTTCTTGGCTTCTTGCAACTACCATACATACTTACTACTTCTAATTACTCATTACTAATAAACACTTAAATAAGCCAAAGCCATGAACAGTAGAATTCCAAGAAACAGCAGCAAGAGCAAGAAATCCATGGCGGTGGCAGCGGCGGCGGTCAGGGCGTCATGACCTGGACTTGCCGGCGGCGGCGGCGGCGGCGGCGGCGGCGCCGGAGAGGCGGGAGGTGAGGCCGAGGCAGCCGAAGAGAAGCCCCTGCTGGTACGGCAGGAACGTGCGCCGCCGCATCTCCTCCACCTCGGCTCGCCTCGCCGCGTACATCCGCTCGTGCGCCGACCTCCTCCTGCCGCCCCTCGCCGCGGCGGGCGCCGGCGACCGCGGCGGCGCGATGGGCGGAGGCGGCCGCTGGTCCTTGCCCCCGTCCGAGCCGCTCCGGTGGAGGAGATCCTTCAAGAATCTCCATCTGCGGGAGCTTCTCGACGAGGAGGAGGAGGAGGAGGAGGCGGAGGCGGACGACGCCGTCGAGGAGGACGACGACGACCGCGACGCCGATGGGGCCGCCGCGTTCGCCACCGGAGCAGCAGACGGCGGCGGCGGCGGCGGCGGCGGTGGTGACAGCCATGTGCGGAACGGGGAGTGGGATCGGCTCCGGCGGCGCACGGACCGGCACCGGAGGCGGCCGCCGCGCTCGTCCCCCGCCCCAACCTCCAGCTCCTCCCGCGGCGTCTCGCCGCCGCCGACGAGCGGCAGGAGCCGCATTGGGCGGATCTGGCCGTTGTGGAAGAGCTCGTCGGCGGAGGACATCGCCGCGGGAGCAGGAGACGGGAACCTCGACGAGAAATCGAACTCGAACTCATACTCCTCCCCGTCGCCGCCGCCCTCGCCGCCGTGGTGGTGGTGGTGGTGGGCGGGGCTCGCCGGCGCGCTGAAGAAGCCGCCGGGGAAGGGGGCGTCGCGGGCGGCGGGGCTGGACGGCGCGCTGACGAACGGGGTGGAGCACGCGCTGTCGCCCCCGGTGGCGAGGTGGTGGTCGTCGCCGGAGACGGTGTCCGCCGCCGCGGCCGACATTGCGGCGGCGAGTGGGGGGGAGTGATGGGGTTGGGGAGGTAAAAAGGAAGCAGCTTTTAAAGCGCTTGTCCGACGCGGTCGGTTACTGGTTGTTTTGCGGTTTAGTCCCTGCAGAAACTGGAAATTTGTAAACATTCATAATAATGGTGTTTTTCTAAGGAGCTACTACCTGTTTTTTATTTTATTTTGTTATTTTTTTTGCGGGGTTATTTTATTATTTTTAGAAACATAGTACAAAAGCAGACGCTTATAATGTATGCATACTCATCCCTATAAATATACACATGCACACACTATCTCTATGAGCATCTCTAAAAGACTAGGCCGGTGTATCTTGGAACGTGAATATCTTTGTTTAGATTCGTAAGATCATGATACATTATATTTAATAATAGGTTGCTTTTATTTTATGGCGAGGGAAGTATTCTTCATCCAACATAGTAAAAATATATTTTCTGATTACATGGAAGATAACGAATGAAACATATAAGTGGTGGAGCCGTGGCGGAGAAAAACAGAGTCAATCATAGGCTACAAAGAATGTTTTTACTAAATATCAATAATTATTATTTACCTGTGTTGCCCTAAGAAAAGATGATAGGAATATTAACGACAGAGCTTCGACCAGCTTGAAAGTTGGTTCCACCACCGAAGCATATGGACGTACTCCATCCGTCTCATAAAAAATTAATCTAGAATTGAATCAATCTAGAATTGAATATAATTGAATGAGACATTATATAGTTTGTCCAGATTTATTATACTATATGATTTCTTATCCAATCTTATATTAACTTTTTTGGAACGGAAGGAGTACATAGTCACCCTTACAAATCATGTATTATTTTTTTCCATTTTTCTTCTTTATGGATAGAGGGAAGGATAAGTGGGATGTTACCGGGGTTTATAAAACCGCCGGTAACCACACGATTACCGTGGTTATTGGGCTTACCGCGGGGTACGGTAAAAGGAAAACCACGGTAACCTCCTTAAATTCAAATAAATTTAGAACTTTTTGAAATTTTGATAAATTTTACACGATTTCATACGGTTTGCCACGGTTACCGCGGTTGCTGCGTGGTAACTGTGTTTACCGCCGGAGCACGGTAACCCCGACCCCAGTGGTTTGGGAAACCCTGGATGTTACTCATGAATGGTGCGTTCTCTATATGATCCTTAATTTCATGCTTGTCATGAAATGGAACAATACTCGTTTGCAAATATTAAGAAAGTATACTTGTGACTTCTTCATAGATTTTCTTGTCATACTGTAATTTCAAAAAGAACAACAACTATTATATGGATTTGGTAGATAATTTCATGAATGGAAATTCAAGGAGATGAGCAAAGAGTCTCGAAAGATTAGGCATGTCGACGCCGTATGTATGTACGTATGCAAGAATTTTGTCAAGCTAGCTAGTACGTACAGCTACATGATATTTCTGCCAAGTTTTTCCCATATGTATATATATTTATATATATATATATATATATATATATATATATATATATATATATATATATATATATATATATATATATATATATATATATATTGAGGAAGTGGCCCCATTGTTTCGCTTATTCAAGGGCATATTTGCAAACGAAAAATAATTTATGAATAAAACTTTTATATACAGGTTATTAGCGATCCAAAAGTAAAAGCTGAAAAATAAACTTCGATGAAAAAAACCCCTGAAAAATAAACTTTGATAAAAGAACCTCAAAATCAAAAGTAAAAGTTGAAAATTCAAAATTTGGCTGATAAGCATAAGAGCGAATACTATAGTAGGCTACAAGTCGATTGTAAAAAAAAAAGATAGAAGGATAGCGGGCTATACATTTGTAGCCAACTGCGTTGTGTGTGTATGAGAGGTGGCACCATATATTAATGGTTTATTGATAACTATCGTATGAATGAGCTATTAAATCGGCTATAGATAATTTAAAGCTAGTAGTTAGATATACTATTAAACATGCTCTAAGACCATTCCCAACCCAATAATTAGGATGGTGTCCATAGTATTAAATAAGCTGCTATCTAAAATAAAAAATGATATGGCAAGTGAATAAATGAGGAAAGAGAAGGAAACCATGTCTTGCATGAGATATGGTTTCTACACAACATCCAAGACATCATGTGATATAAGTACCATTAAATTTTAATATGAAATAGTAGAGGCTGTTTGGATGCTATACTAAGTTTGCCACCATTCACTATACTTTTTATGCCACACTTGTCTAAGTTGTGGCTTAAAAAAAAATGAGCCACACCTTAACTAGCAAAATTGGATTGTGCTACACTTTAGTGAGTTGATGACATGTGGGGCCCTAATAGATGACAAGGAATCTTGCCATAAGTGTGGCTATGAACCAAACAATATGCTAACTTAGTCAAACTTGCCTAACATGAGGTGTGGCAACCTTTGGCAAACATTGGGAGCAAACCAAACAATCCCGTAGTGTTTGCATTGGAAGAGTAGTGTATAGTACCAGTTTTTTTTGATGACGTGAAATTTATGGAAACTATGTCAATGTTTTGAGTTAGGAATGACATAAGCATAAGTGGAAAGATGAGGCCGCGTATGTGAGCACTCAGCTCGATGGGGAAGCGTGTGCATTCATCGATCTATAACTCCATGAAAAAGATCAGCTTTTAATTTTCTCCGTGCAGCACGGGCGTTTTTCTTGTATCACTGGCTTTTATTAAGCTTGCTGTTTGACTGGCTGATAAGTATATTGTATATATACCACATATCACTAGAATTACTTAATTACGTACTCTCCCGGCTTAATTCCATATCATAGTTTTCCGTATCAGTATTTATTAACGAGTACTCATATTCTTTCCTTCATAATTAACTGAGGTCATGTCCTTCACTAAAACACTTATACTAGTATTTTGATAAATCTCAAGAAAGCTAAAACAAATCTCAAGTGTGTTATTTTTTTTACAAACCTCAAAAGAGAGCATGGAGAATTCGCTTTATATTAAAAAGAAAAGAGTTGACCCTTTAGAGAAAAAACAGATCCAAAAACTTCACAACTCCATTGTTAGTTTAGAGAAACCGAAAAAAATCCATATGGAGAGGCAAGACAAAAAAACTTGCAATAGCACAACTGCTGCGATCCAATACAAGTCATTTTTCCCGGGCTTATCACAAGACAAGCAGCTCCGATATGCTATTGCGATTGACGGACTCAACCACTACTCAACTCCGAAGCAAGACCTTCGAAGTGAAGCCTTCAAGAAAAAAATAACATCAAAGACGCTGACAACGCCTGTTTACAACATTCGACTAGGTTTTTACCCAAAGGAAAAGAAAATAAACCATCAGCACAACGCCACCAAGAAGGAAAACGGCTCCTACATACGTCAACATCACTATCACCAGTCAAAGACCGGGCAGGGCTTACGCCATAGGCTCCTTTAAGTGTTGATCACAATCGCCTCTATAATTACCCAGCTCGCTACACCTAGCGCGGCAGCTTCGACTCCATTGCAAGACAAACCGCTGGTGCAAGCAGAGGCTAGCACACCAAACCTTCCCCTCGCGGAACGATCATAAGCTTGTGTGTTATCGTTGTCCAGCTCGTCACTCCCAGCGCAGCAGCTTCAACTCCGGCATAACAAACGCAGCTGCATCGCAAGGCTACCAATCGCACGTTCAACTTTTCTTAGCTGTCACAAGATCTTCTAGCGTCGTGCCAAAAAAGTTATAACTTTTTCGCGAGATAACTTTTTCAGCTACTTTTAGCAATCACAAAAAAGTTATCCGGAAAACGAAAGTGAAAATAAATTGTTGAAAGTATTTTGTAATCAAACTAAACACAAAATCACCTTCGAATGCTAATCCTGATCGAGCAAAGTATTATTAGTTTTCCACTAGTCGCGCATGAGCAAACAGTTAAGCTCTAGCGTGATGATCAATAGAAAACTAACTCTTCCTCTTCTTCCTATTATCTCCATCGCAAAATATAACAAATTATTGGACACGGTTATTAAAAAAATAGGTAGAATTAAATAGAATGAGGTTTTTTTATTGAGAAATAAAAATAGGTGAGAAAAGTAAATAGTGAAGGGTTATAATTAGTTGAGAAGAAAATGTTGCTTAAGAAGTTGTTATAATGTGGGATAATAACTTCTATTAAGTTTTAAAAGTTGTTACATTTTAGGACAAGGAAATATATCTTTTCTTCTTTGGAAGAATTACAAATATACCACTACTTTCACCCTCTAATTCAAAATAGCCATTATAAAACCATCAATTACAAATTTGCCATTAAAATCGGTGCATGTACACGGCGTATGCCATTGCCGTTTAGTTTGGTGCAATTAAGAGGGAAAAAATTATAAAATTAAAGTAAAAAAAAGGCAACACGATAAGACTATTTTGTCCTTCCCAGATTCAATCCCCTATCTGCTCTCTCTCTCTCTCTAGAAGCCAGAAAGGATCCCCTCTCCCTCGATGAACCCTAGAACCCAAATCCCTTCATCCCTTCTAAATCAAGAGCTGATCAATCGAAAATCAGTTGCAATGAAGTAAGAGATGGCAATGGAAAAACTCATGAAGAAGGGCGTCGGCGACGGCATGCGGCGTCGTCGGGTGTTGTGGCAGCAGGCGACGGCGGCAAAAGCAGGCAGCAACAGCGACCGTAGCAGCACCAGACGGCGTCGGCGGCGGCAGCAACAGCTGCACCAGGCAATGGCGGCAGCAGCACCACCACGACAGCGGCAGCACCACCACCACCATTATCGAGAGCCGACGCCGGCAACACCATCGGCAGCATGCGGCGGCGGTAGTATGTAGCAGCAACACTACATCAACAGCAGCAGCAACAAACATCAAGGAAGACTATGGAACTAAGAGATTGTATTTTACAACCCTCATGTCAAGATGATGCCAGTAAGTTCGACTATTTTCTTGCTGCCTTAGGTGCTCTAATGTCTATGCCAAAATGATGTAAATTTTGCAATTTTGTGGCACGGGCATCCTTGTCCTAATTTTTAGAAAAACCAACCTTCTAACACCGTTAGTTTAAACTGTCAGTCCAATGGCAAGTATATTGGGCTCAAGGTGGCAAATTTGTAAATACAGTTTTTTTAATGACAAATTCACAATACCGGTTCAATCCAGTAGCAAATATACAATTGACCCTTTCTCTTTTCAGATAGCAGATGGAGTAAACCACTGTTACCGAAAAGTCCTTGGAGTACTTCGAGTTAACATCCAGCTCTATCGGTAATCAGCAGTGCCGTATGGCTCACCGACAGTCGTCCGTGCGAGATCGTACGGCTGATCTTATCTTACACACGCTCACAGCTCAGCACAGCGCGGGCCCATCTGTCAGACTTTTGAGAAGGAAAACAACTGGCAAGTCCGTTGTCTCCATTAAAAACAATGAAAATTTTGATATTGTCCTGGAAATTTTGGTTTCTGGCACTCCTTTGTTTCTTCTTGGGATTAGTTGGTGGCAGTATGTATCTGGCGCGTTGGCATGATTATTATTTTGCCCATCAATTAAGATGGGAAATTAAATAGAGTAGGAGAGTTCCATGGGAGGAATCCGATCCAAACTAGCTGACATGCTGAAGCCGAAATTCAAATTGTGAAGCCTAATTTTAAAGTTGATTTTGGTGTCTTTTTATTAAAGTTTATTCTTCGACATTTGCTTCTAATATCCTAAGGCTTTGTTCGGTAGATGAAAAACTCTCCATTCCGCATTCCGCATGTACGCTTTCTAAATTACTTAACGGTGTATTTTTTTTGAAAGAAATTTATACGATAGTTGTTTAAAAAATTATATTAATCTATTTTTAAAATTAAAAATAAATAATAACCAATTAATTATGTGCTAATGGCTTACCTCATTTTACATATTTTCTCAATCTTATATTTTTCCCTCCTCTCAAACACACGTAAGATTAGAAATATAAGTTTTAACTAAAGTTATTTTCTGTTATTTGTCTATTTCCCTAAGGCTTACCACCATTACTCAAACGACCAAAGGCTCAAAAGTTCCACACAACACAAGCGTAATAGCTTACTTTTTGCAAACCAAAACTGGCCCATTAAACAAGGAGCCCAAATGCATAATCCTTTCTTTGCACATAATTGGTATCCACTACTGTTATAAAATTATCTTTTTTAACTCATTATGTCATCAACATTATATTAGTCATTCGATCAATATGCACACCATTAGATCTTTATTTATAAAAAGAAGACCCAAATTGATGGACAGGCCCAGCTAGACACATCTTCACTCCCGCACATCTCTCCAATTGACGCACGCCACACAAGGATTACCAAATTACCACGGTGATCTCCATCTCAATGCATGTATTTTGTATCTACCCAACAAAAGATGAGTTGCATTATTCTTTCTTAGTCCTCTCACACCGGTCATACATAGGGCCTGTTTGGGAGATGTTTGGGAGAGTTTCTACTTGTTGCAGCTTCTCCCAGAATCAGAAGCTCCCCTAAACAATCCAGTTTTTGATTTAGATTCTTAGAAACTGTAGTTGTAGAAGTCAGGAAATAAACTAGAAGCTAAAAACTGGAAAACCCAGCTTTTCCAGATTTTTAAAAACTGGCTACCAATTAGCTGCTTCTCAAAATCTTAATCCCACAAACATGCCCAAAGTCTTTGGCCACTACTCTCTCCGTCCCATAATATAAGGTTCATCCCTCTAAAATCCATTATATTATGGGACAGAGGGAGTACCTAGAAGTACATTTGCAGAAAGAATATATCTCTCTTTACTTCTGATCCAACTGGTTAATTTAGTTAAAAGAAATATTTGATAGAAAATTACTTTTGAGATAAAATTGTATTTTTGCATTTCTGGTTAACCACCTTATTTCCATTGGAAGTAATTCAGTTATATCTCAAGGATATTTATATCTCTTCGAATGTCTTGCTCTGATGCCCCAAAAATGTCTTTCGGCTTGAAGCGAATTTCCTACATATTTCGGCTTCATACATATTTTTCCAACCATTTCCTTGATGTTTGAAGTACCATGGAAAGGAAATGACAAGCTGAATGGAACACTGCAATTTGCACTATGTACGAAGCCTAAATCAATAAAACTCTACATACCACAGCACAGTACCACACAACATAATCAATTTAATATTTTAAAATTAGATTCGATGTGGATCTAAAATAAAATTTCATCGAAAAAAAGACGAGAGAAAAAAAATCTGACCACAACAATAGAAGATTCTCTCTTTTTTCTCCTTGCCTATCTCTAAAATAAATCTTCATCAAAAATTCAGGTAGTTAGAAAGTTTGTTACTAAGGCCCCGTTTGGCACAACTTTAGCTCCCAACTCCAACTTACCTGGAGCGGGAGCTGTGCCAAACGATTCAGATTCACCTTTTTTTGGAGTGGAGTTGGCAGAGCTACTCCTAGAAAATGAACTACGGGGGTGGAGCTGGGTTTTTGCTGCTCCACAGCTCCACTCCACCCCAAAAGACCCACTACCCTCTAATATTTTAGTGTATTTACACGAAAATGCCACTCAACTACCCTTTCACCCCTTCTTTCCTCCCGTTCTCTCTCCTCCCCCAATCTTCCTCCCAATCCCGAGCTAGTGCGGCGGCATCGGCGGGCTGCGGCAGCGTTGACGGCGACGGGCAGCGACAGCGGCGGGCGGCGGCGGCTGCGGGATGACGACGGGCGGCACGCACGCGCGGCCGGAGGCTGGCGGCGGGGGGCTGCGGCAGCGGCGGGGAGCGGCTGTTGGGGGACGAGGACGGGCGGCGCGGCGGCGAGGCCAGCAGGTGGCGGCGGCCCATCTTCTTCCCCATCCTCCGACGACGGCCACAACCGGTTGTGGCGGCGTCTGCGTTGGCAGCATACGGGGGCAGCAGGCTGCGGCGCATCGGCGGCGGCAGGCGGTGGCGGCGGCTGCGGGCGGTGTTGCGGTGGCCGCGACAGGCGGTGGCGGCGGCTGCGGGCGGTGTTGCGGTGGCCGCGACGGGCGGCACGCGGCGGCGGCGTCGGCAGGCGACTCGCGTGCGGGGGCGTCGGCAGGAGGCAGCCTGGGCGACGGCGGCGGCCTGTGCGGCGGCGCTTGCGCAGCGGCTTGGGAGGCGGCGGAGATGCGTGGGCTTCTCGGCGGCGGTGGCTCGTGGGCTGACTGGCTACGGCGGCAACGTCAAGGCGACGCCTAGAAGGTGTTCGATGAAATGGCGACAAAGGATGTAGAAATATGGAGCTGAGTAATCTAGCCAAACACTTTTTTACCTACCTCAGCTCCTAGAGGAGCTAGCTCTCACTGGAGTTGGAGTTTGGAGTTGGGAGTTGGAGTCAGGAGCTCTACCAAACGGGGCCTAATATTTTGAGATTCGCAAAAAGATAAAGAAGAAAAAAACCTTTATATATACTGCCTCCTGTATCTCTCGCGAGTACAAAAATACTGTAGCTTCGGAAGAAGAAGAAGAAGAAAGGGGTTTCCCTTCCGTACACCAGCAGCAGCATCAGCAGCTGCTCCTCCCCGCCCAAAAAAATCCAATCTTTCCCCATGGCGGAGCCCGGGGAGGATGCGGCAGCGGCAGCGGCGGCGGCGTCGACCAAGTACGTGCTCATCACCGGCGGCGTCGTCAGCGGGCTCGGGAAGGGGGTCACGGCCAGCAGCGTCGGCGTCGTCCTCAAGGCCTGCGGCCTCCGCGTCACCTGCATCAAGATCGGTCCGTGTGTTTCTTCCCCCATTCTTTCAACTCTTTGCTCATCTGAATGCGATGGCTAAAACCCTAGGAAATCGAGTGTGGTTTGGGGGAGTGCGGAGATGGCGATTGTATGTGATTGCTGGTTGAATTCGAATTTATGGCATTTGTTGTGCTTATTCTTGATGAAGGGGTAAAATATTGCCGCCTTGTGATGAATTTGGTAGGGGTTAGGGCTTTTTTCATATCTTTCTTGATTTGGGGGTGTGTCAAAAGCGTCGGCTTGTTGGTTTATGTTTGGAGGGAGGTGAAAGGTGGCCGCTTTCTTGTTTATGGTAATGGAGTATTGAAAAGGTTGCCTATTATTGATTCAGCCTTCATGGGGGGCCATGATTGTGGGTGCATTCTTGTCTTGGTTATGTTTTGGTGGTGAAAATGCTATCATTTTTCTGTAGAAAAATAATCTATCAATGAAGCCGTGAGGAGTACTTATTGTCTAATTGATGTAGAAAAACAATCCATCAATGAAGCCGTGAGGAGTACTTATTGTCTAATTGATGTGAATTCTTGAAGGTTCTGTTGCTTTATAGGCTTTTAGATGTATAAAGGTGGTGTCACCTACCTTTTTGATTTTTAAGGTTGTGATGGATCATCAAGTATCACAATGTGGCCTTGGAAAGCTCTATGCCATTTTGGATATTGAAATTGTTTTCCTGCACCGTGGTCAATCTTTTCTAGGTGACTTTTCTTGATTGACATGTGGGAACATGGGTCCTTTTCAGCATTTTCTTTGTTAGGGTAAGTGTCAAACCAGAAAGTTTTTTTTTGTGTGACTTTTGCAACATATGTGGTACCCCATGTGCAGAGTTTAACTTGCTTGGAGGTTTCTCAGTTTATTGATGTATCATTAGTCTTACACTCTTACTATTGTCCATCACCTGGTGTTGCAGATCCATATTTAAACACAGATGCTGGTACAATGTCTCCTTTTGAGCATGGTGAGGTCTTTGTGCTTGACGATGGTGGAGAGGTATGGCTTCTTTGATGCTTCCATGTGATGTTACTCTTTATGACCTGTGCACATGAGCTTGTAATGTTTGAAATTTGTAGGTTGACTTGGATTTAGGGAATTATGAGCGTTTCTTGGATGTTACTCTGACAAGGGATAACAACATTACAACTGGAAAGATATATCAGGTGATCATCCCTTCCTAGAAAATGCTTGCTGGTTGTCACATGAGTTTGTAATCAATGGCTTTTGTTGTTTTCAGTCTGTCATTGAGAAGGAGAGGAAGGGTGACTATCTTGGAAAGACGGTCCAGGTAATTCCCTTGTGGCATTTTTTTTTGGCAATGGTCACATGCTTATGGAATACCCATATGACAAACTAAAATCTTATGGCTGTAACATGTTCAGGTTGTTCCTCATGTAACTGATGAAATTAAACAGTGGATACAGTCAGTATCTTCTGTTCCTGTGGATGGGCAGACTCGTCCAGCTGATGTTTGTGTCATTGAATTGGGAGGCACTGTAGGTAGGGTTTCGAGGCATCTTATGGTATAGTTATTACTATTATAATGGATGAACTAAATTTTTTCTTGTTTCAGGTGATATTGAATCAATGCCATTCATTGAAGCTCTGCGCCAGTTGTCATTTTCTCTTGGTACAGTTGGATTTTCTTCTTGTGATTTCAAATTTAATAGGTCATGGTTGCTGAGAAATATGTTGAGTTCAATGGGCTACGCTGACTCTCTATCATTTCACACCATTTTTCTCTGTTTATTTCTTTGGAAATGATTGGGCTGTAGATTAGGTATCCACTTTATTCGGTCCGCACCGCCTTCCTCTTTTGTGCTAAAGTGGCAAGCTGATAGTCACATGCTATTGTTGATATGTTGAGAAGACATGCAGCGTTGTTTTAAAAACAATTCTGATTTGTTAGTGCTCATTGTTGGATATTGTACCCATCATTCTTATATATTTTGCAGGTAAGGACAATTTCTGCCTCATACATGTGAGCCTTGTTCCGGTATTGGGTGTAGTTGGTGAGCAGGTAAATAATTCTCTTCAATCATGATTTCTGCTGATGACATCTTGACCTCTGACATGAGACAAAATTGCATTGCAATATTCAAGTCTTATGTCAGGACATATAATTGCTAAGATTGAACCCTGAATCTGTCATTTCCATTTTTGTAGAAAACTAAGCCAACACAACACAGTGTACGAGAACTAAGGGCCTTGGGTCTGACTCCTGATCTTCTAGCATGCCGATCCGCACAGGTAATGCAAACAACATAGAATAACAGAACACTCTTAAGATATGATATCTCCATTGATTCTAGCATTTGATGTTGATGTTCCCTATTTTATTATCATATGGAATACTTCTCTGGCAGTCACTCTAATATGTCTTTTCCTGTCTTACTCTGGACATGACTGTCCATATCTTTTTGGTGCTTAGTCTATATTTTTTCTTGTCTGTAATGGATTGACATAATTTTTTGCGATCTGAACATTCAGCCACTAATAGGATCTGTCAAGGAGAAACTTTCACAATTTTGTCATGTACCGGTATGTTTTTGCTTCTAAGTTTGAAAAGAGCCATTTTATTCTCATGTTTTCCTACTTACATTCTATCTTATCTCTTACAGGTTGAGAATATACTTAACATCCATGATGTTCCAAACTTGTGGCATGTTCCACTTATTCTTAGAGTGAGTTATCTTTGGCTCAAAGCTTAAGTGTTGACTCTGTAGAGAAAGATAATGAGTATGATTTATATAATCATTGCACTAATACTTTATTTTGACATGTGTTATTTTCCAGAACCAAAAGGTTCACGAGGCTATAATCAAACAACTTAACCTTGGAAGGTGAGCCAGACAATTACTGAATATCAGTTTCTTGTCAATGTTTGGAAATAATGTGCCCAAGTGTGTGCCTATAGGAAGTTTTATATTTGGGATTTACTACCTTTGAAAATCATGAATAGTTCATTATTATGTTACACTTGCTATTTCTGGTCTATATTTGACCCCTTTTCAGTTAACGTGAATGGACTTGCTTGATCGTTGTGAGATTTATGAGTTCGGGCAGTAATAACAAATCTGTTGTACTTTCCTGGCATTACTTATTTTATATAAGGTGTTTTGGTTAGTATGTTGAATCAATTCCATACCTTATTCTGTAGGTCTGCTGGACCCCCTGAGTTACGAGATTGGACACAGATGGCTGAGTCATATGATGACCTCAAAAACTCTGTTAGTATTGTTAAGTTGCTCTAATATCTTGACTTTGCATTGATTATTTTCAAGTGCATAATTAATTTTGATGGACTTCAATGCCATGCAGGTTAAAATCGCTTTGGTTGGGAAATATACTAATCTGACCGATTCCTACTTATCAGTGGTGAAGGTGAGTTAAATCAACTTTTTAATATAGAATTGTTATTTATTCAATTATGCATCCAATTGGTGAAAATGGGTCCTTTTTATTTATGTTTTGCCTGTTGTGCCATTATTTCCCTCCATTAGTGCCTACTGCAAATGCAATCAATTCCTAAGAGTTGTGTTTATGCAAGGAGATTTTTGAACTACCCACTACTCTTGCAGTGCTACTGATTTAATTCTTATTGAAATATTATAGTATTATACATGCAAATGTTGTTTCAAATTCATGTGTATACAAATATGTTTCAGGCTCTTCTACATGCGAGTGTTGCATGTTCATTGAAACCTTCTATCCAGTGGATTGCAGCTTCAGATCTTGAAGATGCAACTGCAACAAGTGTAAGCCCGAAACTCTTTGTTCATAATATGATAGGGAGTAGTTCTACTGGATTACGCTACATCTCTTAACACAGTTGTAATGTTTAAACCAATGCTCTGTTTTATGTTTGTTGCCAATAATTATCTCAGGGCTAAAGATCATTTTTATTCATACTAGTCTACTAACTTAATATATTCTCTATTGAAAGCAATGTAACACTCCTATTATAGTTGTCCTTCCTGCTTTGTGTTATCTTATGATTCTGCCTTTCCATGACATTATTCTTCACAGGCACCAGATGCCCATGCTAAAGCTTGGGAAACTCTTAAGGTGAGTATGCTGATTGTCTATGGTTCCTACTGTGACTATACAAACTCTATCTTTAAAGTATAACATTTATAAATGATAAAATTTCAGGGTTCCTCTTGCATTTTGATACCAGGAGGATTCGGGGATCGTGGAATATCTGGGATGATATTGGCTGCAAAATATGCTCGTGAGAATAAAGTTCCATACCTTGGCATTTGCTTGGGAATGCAGATATCAGTGATTGAGATGTCCAGAAATGTATGTATGCTTCCTTTTTGTTACTTGTTAATTAATTTATCTTTAGAGACTCTCATATTGTGCATCCTGTCATAGGTTCTTGGCCTAAAGGATGCAGACAGTGAAGAGTTCAACTCAGAAACACCATTTCGTGTGGTTATGTACATGCCTGAGGTAATTCTTAATTTCTTATCCAGTTACATGCAAGAAAGAGACATGACTTTGATCTAACCTAAGGCCTTGCAATTAACTATACAGGTTTCAAAAACGCACATGGGAAATACAATGAGGTTGGGTTGCCGAAGAACGTTCTTTCGCAGGACAGATTGTCTTACATCAAAACTGTAAGGATTTCTGACAACTTGTCAGATCACAGAAGTCAATTGATTATCTACACGATGAAAAATTTAATGTCTTAAAGAGCTTGTTGTTAGGAACCTTGTTAAAACAGTTTGTCGAAATGCAGCCTTTGTAGACTAGTTAAAAGTATAAATTATTGACTAACTCTTGCATGTTCGTTTTCACATCTCCTTATTTCATCTTCTAATTTGGACATAAATGTAAATCATAGATATGGGAGCCCTGAGCATGTAGATGAGCGTCATCGTCACAGATATGAGGTTTGCCAAGAATTTTGTTTTATTAAACTCTGTCATTCTATATATCCATTGCATCATTATGCTTGTAAGTGATTATCCTTTTGTCTATTTAAACAGGTGAACCCTTCTTTCGTTGCTATGCTTGAAAACGCTGGCCTTCATTTTGTTGGTTGCGATGAAAGTGGAAAGAGGATGGAGGTACCAATTAACAGCCTGTTCCAGATTTCTGTCTTGATTTATTTTCTTTTGTTGAAGCCTGAGCCCGCTTCCACCTATGAACAGGTTGTAGAGCTACAAGACCACCCATTTTACATAGGTGTTCAATTCCATCCAGAATTTAAGTCAAGGCCTCGGAGACCTTCACCTCCATTTACTGGTATGGTATTCCTCTACTAAAATCACAAAATCTGAAAATTTTGTTGTATTAAGCTTTGTGTTACTTTTTTTTTTCTTCCAAGCTCCACTCATATGATGCAGTACTTTGGTCTATCTTTGTTCTAGCTTTTCGGTGTAGTATAACAACTTTAATTTTCTATACAGGTCTAATATTGGCAGCAGCTGAATACATGGGAACACCTGCAAATAACTCAAATGGACATGTTGGAACATCTGAGTAATGCCATCCTTAATCTATCAGGTACATGATTCTGAAACTTGACTACCCTTTTCTCAATGTTTCTATTCCATAAACACACATTTGAGATTGGATTTCTTGTTTGTATCTGTCAGATGGAGGTCATTGATCCCTTTTTGGTGTTTTGTTGAGGCATCTGCTTGTTGCTGCTGAGATGAGGATTCTAGTCATTTTGGTCACATACATAATCATGTACCGGAGATAACACTTAAAGCTGGAAGAGAATTTTTGTTATCCCAGAGACCTGTAATTGCATAGCTGATCATGGATTCATGATACAGTGTGCAACGGATTTTAGCGTGGTAATTTTGTTGGGTGCTCAGAGTTTTAACTTCTGATAGTAATTGTATCCTGTTAAACCCGTGCTCCGTTCAAGTTAAAATGAAAACTTGCATTATCTTACCTGTTTATTCTTCTGTGAAATCGTTGTGTTAACACTGCTAGTGATATTCACGTTCTTGCGTCTTGATTTATAAAGTACTCCATCCTTACGAGAGAGAGAGAGAGAGAGAGAATTATAACATTTTGGAAATATAACTTTTAGGAAAATCTTGGAAATCTAACATTTAGATTAGCGCCACTCTTTCAGCCAGAGTTTCACATCAATGGGTGAAGTACAGAGCAATAGTCTAAGCTGCTCAGAGACCAAAAAGTGAGAGGATTACAAATTACAATACAGGTGACAATTCAACAATTGATTCCTAAAAAAATCGGTGAACTAAATGAAATGACATATTCTACATTTCTGCTTTATCCCCAGTTGTTTCCATGGTATTGAGATTGGGACCATTGCTGTTGTGTTGGAAGATTGCCTTGAGTAGTAGAAGTTGATGGCTTTGAGTGCCCCTGGCTCTGCATGTTCACCTGAGCTGATGATCCTGGATCACCTGCAAGAGATCAAGAAGAATCACTACAGAGTGAAATTTGGCTGCTAGATAGGTACCAGAGCTACCCCTACCCTCCTGCCACTTGTCACGCCGATTTTGCGGCGAAGTAGAGGTGATGAGAGGAAGAAGATGCACTGCTCACCACTGAATGTAAACTGCTGCTGTGGTGGAAATGGCAGATTGTTGTGAGCAGAAGTTGATGCTTCCAAGTCATCTCTGCCCAAGAAGGGCCTCCCCTGAAGTTCCACCTGATCAAATCCTGGTACCACTGTAACAAAGATGATAGTAAAAGTGAGCTAAAAGATTTAGGATGAACACTGCTAGATAAGTGTTTTCCCCAGCTCTGATTAACACTCACTGGATGCTCCTTGGCATGGGTAATCACAAGGCGCAACGCAGTTAGTTTGGTGACTGTAATTCACTTGAGCTCCACCAGGGTAGACTACCTGCAAACAAACACACAATTTGCTCACACTGAGTACTTGCTAAACTAAATTAAAACTTGTAGGAGTAATGCAGCCTCTACTAGTCTTGTAACCAAACAATTATTTGTACATTGATATTTAAGGTTATTTTGATGTTGAATCGTAACCAAACATAGTTGAGCAATTTTGTTTGGATTGAAGTCATTACAAATATGCAGCATGGAGTTCAATACACTAAGAACAAATATGAGATGACGCAATTTTTTCGCTCACATGATTTGTCTGGTGAGAAGAGCTAGGTTGCGCAATTGAATCCTGGCACCAACCAGCTACAGCAGCAGAGGAGAATTGCTCCTGACCAGCTTGTGCAGTACTTTGATCTATGAGGTTTTGATACCATACAACCAAAACTGTTATCCAAAGGCATCCTCTTGTGCACACTATGAAAGAATTTACAAGAATGAATGAGTACCTTGATAGTTTGCATTTGCAAATGATGGATCAATCTGAGCATGATCCAAGCCCCCAACTGCTTCAGTACCTTGAGCTGGCAGACAGATCCCAATATCAGGCCATTGTACAATACATGGTTTGGACACAATTAACTACTCCCTCATTTAAATATATGATGCTGTTGACTTTTAGATATGATGTTTGACCACTTGTCTTATTCAAAAATTTTAACCTCGATAATCGGCATTCGCATTCATAGGATTCAGTATTGGAAACCCGCCTTCCATTATATAATCAAAAGGAAGCTGATCTAATAGTTGATATGCTTCCCCTTTCAACTTGTCCACTATGACCTGAAGCAAATACGCACATGAAGTTGGGATGAGGACTGTTCTCAACATGGTAGCTGCAATTGTGGAATGTACAATGTTTGATACCAAAACATGTACCTGCTGAGCTGAACTGAGGCTGTCAGATGCAATGTAACTGCCACCAAACCATGCCCCAACAAGAGAATTCACGCAATCGAAGATGAGCACCACGTTTGTCTGAGCAACGGGATACGATTTCAGCTCGGGCTTGCCTTCGAGGCTGCAGTCCCTGGCATGTGTCACCATTTTCTCCCAGGCTTTGGATCCTTTCTTCATGTGGAGAATCTGCACACACCAAGAAATGGAGATGATGTAATAGAGATCAACAGAGGGCTGGACAAAATATGTCTAAAGAGGGACTGTACATTGGCCAAGTTATCAGGATCCTTGTTTAGAGCCTTTAAGAAGTCTTTCACAGTTTTTATGCCCTTCTCCACAAGCCTCTTGCAGTATATTCCATTAATTGCAATTTCCTCCAAGCGATGAACCTTGTCGTCCAGCTTTGGAGGATGACTCTTTTCATTTGCTGCAAAGGAGAAAACGAAGAGAAAGAAACAAGTAAGGAACGATTCATTGTCAGTATTGGAAGTATGGTTACCCTCACACATGAAACTTGGACCTGGACCATATATACTTGAATTAAGGAAATCAGCACTAATGTTTATCCCTTACTAACCAAAGAGAAGATATGGTAGAGTTATAGACGGTAACCTACATTTATTTCTGCGATCCTGCACAACCACAGGCGTCATGACAGCCTCTTGAACATGAACACCAGTTCTTGCACTGTCACAAACTCTTGCTGCAAGGATGAACTTACCCTTGCGGGCCTTGCATGACCCTTCTCTGAATTTGATGGCACCAAGAGAGGCCTCTCCATTGATCAGCTGGACAGTGCGTTCACCTGCCAACACATCGCCTCTTTCATCCCGGCCACAAGCTCTGTGTTCGTTGAACTCCTTAGTAGTCCAACTCTCCATGCTATTATACGGAAAATTTCCCTCAAGGGCCAATATCTCAAGTTTCACCTTCGAAAGAGGGCCTGATTTTATCATCTGTTCACCATCAAATATGCCAATCCGAATATCTTCGCTGTTCTCAGCTTTTAACTCATCATCATGGTAAATAGGAGGTTTCATTTCATTCAGAAATCGAAGCCGAACACATGTGTTTTTGTCATCGTCTTCATTTGTCTCCACTCCTTCAGCATTGGCCCCTTCATTATTTGTCCCCTGCCTGTAACACAGAAAATAGAACATTGAATACCATAATGTGTTAGTATCTTTGTAAGCTAGCATGGAGATCTCTTACATTGGGTGCTGGTGATTGCAGTGGCTACGTCGTAACGGTGTTATTTGGTCCTGCAATTGGTTCAGGAAAGAAGCAAATATATGAGTCAGAGAACTGGCAACAATGAAGAATATGCATCAGAAATCGAAGAATATGCAAAGAAGCAAAGCTGACCACTTTATGGTTGAGATTCTCAATCCGCTGGTCAATTCTTTCCAGTCTGCTTTCCAGTTTCCTTTCCAGTTTGCTGCAGCCAAATTCCAAACAAAGCATTTAATAAAAAAAAAAGGTAACATTGCTGCCTTTAGCTAGACAAGAGTAAAACTACCAATATATTGAGAGTAAAGTCCATTATCTCCTTTTAGATAACTAGGAAGGTAACCCGCGCGGATGCACGGGCACCTTATTCAGTGGTATTTGAAATGTTGTGACGAATGTTTATATATATATTTTTTTCAAAAAAATATTTTTTACTCTTCTAAATCTATGTTTATATAAAAACATATAAATGCTCCAGTATATATCAACCTTTGATTTGTTCTAGGCAATGAACAATTTAGCACAGCATAGTATGAATGGGATAAATCCATCTTCATAAAGATAAAGTTGTAGCTCATTAGAGAAACTTGATACGGTGATGGTGATCTCCTGCAACCGCCGCAGGTGCATCGTAGAATTTTTTTCCTTTTCTTTTAGTTTTGAGGTTCTGGTTAATTAATTCAATCTAATCTAACGGTGGAGGTCCTGGCTGTTCTCTTTCAATGCGATAAATCCAATAGCCTAAAATAACGGATCATCAATTCAAGTAAAAATCAAGGATGTGATATTTTTCCTTATATCAAAATTTATATAAATTTTTAATTTATTAGAGCATCATGAGATGTCTTAGGAATGTATATAGGATGCCACATGATGGTTTGGAAGCGTTCCTAGAAAGTTTAATAGACGTTTATATAAAGTCGTGTGTTTGTGCAACTATATTATCTCCCCTCTACTAAATTTACAATAATAATAAAAAATATACAAATGTGTTTGTAGAAGATTTTTGCACTGTGGATATAACGTTATCATATTATACTTTTTTCTTTAATTAACGAAATAATTTGTCATGACATCACAAAGGGGTGCAGAGTGAGGTTCGAATGATTTTTTTTAAAAAAAGATATATCTAACAACCTAAAACCGATTTAAGTAGAAATCAATGGTCAAATATTTTCTTTTGGATTTTCTCTAATTTAAGAGTGCCAGGTAGTTATTTAGAAATACATGTATGATGTTTAGTGTACTATAAAGAGAGTACAGAGGAAGAGCTTGCTCGATCTAGAAGGTTGATGTCTATCTATTGATAATTTTATAGGCCCATAATGAAAAAAATAATAATTTTAGTTATCATGGAAATAAAATAGAAAGGAATGAAGGAAGGGTAGGTTAGGTACATGCGTGAGAACACAGCACAGAGGCATGAACAGATGAAGATTTTTCTTAAGATAGATCTCACGATTTAAAATAATGGGTTCATTGATTTAAATGAAAATCAACGATCGAATTTCTTTATTAGAGTGCCACGTGACGACTCGAAAGTGTTTATAGGGTGTCACGTGGCGGGTTAGGAGCATTTGTAGAAAGTTTATTGATCTATAATTATGATCATCCAGGTATCTATAAGCAATACATATGTACATACAAAAATATTGCTAAGATAAATATAACAGTAGAAAATAATTGGTCGACCACATTTAAGTGGAAATCGATGGTTTTTTATTTTTTTCTTCATAATTTATATGATTTTTCTCTAATTTATTGGAGTGTTACTTGACGGCTTAGGAGCTTATTTAGTTGTCGGTTATTAAACACAAAGAAAGTAATTATTAAGACTATAGTTCCATATGACAACTTTTTTAATTAAAATATAGGTAATATGGATGTCATATTTTTTAGGGATAAGATACGTTATATCTCTATCTCTACTACTTAAAAAATAAGAGATGCTTCCATCGTCCGTCAAAAAAACCAGACGAAGAAAACCGAGCGAAAAAACCGGGCGAAAAAAAGAGTCCGATCAAAAAAGGAGAAAAAAAGCGGGAGAAAAAAATGACTGATCCAAAAAACAGAGCGAAAAAAAACCAAAAGACCAGGTGAAAAAAAAACCGAGGAAAAAAACCAGGAGAAAAAAAAATGTCCGATCCAACAAACCAAAAAAATTGTCCGATCCAAAAAAATACGGGGAAAAAAAGAACGAAACGAATCGGTAAAAAAAAGGGGCGAAAAAAATTAAAAAAATTGTCCGATTTCAAAGAAAAAGAAATTATATGTGATATGGTGAAATAAACGACCGGACAAAAAAATAAAAAAAGTCCAATAAAAAAAGGGCGAAAAAAGCAAATATGTACGATAAAAAAGGAAAAAAAAATCAAAACGAATCCGACTCCGTCGACTCGGTAAAAAAAGGTGAAAAAAATAAAAAAAAGTCCGATTCCAAATAAAAAGAAATTATATGTGACGCGGTAAATAAAATGGAATCCTATTTATATCTAGAAAGGTCCGACACTATAAGAAAGTGGCCAAAAAAAACCGTTCGTAAAAAAAATGCACTACAAAAAAAATAAAAAGGGCGGAAAAATGTCTAATTTCTATTCATCGTTTTAGTAGTCCGTTTATATCTCTTCTTTATCTCTAATCTAACTATTTTAAAAGAGAAGTTTCTACCGTATATTAAAAAAGAAATAAATGCCTGAGAAAATAAATACGGTTTAAAAAACGCGCGAGGAAAAAATGTCAGAAAAAAGCGCAAAAGAAAATGCGCTAGAAAAAAGTTCCGTAGTCCGTAAAAAAGCACACGAGAAAAAAATATTTCCATCGTCTATAGAAAAGCAAAAAAAAAAGCATAAGTGGAAAAAACTATTAGAAAGAAGCGCTAAATTGATGGACACTTGGTCGGATAGGATCCATTGACTTTTTTTCTATCTCCTACACGACTTTTGTTTCGTCATCTATTCTCCTGTATTGGAGACCCTGCACATCTTCGTAGGTAATTATCATACTATTTTTATGAAGTATAGCTACTGTTCTTGATAACATATTATATGAAATAATCTTAGAAAATAAATATATTTTAATTGTTATACAGATAAGAGTGGACAATGACTCTATTTTGTGTAGACTTGATCATACGAGGCAATGTAGGACTTGATTGGTTGCAAGAACGAGATTAAAAGAATATTTTAGATTATATGCATGTTGTCATATGAATAATCCAATTATTTTAAGTAAAGCAAGCATCGTAAGGTTGCCATCATCGAGGTTGGGCTATTACATTTAAGATGTTCCAATTTTCTGATTGTCATCGACATGGTTATGCATGAAAAACGTATATTATCATTACGTTTTTTTCACCCGTTGCAACGCATAGGCATGTTTGCTAGTACTTTATAAAATTATAAATAGTGAACAACTAAAGAAAATAAAGAGGTAAGGATTGATCGCTTCTTTTCCAACCGTGGGTGCAAATGTGCATACATAATTTCTTTTCTTTTTATTTTTTTCTAATGAATAGTTTTTTTATTTGTTTTCCTTTAGCAAATAGTGTGTAGGTAGTTTATTTACGTACGTTTGTACGTTGGTACGTACGTGAAGGGACTCTTGGATATGGGCCCGTGGGGATATGAGAGGGAGGTGGAAATAACAAATCTAATAGTAATTAAAAATAGTGGGTCCAGTTGTTTATTAAAGTGACATGTGGCGTTTTAGAAGTATTTGTAGGATTCCCACGTGGCGGCTTAGGAGTGTTTGTAGGAAGTTTTATGGACTTTTAGTATATAATAGATAGATAGATGCTAATTTTGATAGTTTTAAGCATATTACTCCCTCTGTCCTAAAATATAACAACTTTTAGCCCTCAGGATTTGTTCTAAAATATAACAACTTCACCAACATTCTCTTTCCAACCAATCACAACCCTCCACTATTCACTTTTCCCATCTACCTCCACTACTCTTCGAATTACAACCCTCCACCATTCACTTCTATTTATCTTCTTAATAACCGTGTACAACTCTAAAACTTTATATTATAGGACGAATGGAGTAGATGTTTGACGACACTAATCTTAGGACAACCAATAAAAAAGAACAGACAGAGAACTAAGAACTTCGCTTGTCACTTCCTGGACAAGGAAAGATTGGATCATATTAGGAATGCAGCGCCTTGAGTAAAATCAACTTAGCACAATAATTGAGGTTACTGATCTTTATCTAAATTTTTGCTGTAACTTAGCAATTCACAGAAAGGGGAGCTAAAATGCATCTCTCTGCAAGCACATGAACAAAGTAGTAAATCTTTTGTGATTAATTACAGGGAATAAAAGGTTATTATTACCTAAACTGCAGCGAGAAGCTCCTCGCAATTGGTCCAAGACAGCGACGGAGTTCATCTCTCACCTATCCATCCACAGAACAAATTAAGCACAAGTCGTCAGCTAAGGCCCCGAGGTTATGAAGTTGCAGAGATATGAATAATCCATTCCATCAAGAAAGCTCTCTTGCTTTTCCCCCCGAATCTTGGATGTCTGATTCGATCCCAAAATGGGAATCGAATCCAACCCCAAATAAAGATTACTTATTTATTTATTTACTCTCTATCTACTCTCAGAGGTATATTTTTAAATCTAAAAAAATTATTTTTGATAGACATATTTCAATCTAACCACACAAGAGGGTATTGAGAAATATAAATATTAATGAATCGTTTATTTATGAGAAATAACTACGGGCATATTTAAATGGATGATAAGTAGAATTAATTATTATGAGATAGAGTTGAGAGCAAAGGAGGAATTTTCGCAGCCATGGATGAGATGAAGCTCGGGTACTCACCACGCCACCAATCCGGGAGACGCCGACCGCCGCGCCGCCGCCGCCGTCGTCGTCGTCCGCCTTCCTGCCCCCCCAGGCGAGGAGCATGGCGCGCCTGAGGAAGACGACGACGAGCACGCTCTGCCGCAGGAGCCCCCTCCTCGGCGACGGGAGCTCCTCCACCGCATGACAACGCTGCCGCTTCGCCGGAGGCGGCGCCGCAGCCATGCCGTCGCCGTCGCCGTCGCCGGCGGTGGCGGTGGCCAGGGATAGCCGCCTCCGCGTCCGCCGCCGCTTGTTGCCGTCCATGGACCTCGAGATGATCCGCTTCCTTCTTCCTCCCGGTGCTTCTCTCTCTCTCTCTCTCTCTCTCCTCCGTTCCCGCGCTCTCCGCTCTCGGGGTCGTCGCGCGCGTCGTCGCAGCAACTTGTAGAGAGACGAAGACGGAGTAAAGCTGAAGATGGCATTTTTTTAGCTCGGTTTTCGAGAGCATGTTTTTTGAATTATTAGACGGTATATTTCTTTCACCGAGAAGAAGGAGGAGGCACGTTTCTGGTAAAAGTTTTCTGTTGAAAATTATTTTAAAATGTCAAACAAATTTATTTTTAAAGTTTACAGTAATTAACACTTACTCCCTCCGGACTAATAATACTTGTCGTTTTAGAAAGGGTGAGATCAAACTTTAAAATCTTTTATTATGAATAATTTTTAAATATGATGACTACATGTATGTACTTTAAAAATTACTTTAATAAAATCATATATTTATTAAACTTTTATACATATTATAATAAAAATAATGATCAAAGTTTTTTTTTTTGAGACTATGCCCTTATCTAAAACAACAAGTATTATCAACCCGGAGGGAGTAATTAACTATACGCTAATAATTTTCTCGTTGTGCATGCACTAACATCGACCCTCTCCGTCTAATAAAAAACCAATATATAGTACTAACACATTATAGTACTATGAATATGGACATACAAGATGTGTCACATCCGATTCTAAGATTCGGTTCTTATAGGACGGAGGGAGCATGTTAAACATCATGGGTTTGGTTCTAGCCATCTATGTTAAATTCTAGACTTGACACGGATACTCGTAATTACGAGTAATTATTCTTTCAGTGGTAGGCGATGTACCCGTCAACAACGAGACGCTTGCGGTGTGTTCGCTAATCTCAAGGTATTCTCTTCGTCTCATAAAAAATCAAACTAGTATATGATATTGTCCATATTCATAGTATTAGGATGGAGTATCAACATCAAGTATTAAAATTGTTTTTTATGAGACGGAGAGAGTATGCCGGCTAAGTATTTCAGATATGCTTATAGGGATAAGCTGTTTGTGTGTGTTCACAATCATAAGGATAAGTGTACACGTCGTGCACGCTTTGCGTTTGTACTACCTTGCTTAAAAGAACACCACCAGAGTGCGTTATCTTCGTGGAAAATCACATTTTAGGACAACTTTAAACATTAATTAATAGTACTATTAGTAAACTACTGCTCATAAATTTGTCTGATTTGTCACTAGTACTACTTTAGTCGCTAAGCTCGGGTACTCAGCTCAGTCGTGTAACCGCCACAACGCTACACTACAGTACGATGAGACCAAACCGCGTGATCCTCCGGTATATTCAAGAATCAATGCAAGATCTCCTTTTTGGATTTAAAACAATTGAAATCAACAACTTGACTTTGGCATATTTAATGAACCTTGACCAATTTAATACAAATACAAGTACTTCTCATATTATAAAACGTTTTGACATCTTCATCCCTCGTGTATGCATGAATTTGGTAATATATATATATATATATATATATATATATATATATATATATATATATATATATATATATAACGCATATATGAAGTCATACATAAATATATTCAAAACTCAAAACATTTTGTAATATAAAACAAATGTATTAGCATATTATTCACTCTTTCTCGGCAAAAAAAAGACGTATTTGTTTTAGTAGGATAAAAAAACTTTGACAACACTTACTTTGTTATGATATAATTTTTGTGACACGGGATTGTTGTTGTTAGATTCACATTCAAAAGTATGTGTATCACCTACTCTTTCCATCCCACAAAACTTTATTTCTACTAATTCTTTGACAAAAAAAAATAGTAGTGGAAAAATTACTATGACGCATCTTATTAATTAATACTCCTGGTTATATTTCCTAGGCACTAATTATATACACGTCTTAGGCTGTGTTTGCAACCCCTTCTTCCCAACCCCACTCTCTAGTTTTCCGCGCGCACGCTTCTCAAATGGTTAAACGGTGTGTTTTTTTAAAAAAGTTTCTATATGAAAGTTGTTAATTTAAAAAAATCATACTAATCCATTTTTTTAAAAAAATAGCTAATTCTTAATTAATCACGCACTAATGGACCACTCCGTTTTCCGTGCGAAGAGTAAAAGTTGCCATCTGGGGCATGCGAACACAGCCTTAGCCTGATTGGTTATACCACTATAAATTAAGTCTTTGTGGGACTATTTTGAAACTAAAAATAAGTCCTCATGAGCATACGGTATATTAATGAAAATTTTATCGTCTGTTCAAATTCGTAGTATTAAAAAATATCACATCTAATTTTTTATATTTTGGGACGAAGGGACTCAGTCTTATCTTTCTCAACAGGAACTAATCAAGTAATCATCTTCAGTTCTGCATGCATGCGAACAGTTAATCACGAGTTGCCGCCAGTCTGCCACTGTCGTCCACACTATTTCAACATGTCTTGGTTTTGATTTCTTGATTAGTCTAGCTAGCCAGTTTTGCATAGCTTCATTGATAACTACACGTGGAATCTATTTGGTAACTATCTATATCCTAAAAATATATTTCCTCCATCTTATATTAAGTTAATCTAATATATGATATGATATATCCTAATACTTTAAATCTTTTTAACACTATCTAAATTCGTAGTAGTATTATATCAGTCCTGTACCAGATTAACTTAATATAGGATGGAGGGAGGAGCAAGCTAATATTAAATGAGACTCATCCTTATACTGTGTATTTGGACAAAGGATCGAGATAAATCCCATTTCATATTAGGTTATTATATTTTGAGATGGAGGTAGTACAGTATATCCGAAATTCAGCTGCATCGAACCTTTTTATTTTGCATTAAATTGCATCAAGGATACAAACCATAGGTGGTTACTTTTGACAAGTCACCACCGTGATGCTGTCATAGAAAGTAGGAATGTTTGCTATTTTCAGGGAAGATAGCAGTAGGCAACATGCACCAACCACAAATCAAGCTACAATTGTCACAACAATTGTCACCATCATTATTTGTCACATCAAGACAAGATCATTGAAACTAATCACACTGTCACACGCACTACTGGCGTGTAGAGTAGTAGTACTATACTACGATTATTCCTGGGGAAGCCGCGTGGTTTTCATCAAGTCATTCCCCTCTCCCCCTCTTGATAAGCCAGTAAGACATCCACTTCGACGACTTGACTCTGCAATGGTCATTAATCAATCCTGTCAAATTATAGTTTAATACTAAGATCCTCTACAACATGATGCTATCTCATCCAATTCTGCAGTGGCAAATGCTCAGGCTGCAATTCCATACTAGATGACAAAATTTTCTTACAAGCATATACTCCCTCCGTCGAAAAAAAAAAGTCAAACCCTGTATTTCCGTGTCCAACTTTGACTGTCCATCTTATATGAAATTTTTTTATAATTCGTATTTTCATTATTGTTAGATAATAAAACATGATTAACATTTTATGCGTGACTTGTCTTTTTTTTTCATAATTTTTTTAAATAAGACGGACGGTCAAATGTTGGGCACGGAAACTAAGGTTTGTCTTTTTTTTTTGGACGGAGAGAGTATGTTTGAGGACGCAGGTTTCTTTAGATGGATGTACACAAACACAAAGCTATGGAACGATGAACAGGAATGTTCAGAGATATGGACAAAGGGGGAAATCGAATCTTTTGGGCGACCTTGTCCAATCTAATATGCTACTTGATGATAGTTTATTTAATCATCAGAAAAGCATGCAAAAGGTTGACAACGAGTTGCTACTACACTCTAATATGCTCTTAGCTTGATTTCTGTTTTTTTTTCAGAAATCTAATTAATATATCTTAATTGGTTTATCAGTTCCCCTGATATCTATTCCTACCCTTCCAAAATAAGATCATTTTTACCCTTTCTTATTTGTCCTAAAATAAATTTATCTTTTAGCAATTATTACATTGGTGTTTATGAAAGTAGAAGACATGTGCATTGGAAGTAGAAAAAATATAGGACAATTGCATTATGATTTGATGAAGTGGAGATATTCTTCTCTCTTTTTTTTAAATTGGTATGTGTGGAATGGGTGAAAAATAAACTTATTTTTGAACGGGGATAATATCTAGTTAGATGAGTCTTTACTAATTTTAGCTACACCCTACTTATGTTGCATCAAAAGTCGAAAGCTCGAAAACCATAGGGTGTTTTGAATGCCCCTATCATGTTTGCCATAGAAAAACAAGAACACATTACCTTAAAAAGAAATCAAAACAAGGACATGGGACTATGGAAACTAATCACAATGTCAGAAGTACTGGTGCTGTAAGCGTGTGCACCTGACGAGTAACGAGGACTATTTCTGGGGAATCCGCGTGGTTTTCATCGAAGTATCAAACCATTCACCTTTTCCCCTCTTGATATGCCAGTAAGCCACGACTTGATTCTGTAGTGATGATTAATCAACCCCGTCGAATTGTAGTTTAATGCCGACATGGGAAGAGTTCAGAATCATTCTTCTCTAATTTGGATCTCCCTAACCATAGGCACGCTTGTGTCAGCTTCTTGTTGTCACTGCTTCTTTTCCAGCAGAGAAAGAACAGCAAATCTTCAGACTGCAATTCTGTAGATGACAATATTTTCCTTCTGGGTTTTTCAGATGGATGTGCATTTGTTTCTTTCTTTCTTTTTTGTTTAAATCCACCACATTTCAATTGATGGGGAAGATTGCATATCAACACAACTCCATGGAGTTGGAGGCAGTTGTCCTATCCATAGCAACGCTAATTAAATTGGTAATGGTTAGTATTCAGTCATCTGCAAAAACTATAAACAGCACAGTTCAGAGATAGGGGCAAGTAGAAAAAAATTAAATCTTTTGGGCGACGGGAAGAAAACTTTGCAATTTTAGACACTGAATAAACAGGCATGCCACACGGCCTACATTGGGTTGTAGACAAAGCACCATGCATCCAGATTGAGCTTGAATCAACCAGCTCACTGCAACGGAAGTTGTATGCCTTCCCTGCAACGGATAAATTCATCTCACCTTGTGACAAAATTGCATCTCCGCAGTACAACAATCTCATGTCACAAACACACAGAAGATATAGCCATCCACAAAAACAGACGCATGAATATCTCAAGTCAAGGTAATTGGCTCTAGAATCGTCATTTGAGACAAATAAATCAGGTGTTTGTCTTTGTCAATCATCTCCTTGTAGAATAGTGCGGAATGTAAAGAGAGCTAGCTGCATTTGACAAAATTTCATGTGACGTATTACATTCAACCCATGTTTCCTACAACTGAAAGATGAGAATCGAGATGGTCTGCTTATTTCACAACAGGATCGAATTCTCAGATTATCATAGCTGTGTCGGCCTGAGGTTTTGCAAATCTGAGTTAGGGGATTACTGTTTCACTCTTTTGGCGAAGATGCCTGTCCAGAAGAAAGCCTCTCCGACCTCGCCTTGTTAGCTCTTTCCATGTAATCTTGGTGCGACTGATGCTTTGCCCCTGCAGTAGATGGAACAAATTGCATAATCAGTTGGTATTCATGTATCAAAAAGAGTATTCTAAAAATTTCATCATTTGTGGGTTACAGTCAACAAAAATCAACATTCATTCTCAACCAGAAACCAAAACATGCCTGCCCAGCCTAAAAGCACAGATCTAACTCATATCTAATTTTATGTTAAACACTTTGGTCACCCTGAAAATGTAGAGATGCGTATTACGAATAGCTAAGAGTTTAGTACCATCACACCACTCAAAAAAAAAAGGCAAGATCAAGTAGCTGTCCTTATATCAGTTATAAAAACTTCAAAATGAACACGGACACCTCAAATTGCTGATTGATCATCAAAACTTAACAGTAAAAGAAAGAGAGGGCATGAAACTGCGAGATGATAAGCAATGGTGATGGCAGTGACAGTGTCATGTGCACAATGTACATGGAACTAGCTGGATAGCTCCAAGGGTATTGTGCAAGGGATCATTATCATTAATACTCCCTCCGTCCCAAAAATATAAGAATCTAGGATTGGATGGGATATTTTCTAGTAGTACGAATCTCTTCGTACTGACGGTGACAATCTGAGAACATTGTGACAACAAGAGAGAGGAAGATCTCAAAACAACGAAATAACAAATGCTTAGTCTAGTAGCGCTGGTACTGAAGCAAAATAGCCTGTCACAAGTTGCAGTACCAGCCTGATTTGGTGAGATTACCAAGTTATTACGCTTACAATGCCTGCATTTTCCCAAAATTCGGCACGCAAGGGAAACTCCTAAATCTTCATAGCAATTCATATACGCCCCCAAGCAATCCCAAATTTCAAACCCGTTTCATTTCACGGGTCTCAAAAAACATACCAGATGCCATTATCACCACAGTATTGTACAATAAACTCTTGTGCGAAAAATCCCTTCGCTCCTAGAACCTAGTAACATCGTAGTTCCACACTACTGAGTTCATCATCAGCAACATGAACTGGTTCTCTGAACGGCTTGGGGGGTCAAATCAGTTCATGATGAGGGGAGGAAGAGAGAAAGCGATCATGCGGAATACCTCGGGTCATGAGGTACCAGGGGACGCCGAAGATGGCGGCGAAGATGGCGATGCCGGCGACGACGTGCTTCTTCTCGCCGCTGTACAGGTAGTGCTCCACCCGCGCGCGGAACCCTCCTCCTCCTCCGCTGGTGGCCTCGCCTCCTCCCATCGCTCGCCTGTTTGTTCGTGCTGCTGCGGGTTTGCCTTTGCTGTGGCGTGCCGGCGACCGCCTTCCGCCGCCGCCGACGCCGGTGAGCTAGGGTTTGTTTGGTGTTGGTCGTCGTGGGCCGGAGTGGATGATGGGCCCACTAATAAGCGATCACGAATTTAGCAAATGGGCCCTGGTTGGGTCGCTGCTGTTTGGTACTAGGCGATAAGAAATTTTGCAAATCGACCCCTGCTTCCCTATCTTCTCCTCTTGCCGTCCTCCGCGCTCTTCCATTTAGGGCTATAAAAAAAGCTCGAGACTCACAAGCTGCTTAAGCTCGACTCGTTCTAGGCTCGATTCGAGCTCGGCTCAAGCTCCAAACGAGCCGAGCCCGAGCCTGTCCCAAAGCTCGCGAGCTTTGTCGAGCCGAGCTCGAGCTTCTAACAAGCCTAGTAATATATAATTTTTTTGTTGCTATTTAATAAATTAGTAGATCAAATATGTTACTTGTATGCCTTGTATTAGCATCATATATTTATTTTATTCTTTTTCCTCTTCTACTAATATGATAAACCATAAATTAATTGTTTTTTAAAAATTATCCTTTGAAATATACACTGTTCTAATTAAAAATCGAGCTCGGCGGTCGATTGATTCCCCTGCTCTTGTGTGATCTTCTCTCTAATCCTCATCTAATTGCTCCCAATCCTGCATTCCCCCGGTCTACGGTTTCTCAAGATTTCAAGTAGCCGGAGTTTGTAATTGTTCGTAAAATGCTCACAGGTAACCATCAATCAACCCATGTTAAAATCTGAAGTTCAGCGAAAGGGCCTGTAGCCTAGTGGTTACAAGAGCCTTAGTAGCACCTGAGGTCCTGGGTTTGACTCCCTATGGGAGCAAATTTTCTAGGTTTTAACGGCTTTGTGATTTCAGTGGTAGGTGCTCAAAAAAAATTCTAAAGTTAAATTTTTTTTATCTGAAAAGCACAGGAGAACCACATCTCATTTCATTAAGAAGAAAGCAAATATTTACAAAACACTTCTCAAAAAGTAAAATCTCGACCAAAAACTGAAGTTTAATTTGGCATTAAAGAGTTCAAAATCATATATATATATATATATATATATATATATCTTGCTGTTTAATACATTTTTTTTGCCTCCATAAATCTTATAACAAGATCAAAAGACAAGGGTCTAATTAAAGTATTATAACCCAGAATACATGGACCCTTGATGTTGCATTGTAGCGTGAAGATCCAATAAATGTAAAGAATCTAGACCATGTTTCCATATACAAATGAGCTCCCTAATCAGGGAAAAGAAATAAATACATCACAGATCATTTCTTTTTCTTTCTTTTGGCCAGCAGACATACCACCTGCATTGTTACAGACTTACAGTTACACATTACAAACACACCGTAGATCACTAATGATCTGCAGATGAATAAGATAGCCACAACCTAAATCAGAATTGCACACTGCAAATCTGTACACTACACTGACGAGACAACTGAGTACATAGCTGTGCAGCAACCTGATAACTGCATTGCCTTTTTTTTTTCTTTTTTTGGCATAGAAGAACTGCACTGTCAATTTGTTACTAACAGTTGTTATTGTGGTCTGATCCTGGAAATGGTAACCTGCTAGGCTCCTCCCCGTGTTGAGCACGCGATTGCGGCGCCGCCACCCATGGCGATGTAGCAGGAGGCATGCTTTCATGGAGTTGATGAACTTGGTGTTGAGCAGAACTCGATTCCTCTGAGGTGCCACCCAATACAATCCTCTCAAAGCTCGGCCACTGCAAAATGAATGCCGAGTCATGAACCATACTATGTAAAAATTACTGCAAGCACTGAGCTGTACACAGCATCCTGACAGTAATGAAAATAAAAATAAACAGAGCTGAATTGCTGTGGGTTTCACTAACGTCGATTGTATCAGAAGAGCTCATCAGCCTTTGGAGATCTTGTTGCCAATCAGGAAATGGCGTTGGTGCTTGATCTGCAAAAATTTGGAGTTTTAGATGTCATCGTATCAAAATGATTGATGCAGAATGCATGCACGAAGGAAAAGATAAGAGCTAAAGGGGTAGAGGGACTCGTTTGGGTATTTCTTAATGTTTAGCTCAAAGTTGAAAGGAAATTCACATATCCAAGCAAAACCCTACCAAAGGAAAATTGTGGAATCAGTAAGTACCTGGATAATCATGTGTGCTCACATCATTAGGATTAGAGGTGCTGCAGTCGCAGATTGCATTCGAGTAAAACGCCACACCATTGCACAAGTTTTCAGCTCCTATAGTTCCTTGAAATAAGAAATTCCGGCATCAATTGTGTGTGGTGAGGAAGACAAGAGCATTCAAAGAGAGTATCGTGTAGTGTGCACCATATGCGTCGAAGACCAAAAAATAACCAGGTATCCAGTAGACTAGTACAGCAAGTCTTTACTAACCTTGATTTGGCATCTGATGATCAGAACGATTTGATGGGCCTGCAGCAGCTGCTGAAGTTGGACTGATCGGTTCAGGAATGTTGTTTTTCATTACAAAATCGGATGGAATGTCATCCAATTTAGCATGTGCACGGTCTTTCAGTTTATTCACTTTTGTCTGCGTGACAACAACATATTTGTTTCTTATCGATTGGCTGATAAAGGAAACACAAATGAACATAGGATCATATGCTGCCAGAAAGATGTTGAGTTCAGCATGTACCTTTTGGGCTGGATCAAAATTTTCATATATGACATAATCACCACCAAATTTTGCTCCAACAATTTGATGCACACCGTTGAAGAAAAGTGTCGCATTTTCTTCTTCACTTTGATACGCTTTCAGCTCATGCTGGTCTCTGAGACAGCACTCCCTGGCATGCCCAACCATTTTATCCCATGAGTTCGTCTTCTTCTTCATCTGGAGAACCTGCATAGCAACAAATGGATGGATGTCATGAATCATGATGACAATAGTACGACAGCTGCAAACAAAATGTATGGAACATGTTTTACTTCTTCACGGAGCTTCTTGGCGTTCGTGTTCAAAGCCTTCAAGAAGTCATGCACTGTGAAGATTTTAGCCTTCTGAAGCCTCTTGTGGTAAGTCCCATCTTTGCAGATTTCCTCCAAGCGAAACACTTCATCGTCCAGCATTGGAGGATGCCTCTTCTCATTTGCTGCAAAAGACAAGACAAATGTGTCCTGGTAAAGAAAAAGCTGATTTGTTTTTAAGATAATGGATGCCATTCCGGCCTCTACACTCCACATGAGTGTCCACTGCTAAGAAACAGCTGCCTGAAAAAATGGAAAAAAAAAAGCACCTTCATTTCTGCGATCCAACACGGTAACTGGCTTCATGACAGCTTCCTGAACTCGGACACCGGTGTTTTCGCTCTTGCATACTCTTGCTCCCAAAATGAACATCCGACTGCGGGTCCTGGATGATCCTTCCTTGAAACGGATCTTGCCCAAGCGGTTTTCCCCCTTTTTCAACCAAACACCACAATCACCGCCCAACACGAATCCTTGCCCATTCCGACCTTGCACAATGTGATTGTTGAACTGCTCTTCAGTCCAGCTCACCCGACCATCGTTGGAGAAATCACCGCGGAGAACTACGATTTCGACTTTCACCTTGGAAAGTGGGCCATCTGTAATCATGTTGTCACCTTCAAAGATACCTATTCTGATAGCCTCGTTGCTTTCAGCTGTGATGTTCTTTTCGGTGTAAACAGGAGTCTTCAGATTATCCAGGAAACGCAGTTGAACATTTGTGTTTGGCTCCAGTCTGAAGAAAAGCATGGAGGACAATATGATAAAGCTCAGAATGTAGTGTTAGTAAATTGATATAGTACACTATGGAAAAGAGAACTTGACAACTGGCCAAATGGATAATTAATATCTAACATTTCACGATGAGAACAAAAAAGGACGAAAGAATCTATGAATGATGTGCACTTGTGAATCTTTTACCCTGGGTGTTGATCAGCATGACGATTGGAATGCAGATGCTTCAATTGTTTCTGTCAGTGTGAGAAAAAAAAAAGTACAAGGTTATCAAATGAGGATGAAACATGTAAAACACTGATTTAGAGGACTATGGAACTAACCACTTCATGACTGATATCCTCCATCCGCTCCTGCATGTTTTCCATCCGCTCCAGCATGTTTTCCTGTATATTTTCCAATTTTCTGATAACCAAAAAAAAATCATTTTTCATTAAACTATGACATGCAGAACTTCCATATTTTCATGAGAAAAATAAAAACTACTCATGCTAGTTATTAAAGCACATCAGTCGTGGAGCCAGGAAGATTTTTGAGCCAAGGCAAATTTCCATATAACTAGTATTTACTACAGAAATTTCATCATCGATTTACTCATCAATATTAAAATTTAATGGAGTTTTCGCCGGCGAGCCCGGGCGGTGGCTCCGCCCCTGAAGCATATTGATACGGAGTAGAAGAGAAATAAAATGGTAAAATAACAATATAACTATCACACACTTACTTGATAATAACACCCTGAGCATTGTGAAGCCTCTGAACCTATGAAAGCACAAGAACGTAAATTTAGCCACAGCCATGAAACAAGAAGGAAACAGGAAGAAGAAACATTGTAGGCTGTAGGAAGAAAAGAAATACCCAATATCAAACTATCAAAGTACAATGAGTTTATGCCATTTTTGCTGAACCAAATACCATACCAAAACAAACTTATGACTGTCAGTTAAATCAGTAAGATAAAATGAGTTTCATATACATCACAAACAGATATGCACCTGCCCGACTTTCAGAACAACATGTTAATTATTACTCCCTCCGTTTCTAAATATTTGACACCGTTAACTTTTTAGCACATGTTTGACCGTTCGTCTTATTCAAAAACTTTTGTGAAATATATAATACTATATATATATATATATATAAGTATATTTAACAATGAATCAAATGATAGGAAAAAAATTAATAATTACACAATTTTTTTGAATAAGATGAACGGTCAAATATGTTTAAAAAAGTCAACGGCGTCAAATAATTAGAAACGGAGTGATACTAGATTGGGAATCAGTACTGAAGATGGAATATGCTACCTTTACGACTATCAAATCAAACAAGTATATGCAAAAGGAAAGGGGCTAAAATCATTGGAGGAAGAAAGATAAAGATTTGCACTTTTGCAGAGAACAAAACGACTGTATAATTTTTTGCAGGGGGGCAAAATCATTGATCCGTTTATCCATTTGCTCACCATACGGCCAATCTGAGAGATGCTCTCCACGACCGTGACCCTCTCGCTCCTGCACACACAAACACAAAGAACAAAACAATAAAAATAAAAATTAGAGAGATGGGATGGGATGGGATGGGGATTAGCAAGGACACGATGGATGGAGGCAGCAGGAACGCACATTCGCAGCAGGAAGAGCAGCACGAGCACGATCTTGCGCAGCATCCTCGTCGCCGGCGACGCCAGCGCCGCCGTCCCCACACCGACGGCCGCCACGGCGGCGGCGGCGGCGACTGGGACCGTCACCCGCAGGCGCTTCTCCGACCCCCTGCGCTCCAGCAGCAGCAGCTCCCTCTTCTTCGGCGCCATTAATTCCTCCATTCCCCTCCCCTCTCTCTCTCTCTCTCGTTCTTGGACTCCTCTCTCTCTCGTGTTCTTGGATTGCGCGCTCTCTCTCTCTTTCTTGGATTGCTGCGCTCAGCTCGGCTTTATAGGTTGGTGGGCGAGCTGAGCTCGACGAGCACCACTCCAAAGCTGGGGATTTTAACTACTATTTGCCAAGAACTACACCTGCTCCGCTGCCGCGTGGCGCGCGCGGTTGGCGGCAAAAGCCCCAAGACCCATCACGTTCCCACTCTCCCCACTGGGGAATGTGAATTTCGCGGGAACAGCGTGCAAATCTTCCAACAACACAACGCGGGCATATGCTCGTCGTCGAGCTCGACCAAAACTACTCTATTTTTGGAATTACCAAAACAAAACAAAAAACAACGAATATGTGATGCTACGTAGGACAGGAGCGAGCATGATATCATGTTTAGTGATGTCATTTACTTGACATTTTATTTCATTATGAATGGGCGTAACATATATCGGTAATTATTATAATTAATGTATTCTTTTAACATGTTACTGCCTTGGAATTTGTCCCATCACTCTTTTTTAAAAAAAAAATCAGTAAAAATTATGTCTTATGGCAGAGGCCTTCAGAACTGTAATTCATGTATATTTTTATTACATATGGCAAACGCATAAGCCTTATTATATAATATATGCAATACCACACTCACATACTCACAAACACACACTCAAATAAATGAAAAACATCGAGTCAACGACTCATCCCTGATCTCAGGAAATTTTTCTTTTTCAAAAGCTCACTTATGTGTGCGTAATATTCAATATTCGTTGACACGGGTTCTAAACCCAGATAGAGTCATACACCCATGGCTTCATCACCACACCAATTTATTTTGAGTTAGCCTTAGGGACCGAATCATTCGAGTAGCGAAATACAAGCCATTTCGATCGAGCAGAGTGCATGAGAGGTCATTTAAAATTTGTAAATCGAAACTATAAACCTGATTTCGATCAATTACTAGCAAAAACAAAACATTTTTTTAAAAATACTACATAATAAATATAAACAAATTTAGAAAATTGAAGGGAAATTGAGAAAAAAGATCATGCTTTCTATAATTTGGGCAGTGTCAATTTTGTAGTCAGCTTAATTAAAACGATATAACATAACATATGAACAATGACAACCATATAAAAATGATTGGGAAGTTTAAAGTCGTTTATGATACTAGCAACATGGTAATAAAGTATTGTAATGGGATTTTGGTCCATTTAGCCTTTTTTTTAGTTCTTTTATTTGGTGGAAGTGTCCAAATTCACATAAATTTAGCAAGTTAATTCAAAAACTATTTTTAACTCAAATTTGAATTTTACCTAATTCTCCCTCACATTCATGATTTGAGCCAGGTAGAATCGGTCGAAACCGAGAATACTGAATGATTTTCATGGCATTTTGCGAACCCTGGATATATCGACATTTTTTCTTTAGTTTTATTTCCCTCGAAGAGGTACCCGCATACCAGATTTTCAATGCCTAGTGTTCCCTCCGGTGATTTCTCAAAAAAAAAAATGCCGAGTGTTCCTTGCTTGTGCTGAATCCTGAATGGGTTGAGATTAGAATATTTTATATTTTCCTTGCAAAAATAATATTTTTAATTTTTCATGTTTGCTTTCATTTTGAATTGATTTCAGGGCTGATTCAGTTTGTTGCCGTAGGTTTTGTAAGGCACAAACCAAACATAATTCATCCAATAACATCCTACCAAAATTTGGTAATTCCGAAAACTTTTGCACATACCAAAATTTTGTTAGGATTCAAACCAAATGCATCCCATCACTGCCAAAAATTGCTTATTCCAATGTGCCAAAATTTGATGATCCAACGCACTGAACAAGCCCTTGTTCTTTTCGAGCTTTACATCTCCAACCAAACAACACACTTTCAAGTATGCCTACACCCCCCCCCCCCCCCCAAAAAAAAAAAAAGAAGAAGAAGATCATCACAACTTTTTCTTCCACACAAACACATGTTTTTCTTTGGCACATTACTCAGGCCTCCAATCAAACAAGGCCTAATCTCCCTCCTCCAGCTGGTAGAAAAACTATCCTTTGTGTAGAGTAAAAGAATAGCTCAGAAAACCAAAATAAATTTACCTTTTGGGGAATATATACATGGTTGGGCTCTTGATGGTATATAATGGTGATGTGGATGTTAATATGATCCATCGGCTAGCTATAATATATACAACCCTCCACAAAAATCAGGAAAGTGAATGTGTTCTTGGAGGAAATGCAGAGCAAATTTCGTTTCGAAATACTATCAATCAAGATTCAAAAACCGTGTGCGAAAGAATGATTTTTATTGTTTGCTAAGCCGCGTTTTATCAACTTTACTGCCATCTGATAGCAGGAGCAAATCAAAAGCTGCATCGAAATCCAAAACGAGTAGCTTGGTAGGAACTGCGAAATATTACTGAAAATACAGGGAAGCAGCAACGGTGTTTCACGGTAAAATCCCTGCGTCTTCTAACGATTTTTCGTATTCCGTCTCTCCCTCACAATAAAGAATCGATCAAATTCGAAAAGAATACAATTAAGTTGACCTAAATCATTCTGCTCGTCGTCATTCTGAGCGTGTTTCAGTTCTTGGTCTCGACGCGTCCGGATCATGAAATAGACAGGAACACGTCGAAAGATTTGAATATTTCTGAGTGTTTCGACTTCGATCTGCATCATAAACAACACGCAAATCCATGGACTATGCAGTCGAACAGGTTAAAAGTCAGGTTCAGGTAAGTGTTGTATTTTACCAAGAGTCAGTGAGTAGCATTCTGCTTGAAGCAGTTCATTCTTAGAGGATAAACGTTTCTGCTTGAAGCAGTTCATTCTTATAGGAGAAACGATCCTGACAGGATTAGTGTATCTGGTTTCAGTAAATTATACTCCGTATTTTTACTGAATGTGTACAACATATGAATGAATTTAGACACAATATTTATTGTTTTTAATAAGGAAGATGAATTACATCCCCGGCCTCTGCATCTAGCATGCACAGAGCCAAAGTTCTTGTAACTAAATAATAATGATCCAGTAAATAGTACAAGAATATGAGCACATTACAAATTAAATAGAAGCAATCACTAATACCAAGCTGGCATATTAAGAAAATGAGACTCAAAACAGTACTTGACCTAAATATGCATCAAAATGAATGTTCATTGTTCTTAGGGAAATCAGTCTTCAGACAGCTTTTGTAGCGCCTCGTGGCATTCACTCTCTTTGAAGCTGTTGTGCGTTGAGTACATGGGGGCATCAGCGAGTACAGCTAAAAAAGATGGATCAAATTGTGCGGTAACCACCTGTTGCTCTTGGTGGAATTCAGCAACTGAAGCATCTGCAGAGAAAGTTTCAGTGAGCACAGGATTTTTTTTCTTTTTTTTTGTTGATGTGATTGCAGGGAATAGAAATGGGCAAGTTGTTCTTTGTCAAGTAATTACCATTTTCACAAGCTGGATGATCTATTCTGAAAGATGCTTGCCTCATCACCACTGATCCAGTAATTTCATTTGTAGAAGCGGTTGGACAATGGAATGTCACCGAGGCTGCTATCTCATTTGTGTTCATGCTTGCATCATGTTGGTCAGATAGAGAATTCAGGAGGAAACTGAAGTCCAAAGAATCCTGGGAGGTATTATTCAGTAAGAACATCAGACAAAGATCCCAAATAATACTGTGAAATATGTCAATTTCATTGTAAAGGATTAGAAAGTAGATGAAATTTGAATTGCAATTGAATTACATTTTTTTCAGGCTTAACTTACTTCATCGTTTTTGTTCAAGGATGCCACGTGTGTCACTCGCACAGATCCAAACCTTGATAATTTGCACTGCCTGGGATGACTGCCAGAAGTTCCTTGCTGATCATCAGATTCATGGACATTTCTCTCTGTAACAGCTTGAAAGTTTTGATGTCAATGAGCCACTGTATTTTGTTAGAGTGTCAACAACCATTGTCAGATGCATGAAAAAAAAATGCAGACTATTACTCTTTTGATCCATATTTCCTTGTATAAGGCCAGCAAAATTAGGATCCATATGTCCTTGGATTTGGTCAGTAAATTTAGGCTCCACCATTCTCGATTCTTGGAAAGCGCATTGGTTGATTTGTCTTGGTTTGCCATTTTTCATTTCAAAATCAGGTAGGAAGTGGTTCAAATCTGCATATGCTAATTTGCTCAGTTGTCCTACATCATCCTGCAAAGGTGGAACCACATGAGAATTGAGAACAAACTGCTTTATAGTGTACATATGATTATGTATGCAGCAAAGCAAAACTATGGATCTTTTGAGCAGAGAACTCGAAACACTAGCTTGGATGTATGAATAATTTGTTGAAGTAAAATCCTTTACACATATAATAGAACTAAAAGACTTAAAACAGAATCCTTTATAACCTGCAATTTGTAAACTCAGTCAGAACCAGAGGAATACCTGCATAGACTTGTCAAGATCACTGAAGGGAGTGTAATGGTCACCAGTTATCACCCCAACAATCTGATGGATAGAGTTGAAGAACAGCACAACATTGCGGTTTTCCGGCAAGAAAGAGTACAGCTCTCTTCCAGGATCACACTTCTTAGCATGCTCAATGATAGTCGTCCAAACTTTATCAGTGGCCTTAATAAGAATCTAAATATAGGGGGAATAAGAGCATGTCATTATATAGCGACTGAAACTGAATTGAGCAAATGGTACACTGTGAATTTTCTTACTTTGCGCAGAGCTGGCTCATCAGTATAGTACAGCCTAAGGAATTCCTTCACGTTTGAAATGCCACTCTGTTTCAATGCATCATGGAAGACACCATCTTTTGATATCTTCTTCAGGCGCCAGACATCATCATCCAATGATGGAATTTCATGCTTTTTGGAACCTACATTGTACCAAACATATAAGAATAGAACACTCACATTTTGACAATTCAGAACTTCAGATGTTGAGGTAACCAAAATGTAAAATTTGTAACTAAGGTTACCTTCTCCGCGACGATCCTTCACAACGAAAGGTTCAGTTATGCCTTCCTGAATACGTTCACCGAGATCATCAATAACCATTACCCCAAGTCTGAACTTACCACTCCTCATGAACTTGGAGTTATCAACAAAAGTGGCATCATGGATGTAAGCCTCTCCATTTTTCAGGCTAAGCTCAAGCTCTCCAGTCAGCACAGTCCCAACTTTATCACGTGGGCGCACTATGTGGTTTCTGAACTCCTCTGATGTCCAGCACCCCTGATCATTCTTGTTGAAGTCACCATCAAGAACAACAACTCTGATCTTAGCAGAAAGAAGGCGATGCGAGCAGGCCTCTTGTGGGTTGTTTACATGCACAGATATCTTGAGAGACTCTCCATTAACATCACAGATTCCTTTCTTTGTGAAAACTTCATTGCTCAAGCCATTTGAGAACCTAAGCTTGTACCTTGGAGGCTGGTTCTGATCAGACAGTGTTCTGCAAAAAAACAAGGAGAAAGTTGGATGAAGGTGAATGCAACCATAGGATTTACAAACATAGTCCCAGTTCAATATTCATTATTATATCTAAAAAGTTTCAATTTTCAGATAAGTCGCATTGCTAATGTGAGGGCGATACCTAGGAGCACGGATTAGGAAGCTTGTAAGTGCTTTTGTCACCTCCTCTGGAATCTGTCAAAGGAAAGAATTAAACTTTTTCAACGGTTAGCCTTTACAGAGTTTTTTATACTAACTCAAAAAAAAATCAATATCTAAAAAGAGTTACAAAATTAGTCTTGTTTAAAAATTTCAGGATATTATTCTCTTGTACCCAGAGCAGTTCCAGATTTTGGAGGACCATTTCAACCTCGATTTGAAGGATCTTAATAATCAAATAGTAGTAGCACAAGGAAAAACACAGTGATCCACTGTTTTGTATTTGGCAAATTCAATCCTTATAAGAGAGGGGTACCGAAGAAATATTCATACCTGTTGAAATTTACCCCAAATTCCAATATTTTAGTTCAAACTTGAATCTTTGTTGAGGTTTCCCCTATGTTGAATTTATATCCAAACTCTAGTTCATATCTTTCCCTTTTCATAAGCATTTTAAAAGAAAATCCAACAAGTATCTTGTCCCTGAATACGATTTTTTTTAGAAATAATACTTTTTAATAGAGAATTGCAAAAATAGAGGTTGAATGACTAAAATTGCAAGTCTAGCACCCAGCAACTAAAGTTCGACAGGGGTACATATCGAACAACCGCAAAACAGGGGATAAAAAAATACCCTGTTGAACTGCGGTTGTTCGACAAGGGATAAAAAATAATAATAATAAAAAAGAGAACAACCACTGTGCGACACCGTGCATGCAGGACCTATCGAACATTGTTCGATAGGCCCCTTGCCATGCCCTTTCATGTCCTTTTACTTTTTCAAGTGAACCAAAAAACCTGTCGAATAACCGCAGTTCGACGTGTTGTTAAACTTGCGATTTTAGCTAATTAGCTTCTATTTTTACAACTTTTCATTAAAACAATATTATTTCTAAAAATAATTCCTGAATACAGAGTAAGACACACACACATTCTCTCTCGTGAGGTGAGGTGAGATGAGGTGAGGGGATTGGTTACCCGGCTAATGGCGGACTCGAGCGCGGCCTCGAGCGTGCGGACGCAGCCGGCGGCGAGCTCCTGCAGGTGCCTGCAACCCCTGATCTCTCTGCAACCCATCACCAATCAATCGATCAGTGAGTAATAAAGGCCGTAAATGTAACTAATCAAGCGAGCGGAATTAACAAGAACTCAAGAACTAGGAATTCAGCTCTCACAGGTCGAACGACCGGCACCGCTTCTTCAGCGCCGCCGCCTGCGGCGACTCCTCCTCCGGCCGCCGCTTCGGCGGCATCAGCTGGACTAACTGGCTACCGCTGCTGCTGCTCTCCCTCTCCCTCTCCCTCCCGGGAGTGGTCGTGGTCGAGCTGGGGAAGAGAAAGAAGATCGATGGCGGTAGTGAAGGAGATGGGTGGCGCCATTGGCGTGTATATATAGAAAAAATATATACTCCACAACGGATTGGGGGGAGGAATGCCGCGGTTTTCCACTGCAGAACGCGGTATCAGCGGCGAGCGAGCTCGAGTCACCGCCGGAGACTGGACTGTTACTAGTAGTACTGCTTACAATATTCTATTTTGCTAGTGCTAGCTGCTGGATCTTTTTTGCTTGTCTCCATCTGCGACTCTCAACTTTTCGTTGTTTATTACTCCCTCCATCTCATAATACAACGGATTTTAAGATTTCACTTACAATATTCGATCACTCATCTTATTCAAAATTTTTTAAAATTATTATTTATTTTATTTGTGACTTACTTTATTATCTGTAGTACTTTAATCATAACTTTTTATTTTTTATATTTGCAAAAAACAAATTTGAATAAGACGAGTGGTCAAACGTTGTAAAAACACAAAATCACTTATATTATGGGACGGAGGGAGTAGCGTTTGGGTTGGGACACGGATCATCGGCAGTCCTCCCTCCCTCTGTCCCAATTTAAGGCCTTGTTTTTGTTGGGGAAAATTTTCGGATTGGTTATCATATCGGATATACGAATATATATTTGAAGTATTAAACATAGTCTAATAACAAAATAAATTATATATTCCGTCTGTAAACTGTGAGACGAATTTATTAAGCCTAATTAATCTGTCATTAGCAAATATTTACTGTAGCACCATATTATCAAATCATGACGTAATTATGCTTAAAAATTTGTCTCGTAATTTACACGCGAACTGTGTAATTGGTTTTCTTTTCTTTTTCCATATATAATACTCCATACATGTATCCAAACATTCGATGTGATGGGTGAAAAGTTTTTATTTTGGGAACTAAACAGGGACTAAGTGCAGCTATGATTTTCCGTGCTCAACTTCGATCGTCTGTCTTATTTGAAAAAATTTTAAAACTGAAGTGACGCATAAAGTACTAATCCCTCCGTTTCATACTATAAGACTTTCTAGCATCGCCCATATTCATATAGATGTTAATGAATCTAGACATATATGTTAAATTCATTAACATATGAAACGGATGAAATATTCATGTTATCTTCTAATAACAATAAAAATACTAATCATAAAAAATTTTTAAATAAGACATAAGATCAAAGTTGGGCACGGAAACTTATGGTTGCACTTATAATGACACGGAGGTAGTACTAAACTTGCAGTAGCATTTACTAACAAGTACTCCCTTTAATTTATTTTGGGACAGAGCGAGTAGACTGGTCCCATATATCAACAGCAACTACTAATCTACTATAGGTATAGTACGGTAGACAATCCCTACTCATTGGAATTGCAGAGATATATAAGTAGGGATGGCAACGGGCTGGGTCAGGCACGGTAAAGCGAATCCATGCTCAACCCGAGACACAGGTACCCGCGCCCGACCCACACCCCAACTGTTTATCGGGCAAAACGTCATGCCCACGCCCATGCCCGTCGGGCATAGGCATGCCTGACCACTGGATATCACACTTGCCACTGCGAGGAGTCGGGGATGGATTGGATGGAGTGCGCTGCCGCCTGCGCCCGCCACCCGTGCACTGCTGCCTGAGCCGGTGCGCCGCCACCTGCGCCCACCACCCGTGCACCGCCGCCTCGCCTGCCACCCAGGCGACTCCGCCTACTCCCGTGCGCGGTGCACCGCCGCCTGCACCCGTCCGCCACCGCGTCGCCACTTTCTCTTTCCCGTGCACCGCCGCCGCTATGAGATTAGGGTGAGAACTGAGAGGAGAGGTGACGGTGCGGGATTTGTGATAGGGTTAGGGTTTCGGTTTCACTACATGTAAATGGGCCAAATGGGATATGGGGCCATGAGGAAAGATGAAGGCCTAATGGACATATATGGAATTACAAAATTTTTGGGTCGGGCATGAGTTACCTACGTGCGAAATATAAAACCCGGGTGCGCCCACTAAGTTCACCGGTATCGGGTCAAGCGTGCCCAGGAACAAAAGAACGCGCCCACACCCGTGCCCATCAGGTCGGGTATCCATGGATACCCGAGCCCGCGGTGAGCATTACTGCCATCCAAGTACTCCGGTGGTGTTTGAATCTCCTGAAGATGAAGATAAAGATAAAGATTAAGTGTTTCACGCAAAACGATGTGGTAATAACATGTGATTAATTGAGTTTAAATTATTACAAACTTGAAAAATGGATTAATCTTATATTTTAGAATAACTTTGATATAGAAAATTTTCACACGAAACGCACTGTTTAGCAGTTTGAAAAACGTGCCACGAGTATCCAAAATTTCCGTCCAATACGTCCTCGGCTCTAAAAGCTTCTGTAGCTAGCTACACAGATGCGGTAAGGGCCTATTCGGTTTACATAAATTTTAAGAAAATTTAGGAAGAATTGAACTGTCTCATATAAAATTCTGTAAAATTCATGCATTCTGAGAAATTTTAATTATATTGTAAATTTGAATATTATAGTAGTATAAGTACTGTAGTTACAAATATAAGGTAATTTAAGGTGTAAAAACGACTCGACTATTTCTTTAAAAAAAATCATCTCAGTCCCCTCATTAAATTTCTATAAAAAATAAATCTACACTATGGACGCGCGCATATGATTTCAACCATAATATACATGTCAAAATCATGGATTCTTAACTTCACAACACACACCAAATGTGTTGTCATGGTGGTATAGCTAGCGAATAGCATCTCTGTGGCTCCAAATATAGCTTGTTTCTAGATTGCCAGTTTCTCCTTTTTCCGAATGTAGGTTGCTAGCTGTAAAGCTTTTTATTCCAATCACACTTTTTTTTCCCAACCTAACTACTGTTGGAATGTGATTCCGTTTACAATAATTTCGTCCTACATCCCATCATGCGTCTTCATTTGACATAATGCAAAAAAAAAAGAAAAAAAAAGAAAAACATCTCTATGATACTCCCTTTGTCCCATTTTAAGTGCAACCATAAGTTTTCATGTCTAATTTTGATCGTCTATCTTATTTAAATTTTTTTATAATTAGTATTTTTGTTGTTATGAGATGATAAAACATAAATAGTACTTTATGTGTGTCTTATGTTTTTAATTTTTTTAAAAAAATTTCAAATAAGACGAATGATTAAAGTTGGACACGAAAAATTATGACTGCACTTAAAATGGGACGGAGACATTATATACTCCCTCTGTCCCATAATATAAGAGATTTTAACTTTTTGCTTGCACTATTTGACTACTCGTCTTATTAAAAAAATTGTGCAAATATAAAAAATAAAAAATTGTTCTTAAAGTACTTTAGATAATAAGGTAAGTCACAAATAAAATAAATAATAATTTTTTTAATAAGACGAATGGTTAAACGGTACAAGTAAAAAGTCAAAATTTCTTATATTATGGGACGGAGGGAGTAATAAAATATGTTGTTGTGCACGTGCTCTTCACTTAATTAACAGTACCAGGTGCATACTTTAATTAGCAGCAGAGAAACTGGCAGCTAGCATGCATGGCTGCTTGGTGGTTGAGGGCATGATTAGCAATTTAGTATTAGCCTTAGATTCAAGATCTATGTTGGATTTAGAGTTAGAATCTATAAGTTAATTATAATGATTTACAATTTATATTTTGTCTCAAACAAAAATAAAATAATTTATCTAAATATTATCTATGTAATCGTGAACTTTAGACAATATAAATGATTTATAGAGCTAGAAATATCTGCTCTAAAAAATCAAAGATCTTAAGCTACGCTAAATAAGAAGAAGATCGAGAAAATACGTAACAATCAAGTAGTATTAGTTATTTTATACTTTAAAAATGAATAGGTATGATTTTTTAAAGTAACTTTCATATATATATATATATATATATATATATATATATATATATATATATATATATATATATATATATATATATATATTTAAAAAATACAACATTTAGTAATTCGAAACCATGTACGTGAAAAATGAGAGAAAGCATTTACTTCCTTTTTAAATAAGCAAAATTGGAGCAATCGGGGGATCAGACGCGGTTGCAAGTAACAATCGAATTAAGTTGACGCTGTCGGAAAATAATCCAAACAACCAGGTCGTCGTCGTCGTCTACGGCCGAAAGCTGCACTACTGCGAGTGTGGATGTAATAATTGCTCTTGCAGCCGGGTGGGACCCGCCCGGCGGCCTGGCTGGGCCCAGGTGTCAGCGGGATACGCTAACGTCATCCAGCTCCTGCCATGATGACGTCACCATTGGTATTTATTATCCGTCCCATTTCAAGTGCAGTCATGAGTTTATATATCCAACTTTAATCGTTCGTTTTATTTAAAGAAATTTTAAAAAATAAAAAACATAAGTCACACATAAAATACTATTTTTATTTTATCATCTAATAATAAAAAAATATTAATCAATTTTTTAAAATAAGATGGACGATCAAAATTGGACACGAAAACTTATAGTAGCGTTTAAAATGGGAAGAAGGGAGTACTCAAGGTGTTTTTCTTGAGAGATTGATGGATAACAAACGTGAGCAAAGATTATTCTCATGGTAAGGCCCTATTTGGTTTTCAAGACAAAAATTTTCACGCTGTCACATCGAATATTTGGACACATGCATAAAGTATTAAATGTATGAAAAAAAAATTACACAGATTGCGTGTAAACTGCGAGACGAATCTTTTAAGCCTAATTACGCCATGATTTGATAATGTGGTGCTACAATAAATAATTGTTAATGATGGATTAATTAGGCTTAATAAATTTGTCTCGTAGTTTCCTGGCGGAATATGTAATTTATTTTATTATTAGACTACGTTTAATACTTTAAATGTGTTTCCGTATATCCGATGTGATAGCCAGACCTAAAATTTTTCCCCTACTAAATAAGGCCTACGCAAGGTGGATGATGGCTAGCTACAAGCCTACTAGAACGATTTTAAAATAAAAATGGCATATGTTTAGTGGAAATGAATATCCATGGGTATTTTTTTTAAAAAGAAGAAAATTAGAGAGCATTTACAACAAATTAACACAATGGCATCAAAAGTCCAAAGAAAACATAACACACCTCCATTTCCTGACATGTGCCATTTGCTGCTGTCTGTCATGCCTGAAGAAACAGGACAGGTGTCCATAGTGGCCCGTCTTGCATAGAAGTGATATAAAGATATGAAGATAGAGCTCCTAACAAGTTTAAAGTCTGGTTTAATTTAGATTATTGAGCAGATTATTATGACAAATTATTGATTTAGTTATAGAAATAGATTAAGTATTCTAATAAATAAGGTTACAAAATAGCTTAAAACGAGTGATCTAAACAGTGCTACTTGAATCGTGGATCTAATAATCTGTTTCAACGATCACATAAAACAAGAATGGGGCCAAAAGAGCCAGCATGCAAGCCAAGAACAATGGGCTATAGCTATTTGTTTGGTCCTGCATTCTTCTTAAAATTCGGACGCTTTCATCTTCCAATGGTCAACGTAAACGTGTGGAAATGGAATCCACTTTGCTAAAAAGTTAACCATAGCGAGTAAATCCGTTAATTAAATGTGTTAACATGAAATTAAATATTGAAATAAATCACAGAGGAGAGAGGCTTGTTGAGCAAGATTTACAGTGGAGGTGATAATCACCCCTAATTTCATCCGCATCATCAACTCATTAATTTAATTTGATCCACATCATCAACTCATTAATTGAGGTACTGTAATGTATACAACAAATTACCTGTAACACACTTGTTCCAATACATCATATTAATTTAATAAGCTAAAGAAAAAGCTAAAATTTAAATTTTAAAACTTAATTTTGAGATATTTTCAACGTAGTTTTTTTTCAGCATTGGCTTTTAAGTCACCAAGAACACATATATAAAAGATTTACCTACAAATTTATTTTTATTCCAAACCTCTCATCTCTCTTGAAGTTTGCTCTCATCTCTCTTTTGCTTTATTTCTTTCCTATCAATCCATTGGTGGCTACTCCACTCTCTTCATTTCTCTCATCCACCTTATCTAGTGAGCTAGCTTACATGATACCTAGAGACAATGGCATAGAGGCTTAGAGCAGGTACAATAGCAGGCAGCCAGTTGTTAACATATTTTAAAAAGATAAAGGAAGATAGAGAAGAGCAGCGGCCTACAGATTTGTAGCCAGCTGCAGCACGGACTTCGATACGTATTGTGTGTATAGCAGGTGGGACCAGATGTGTAGTAAGCAACTATTGTATGAATTGGCTATTAGATTGGCTATAGATGAATTGGAGCTAGTAGTGGGCTATACTATTAAACTTGCTCTTATAGTACTTGCCCTTAAAAATTTAGTTACTAATTGTATCGGGGGAAGTTACGGGTAACGAAGGTGCATTAATTAGGAGATCCTACTACGCATCATATTGCATTTACTAGTGATTAGTATAGGCATAGAAATGATCTTCTGTGACCCTAAAAAAGGTGTTATGTGCCACCAGCGCGTGAACAATACAAAATTGCAGGCAATCTGACATTTTTTTTATCATTAGTGCGTGAAACAATATGAACTTATCTCTTTATATTTACGCGTTTGTAGTTAAGTTCAATCTTGGGTGGGCTTCCAAAAAAGAAAAAAAGAAAAGAAAAGATCAATCTTGGGTGGAAGCAGAAGAGCTGACTAGGACTACAATTCTTCCGAACATTTGATAGGTTTAACCAACTAGTTAATCATTGCTCCAGACTAGGACTATACATGCACACACACTTCATTTATGTATGAATATAATATTTCAAGTTGATATGTATACTTCCAAGGCTGAAGAATGTCATTGTTTCTTCAAACCTTCAATTGTGTGGAGTTGATGCTGATGCCTACCTTGAATTTTCATCGATTTGTCACGCGTGTACCTTGATCTTACATACCTTGATTACATGGACCATAACACAGGTATTCGTGATGTTACCACTTGGGTCTCCTGATAACACAGGTATTCGTGATGTTACCAAAATATACATATAATCTTATTTGTTGAGGCGACACACCCGTGACATGCTAACGAGCATCCATATATTCACAAATTCATCCTTCTGATGATCCTAGAACAATGCTGTCATCTTCAGATGGCAAATCAGCTTAGACATCAGCAACTTCCGCTTGGTATTATACTGTTTCGCGGAAGCGACTGTTGCCTTCAATCAATTTTTAGAATGTAACTCTTCACAAGATGTCATCAAACATCAGGGACAATACCAGCCCCTGCACGAATTGGCTCCTCCGAGTTCTCTCTTCCTTGACCTCAGGGAGCAGAGGCTCATCAGCACTGGCCAAAAAAAAAAAAAAAGTTACCAAAGTCAGTGCATCATCATGCTGAACATAAAATTTAATCATTGGTAAAATGAGATGTGTTTGTATAATAATTCTACTAATAGGCAGTGTTTATAGAAGAACAGCATCCTTCTTGAAGCCAATGACTTAATGAACTATATCTTCAGTGTTACAGATTTACTAACTAATGGCTATAAAATGAAGCAATTGCATACTAGAACTAATGCCAAAGATTTGATGTACAGTAATACAAAAAAAATACGTATTGATTTTCAAAAAGTTTTCAATACCTTTCCACCGGTTTCTGTTCCTTCTGTACTAAGGAATCACTTTTCTCATCCGTTTCATCTCGGAACTCTTGTTGTACATCTTTTGGTAAATCTGTGTCGGTGAAGTTACCAACAAAAGAGGATAGTAGAGGATCAGGATCTGTGTTGTGTGAAGCAGCACGTGTGGATCCTCCATAACGGTACTGCAGATATGCCGCGTCCTTTTTTAATGTGGCACGCGTTGAAGAATGTGATCCATGTGAAACTCGCCGATTTCTCCATTTGCCCTGCAAATTAGTTTAGGTCAAGGGAGTTAAACAATAAGTACATATTTTCATCAGAAAATAAATAAATTTTTTATGATATGTTTCCAGAATTGTCAACCACGCCTCAATGATTTATATATAAATAACCATCTGTCACATAAAATTTGATATGAGCCAAAAACGAGTGGTGAATTGACATGGTATATATGTGTGATTCTCTCTCATACTATTGATGCCATTAATTAATCAATTACAGAAGAAGCTTGGTAATCGCTACAAGATCTGTATTTTTCTGCCTATGAAACAAATTGTACTGGCTCTACACTTTTACTGCAGTTCCATGACATCACCTGAATGCTATGCTAGAAGGACCGGCCCTGTCAATGCTACTATCATACAAAGCTCCAGTTAATTAATTTAGTAGTGCCAGTTGGCCACTATAGAACATAGCAGGAAATATGCACTGAGCGATAATTTAATGGGCATGGCAAGATTCAGCTTTAAGCCCACCAAACTGAAAATCCGTAAATCATTAGAACCAAGATAAAATGGAATAAACAAACATAGTCTACTCAACTGCTGTAGAACATTTCACTTGGGAGACTATATTGGACACAGTCGGATTTCAGCCTTTGAATTGATATTGTTGTACACTGAAGCTAATGATGTGAAGCTCAACACCATCAATGGAAAGTTGGGATGCAGAAGAAAAGATGGCCAAATTCCCAGGTAGGAATTTTAACTAGGAAAACAAGAATTCAATGGTACTCCTTTTTTGATAGAAAAGATACTACCACCTTATATATGGCAGTAGCTGCTAAAAGGATCTGACACAATGGTATTCTGGGAAAAAAAACAGCAATCCAAATCCAGTAGAATAAGACCGATGGGGGAATCAACAAAGTTTGCAACTTATTTCCTGGAATTTGATTCATACATAACAACCATCTATCACATACAATTTGATATTAGCAAAAAAACAAGTAGCAGATTGACAATTACCCTAGACCCTACTGGCATATATGCAATACCCCAATATTATAATAGTGGAATTAATTGACTAATGAATAGCTGATGAATGTTGGAAGTACTGATACCTTGAAGAAACTGGGATGTTCCGAAGTGATGTGACTAACCAAGTCCATCCCAACCGCATCGTAGCAAATTGGACACACCTGAAAGAACAACAACAATACAATTACACAAAAAAAAAGCAGCTAAAATAAATGTATTAGCATAAAAACACCTTTTAAGTACAAGTTCTGTAGCAAAACAATATACATAACTCAACACAATCTTCAACTACAAATAACTTCTTGATGTTTTAAGATTCACATGCTTAGTACTCAGATGATATTATGTAGGGTCTACATATTCTAGCCTATGTTCTCCTCAGTACCAGAAACAGCCTATGTTCTCCTCAGTACCAGAAACAGCAGGCACTAATGTGCTGTGCAGTAAGCTACATAATTAAATGGGCATGACATAATAGTGTGTTAAGTCCATCACCTATTAAATGAAAACTCATAATGGGATTAAATGAAAACTCATAATGGGATAAAGACAAAATGAGTGAAACATTATCTACTCAACCTCAAATCCACTTACTAACACTACAGCCCAAAACTACTCAGAGAACTACATCTAGAAACTACAAGCAGAACCTTTCACTCCATTGGAGTTTGGAAACAGCCAGATTTTAGCATTTTATTGGACATTGCACACTCAAAGTCAATGATACTAAGCTCGGCAGCACAATGAAAGATTGGGATGCAGAAGAAAGTTTTGCCCCAATCCCGCTTAAGCTAGTAAAACTAAGATCTTTAAAAAAGGGAAAACAGCTAAATAGTATTAGTTTTTTTTTATAGAAATTATACTACTACTATGGCAGAAGAACCTTATTACTGCCGAAAATCCACAATCCAACTAAATTCATAGTACTGTAACTAAAAGGATCTGATACAAAAGCATTCCATGGAAACAACAAAAAGTTATTCACATCTACTCGGATAAAATCAAAGGGCGAATCACAAAAATTTTGCAGCTTAAATACCTGAAAACCACCCAAGAGTACAGCTGTCCTTAAGAATTGTGATCATTGTGGCAAAAATAGAAAAGCTAAAATCACTACATCAGCATACATCAATGTGCTAGAAGCCTTATAGGATCACAGACAAGCACCTAACGACAAATCAGCAGGCCTAGGTGGGATAAATTGGCTTGGCAGGCAAAAGGGAAGAATTCTGCCAATCACCACTAGGGCTCTAGGTAGGCTAGGCGGAAAACACTTAGATGTTAGAAAACTGGCTAAAATAGTTGTGTCTTGTAATTCTTATCAACATAAAATGAATTGCATGCGCACTAAGAAAAGTAATGGGATTATCACATTCAACCAAAAGCAGCCCAATTCCTCACAAAGGAAGAGCATATTAAGCCCATTTAAGAACACAATTAGACACACAAGTATTCAAAAGCCAGCCAAACATCTCAAAGTTAATAGCCCGATGCACATGTATTTGCCAAAAGCACGTAAAGACCCTTGACATTGATGACTGTATAATGATTTGACTATAAAAGGTATGAAATTTCGAAGAAAAAAAAAGAAGCTTATATATATTGTGGTTGTATTATTAGCTATACCACAAATACTATATTAGGCACCACCTGGAACATCTAAAATATTATCATAAATTATAGGTTTCCTAAAGTATATGCAATTTAACAGTTACAATCAATGAAGTGGACACACGTACGGCCACCTAGGCACGCGGCACACACTAAGGTCACCTAGCTGATTTGCCTTCATTTATGGCTTTTGACGTTTGGCAAACTGGACAGACGTGGCACAATCAAATTAAAAAACTTCTACCTTCAGAACTCTATAGTGAAAACAGCTCAGAAACACTTCATGAATCAATTTATAAACCTACAAAATCAAATTTTTGCAACTAAAATCATTACTTAGGAACTAAAAACAGCTCGAACATGTTTGCTATACGAGCATAAGAACCCTATATGATATGGCAGTGTTAGTGTGTTACCTGGACACCCATGTCCAGATTTTTTCCCCCCAAATTGGACACCCCAAGTCTGAGTAGGATTCCAAAAAGAGGTATTTTGTGTGTCTAATTCTTTTTTGCCGAATCGGACATGCGAATCCAAGTCGGATTCTGACACACGTGCCCGTGTCCAGGTAACACTGCCCTATGAGCCCAAAAAGATCGCACCAAGGTGACTAAAGTATCAATGCCACAACAAAAAGCAGCTGAAAGACACCATGCTGATGAACAGGACCGCACTATGCACCCAAAGAAAACCATCAACGGAACTGAATTTACACCTTAATATCAAAAGGTAGCTAAAATGCACCTGTGTACATATAAGTAGAAGCACCATACACATCTTAAAAACAACATCCGCTTCACTACGAATAAAAAGCATCGAACGCGCATAGTACGGAACCAAAAACAACTAAGGCGCCCCCCAACAATCCTACCTTGGAATCAAAACCCTTTTCTTAGCGACTAAAATCACCGCGCAAGCACAGGCATTCCTCAAGAAACCATACGAAATAAACAATTCGCCCAACCATTTTACAGCGAACGTTAATAAGCAAAGGCCCGACGTTTCTTTGCCGGAAGCAAAGCAACTAAAGGATCAGTACAATTTTGTTACTATCTTTCTTTCTTTATATTTTTGTTTCGGGCTTGAGATCGATCGATTGGATGATTACCCCGGCCCTGTTCTCCGCCTGGTGTTCGTCCTCGATGTGGCAGCAAAGCCCGAATCCGTCGAACTCCTCGTCGCAGAACGGGCACGCCACCTCCGCCGCCTCCTCCTCGCCTTCGCTCCCCTCCGCCTCCTCCATCCCAATCAACGCATCTGCCACCACACCACAAAATCAAAAACCCCACACACACACACCAAAAAATAAAAAAAAATAAAATAAAACACAACCACCACCGAAATTCCGCACGCAAGATCGAAACCGAATCTTTTGGCCCTACCGAAGCACGAACCCTGCAGCCTGGCGTCCGCGGCGAGGCGCTCCCACGAGTCCATGTCCATCGCGGCGGCGGCGGCGGGGGCACACGGTTCTTGGGCCGGGCGGGGGGGGGGCGCCCAAACCGGAGGCCGCGAAAGCGGGAGGGCGGCGGCGGCGGCGGCGATCGGGCGGCGGGGTTTAGGGGGGGCTAGGGTTTTGGCGGCGGATGGGAAGAGAGAGAGAGATGAGACACCGACACGGAGAGGGAGAGTGTGTGGCTGGACGAAGGGAAGGGAAGGGAAGGTGTTTGTTGTTTTGCTTAGGGAGGAAGGAGGAGGAGGGCGGTTTTACGAGTAGCACCCTTGGGTTTTGTGATATTTATTATGGGCTGTAATGATGGGCCGAAAGAGGAGGCCCAGTATGTCTTTTTTTTATCTTCTTCTTTTTCTGATTAACGGCCTCGTCTTTTCACTTATCTTATCCTTATACTTATTGGTCACAACTTAAATTTCAACCTTAAATTTGAATCATATTTTAAGGTTTTTTATCGAAATATTTTTCAGTCTTTGCTTTTAAATTGCTAAGAACACGTATATAAAAATTTTATTCACAAATTACTTTTCGTTTGTAAATATGTTAGGCCGTAAGACTTCATTCGTTTCACCAAGACCAAGAGTTCAAGAGAGAAGAATATTTGCATAGCACGTAAAACGAGAAAGCTTATTAGTGCATGATTAATTGGATATTAATTATTGTAAACTTGAAAAGTTGATTTGTTTGACTTTTTAAAGATAACTTATATATATAAAAAATTGTTGCAAAAAATTATATCGTTCAGTAGTTTGAGAAGCGTGATAACGGTAAACGAGAAAGTTAAATTTTAAAGCTGGAGTATAGAATAGGGCTTAAGATACAAATTCTACCTCGGTTTCCATTTGCACTTTCCCGCTCATGTTAAGCTTAGAGCATGTATAATAGCAGGCTATAAGATAGTTACAAACATATTTTAAGAAGATAAAAGTGGAGAGAGAAGATTAGTGGGCTATAGATTTGTACCCAGCTATAGCACGGACTCCAAGATACATGTATGTATGACAGGTGGGACAAAGTATTAATTGTGTAGTATATGTTTATAGGTAAATTATATGAATTGGCTATTAAATTGACTATAGATAATTTGTAGTCAGTAGACTATGCTATTAAACTTGCTCTTAGTCTGTGTCGGTTCATATGCTAAACGAGTTAGCCCGAGCTGGCTCATGAGCTGTTTATATGGATAGGGAGGACAAGTGTACGGTGTGTATTTAAGCGTCTGTCTTTTTTTTTTTACTGTGCTTCTCGAAAGTTTAATGTGCGAATATTTGACAAGTAATAATGGATTTTTAGCCTTCTATATGTGATGTAAGTGATGATGGGCAATATGACACTGCAATTTTGCAATAAGCTGGGGGAGCCAAATTAACAAGCGTGATTGTTTGTATGCAAATGTGTGATATGTGGTCACGTCTATTGAAACGTTGTGTAGCCAAAAGGGCCGTGAATTGGCTCGAGCCAACAAACGAGCCAAACCGAGCCGTTTTATGCAACACATTTGCTGGTCCTTTCGGGATAGAGATAGTTAAGCATTGTTTGTACACATGGGGGCAAATTAAAAGGATGATGGATGCATGAACTAACAAAAAAAATATGTTTACTCTCAAGTAAATACTACTCCCTCCGTTTCAAAATATTTGACATTGTTGACTTTTTAGTATGTGTTTGACCATTCGTTTTATTCAAAAAATTTAAAGTGATTATTTATTATTTTCATCATTTGATTCATTGTTAAATATACTTTCATGTACACATATAGTTTTACATATTTCACAAATTTTTTAAAATAAGACGAACGGTCAAACATATGCTAAAAAGTCAACGGTGTCAAATATTTTGAAACGGAGGGATTATTATATATCTACGAATTTCACATGAATTTTAACATGTATGAATTCTAAAATTGGGTCTGAGGAGTGCTGACCAGAGTGTGATAAGTTTGACAGATTTTTTTTATAGCATTTCACAGAACATTCGCCAGGAAGCTCTCGTAGCTCAGTTGGTTAGAGCACCCGTTTAGTAAGCGGGAGGTCTTGAGTTCGACTCTCAACGAGAGCAAAATTTTGTTTTACTTTTCTGTGCATGATGAATTCCCATTCAAAATTTAATTTTATTTTCCTGTGCATAATGAATGCCCATTCAAAAATTTATCACTGTGCAGGAGTAAGTACATTCTAAATCACTGTTTAATTAGTTGCAACCTCTTTCTTTTTGAATAAAGATCCAGCAAAGAAACTCTTGCCCTGAATACAAGCAAGAACGGAAGAAGCGTGTATATATAGCAGCGAGTCTGAACAGTCCATCTCATGCAAGTCTGAACATTTTGACAGCTAGTGATATTTTGGTAAATTCAAATTTGTACACGACACATCCATTTACATGATTTCACTCGAAATGCCCGGCAGTATGGTAGTAGTAGTTGTTGTAGAGTTTAATAGGCCAACATGTGATACTTTTCTCATGTCTTCCCTGGTCCTCCCCAATCAAATTACTACCATGGTACTCTGTAATTCTGAATTATCATTCTGCATTCTATCACAGCTCACTAGCTAGAGAATGTGTAGTGCGTACCCCCATCCCGTCTCCCCAGAGCACGCTGTCCATCGCCGTGAGTTTTTCCACCCGCGTCGTCCCCTCGCGAGTCATCGCACGCCCTGGCTAAGGGACGCGGCTCTATCTCCTTTTCGGCCAGGGGACAGACAGAAGGGACGCAGTGTGGGGATGGGCGCCACAGGCGACGGTCTCTCCAGCCACCATATTCCCCTTCCACCCCTCAACTCTCTCTCTCTCACCCACCCCCCTCGAGATTGTGGGCGGTATTTTGGGAATTTGTTACATGGGGTTTCTTTAGGCTAGGACACCCACTGTGGATTAAAGTACCTTCAGTCAGCTGCTTCAAATTTTGAAGAGCCAATCTAAGTGTGGCTTTGGTTGTAAGATGAGTGTCCCTGATAATGCTCTCAAATTTTAAAGAGCCAATCTAAGTGTGGCTTTGGTTGTAAGATGAGTGTCCCTGGTAATGCTCTCAGTTAGTGAGGGCATGGCTTTGGTTGTACATGCCCTTATGGATAGTGTGTACTACCGTGTGTAATTTCCATCTGTGCTGTTATTGCCTTTACTGTCACAACTCGGAAGGGATCTCCTCCTTCATGCTCTGAAATACTCCATATTGATTCATAAGACGAGGTTAACAGCCAATTGAACCGAACAAAATGAAGGGGCTTCTTTGGTTTACTACCGTGTCAAAATCTATTGCAGATTTTTGTAGTGCCATTTTTTGTTCAACTTATGTGCGATTGACATATTTTAGCAAATACTATTCAAAGTACCGAAATTTGGTAGAGTAAACTTCACACCAAAATGTCCCGAATATGATTAGTACTCAACTGATCAATAACTCAACTTCTTCTTTTCGTTTTTGTTTTTTCTTTTCAAAAAGAAGTGAATAACCGAACATCACTTGATCAGTAGTCATATACTGAATTACTGATAATGCTTCCATATGACATAGTAAAAAATAATTTATGAATAAAACGTTTATATATGTACTACTACTATTAGTAACTAGCAAGGTAGCCCGCGCATTCGCGCGGGCATGTGTCGTACGCTAAGCTGGAGACACTTATAAGAGCAAAATATTAACCAGAGAACATCTGCTACGATTTCTCCATAAATTATTTTTGTCGGCATTAATTGCTTTTATAATTTTCTAACCTATGAGCTTTATCTTATATCATATTTTAGTAATATCTACAAGTAATTATTTATAATCTTCTCCATCATTTGAAAAGTAGCTAGAATTATTTTCTTTAGAAAACATGTCAACAAAAGATAAAGTAAGGTTTTTTTTCTTTTTTTAATTGCATATATATTATCATGGTTTAATAGAGGAGAATTGGGTGGGACATGAAGCTCCACTAAATGTATGGGTTTATAAAGCCTAATATAACTGATGTATTTTGAGAGGTGATCCATCTATAAACATTTCATGTAAGAGTCTCCACACAGCCTAACATGAATACTATAATGACAAAACATAATTGTGCTGTATTAATTTTGAAATGTTATAGTATTCATATTACTATAGCATGAATACACATTTGTTTTTTATATAAGAGTGATCCAACGATAAGAAATAATGGTTCCACCGGTTTAAAAGGCATAGGACTATTCCAAAAATATAGCTTAAAAATTATGTGTGTTTAAAATTCAATATTATTGCAAAGTGAGTGTAGCTCAACTGGTTAGGTTCCTTGTATTGGAACTTGCCACCGGGTTCAAGTCCTAGACTTTGACATGGGTGCTCGCATTTACGACTGATTATTCTTTCAGTGGTGGGTGGCGTATCCATCGACAGTGAGACGCCCGTGTTGATTTCTTAAATCTCAAAATATGTCGTCTAATCTTTTGGAGATATTCAAATGGGGGTAAGCTATGTGTTTGTGAGTTAATAGGGGTGAGTGTGCGTCCATTAAGTTGTGAGCGCTTACGTTTGTTGTGTGTTTCTAAAAAAACATTCATAGGGGTAGGCTATGTATTTATGCGTTCATAGGGGTGAGTGTGCATGTGTTGTGAGTACCTATATTTGTAATATGTTTCTAAAAATATCAAACATTATTGATTGTTTTTCTTTTAGTTTAAGATCTAAACAATATGACGGGGATGGGCAGTGTTGTGCGCATGTGAGGGCGAGGAGGAGGTGGAAGAGATTTTATTTTTGTAATTTTTCTAAATGATTTAAGTGATAGCCGATGATGGGGTGCTTCATTTTTTTAAAGAATTTCTAAGATACTTTTTTGCTTTATAGGACGTGGCACACGACGATTTAAGATTATGTTTAAGAAATAGATCTAATAGTTAAAAATAATGGATACATCAATTTAGTTGTATTTTTTTATCTTAGGACATGATAGAGAGTGACTTATGAACGCTCGTGAGGGAGTTTAATTAATACATATTTTTAATAAATTTTTGGTTGTTAGGATATTATTTTTTTAAGATAGATATTATGGGTCCTAGTTTTGAGTTATATATTTTTATAAATACATTTAATTTTAGATCGATTAGAAAATACTTTGGGTGTTGTATTTTCTAATTAAACCACTTAGATTGTTTTAAATTGTTCTACTCGAAGTATATGTTATTAATCAGAAGGTTTAAAAATCTACTTGATATTTTCTTCAAAATGTATGAATCAGTGAACAATAGTTAGTCCGTAGAATATATATGACACAAAGTGATGAATTTCTTTAATAATATACTTAACTTAGATCTTCAGTTTTAAATTTTATAGTAAATAATCTAATGGTGTGCACCAATTAAAAAGTAGCTATATGATTTAGATAATATAGTTGTTTAAAATTAGTTTTCATAAAATATTTTTTTCCATCTAACTAAAAGAGAAAAATAGGAGAGAAAGAAAATAGGTGGGGAGGCACGTATATACCGAATGGGAGGGGTGGATATGCGGGGCTTGTTTTCTTATCCTTTTCTATTTGATAAACAAATCTAATGATAGAAAATAACGGGTTATAAAATATTTTTTCCATCTAACAAATTGAGGAAAATAGGAGAGAAGGAAAATTGGTGGGTCTGGGGAGGTACATACTGGTCGGAGTAAGTATGGGAGAGGTTTGAGATATGGGGGCCTTTTTTTTTGTTTTTATCCTTATCTATTTGGATAGATAAATCTAATGATAGAAAACAATGAGTCCACTGCATATTAGTGAAAATCAACGGATGGATGTTTTGTTTGTTCTCAGATTTTTTGTGATTTTCTTAAATTTATTAAAATGCCACGTGGTGGCGTAGGAGCATTTAAAGGAGTGCCACGTGACGACTTGAGAGCGTTTATAGCACATGTGTAGGCACCTTAATTATTTAGCGATGATTAAAATTTTATTATAAATCCTTATGTGGAAATGACTTTTTAAAGGAAAAAGTCTGAATTACACCCTTAAACTACAACGACGGTACGAATATAAACTCATTTATCACCATCGTTTATAAACATATGAGTTCATATATTTTTTGTTTTGTTTTTTCTGGCAAATACTAAGCATGTACTTGTTCCTCTTTTTTTGAGACAAATATTTTTTTTCTCTTAGTGTAGGTGTGCGTATGTGTATTTATATGATGGATGAGCATACATTTATATATGCGCTCGTGAATGCCTTTCATATAATTAGTAAAAAAATACTTTCAAGAAAATTGGTGAGATGGCGTGAAGTGGTGCTGTGGCGACGTGGATTCTTTGACAATCTCGTTAGGAGTGGTCGCTACTCATATGCACAATTTGAGGAAAATCTCATAGCTGCAAAGAAAGAAAGAAAGAAAATATATATATATATATATATATATATATATATATATAAGCACGGGTTATGTAATATATATAATACTTAATTAATCTTACGCTGATGATATGCTTTATTTTGTGTGTCCTAGATATGCTCATCCAATGAGGTAGCCCAAATAATTCCTAAAAGATAAAATGACATCCACATGCTGTATATATATATATATATATATATATATACTATATATATATATATATATATATATATATATGATTGTTAATTTTCCAAAAAAAAACATATGAACAAAGAAACATATAATATGTGAAAATACATTCATGATAAATTTAATAACATCATTTGGATATATCAGTATTACACAGTATGGAGTGAGTAAACTTTTAGAGTGCTACTCACAATTTAAATTGTTTTTTTAATATATGTCCAATTTAACTATGCTCTCCAGTGATATACAATCATATAATCCACAATTTTAATTTATTATTATTATTATTATTATGGAAGATTCGATGAGATGCGCTATTTAGAATAAAACTTGAAATAACATGTACTTTTAGAACATAAAAAACATGGTTAACATGGATTTTTTTTAGTTTTTCATCTAATCTAAGAATACAAGAAGGAAAAAGGAAAAATACATTTAGGGGATATGTACTTACATTGGGACGTACAGGTTCTATGGCACGTACGGCCGGGTAACGTGGTATTTTTTTAAGATAGATTGATTTGGTATTTTCTTTAAATAAAGATCTTTAAATAAAGATCTAATGGCTAAAAATAATGAGTCTACCAGATTAATTGAAAACCAATGGCCAGATGTTTTTCTTTTTTATTAGAATTTCTAAGATTTATTAAAACGCCACGTGGCGAGCTAGGAGTGTTTGTAGGGACGCCACGTGACGACTTAGGAGCGTTTGTAGGAAGTTTAATGGACTTTTAGTATATAATAGATAGATTTAAATGCTACTAATGATGAAAAAAATATTTGATGAAAAACATCAAAATCATCTCCAAATTTTGCTTTTAAAATTTAAATTTTGACAGTGACCGAATCTATATAGAGCAAACTATCGAGGTCCTGGCGCTAGAGTGATTTGATTTTTGAGATGCTCTGCAAAGCGTAGTACTCCAACGGCTGTGAGTGAGGACAGACAGTCAACTCGATCAGCAGATGGTGTTGACTTCGACAATCTGAGAGAAAAAAAAAGTGACCGACGGTGGGGGCCCAGGTCGGTGATAGAGCCATCGGAACAACGGCTGGGATCCATCCATCATTTCCTCTGTAGCGAGATTCCATACTTTTTCAGTTCTTTGGACGACTCAGCATGTTGCGTCTTTGCTATGAATTTTTACACTTGGCATTCATGATGGTCTCCGTAGGAACTTACACACATGAATTTAGTGGGTGTTTGAGAGAAGGAGAAAGGAGAAAGGAGAAAGGAGAAAGGTGAAGATTGGGAATATAAATTAAATAAAGTTGAGTTATTAATGTATGATTAATTGAGTATTAATTATTTTAAAATTAAAAATAGATTAATATGATTTTTTTAAAACAACTTTCATATAGATTTTTTTGAAAAAATACGCCATGTAGTAGTTCAGAAAGCGTGCGTGTGTAAAAAAAACTTATCAAAATTGTACAACCTTTAGGCATGTTTGGCTATCTTAGCTGCCACAATGGTTGCGACTATGGCAATTTAAACCGGCTCCAGTAATTGCCACGGCCATGCTGTAGCTGCGACAACTAGCGCGTCCGAATGGAGCCGCTTCATGAAAGACCGACTAAGGGCATCTACAATGTAAGCTACTCCTAGAGTATCCTCACTAACTGAAGACACTCGTAGGGGAACTCAGCTCGTAATGGAGGATACCCCTGGATGGGCTCCTCAAAATCTGAAGCAACTTAATAGAGACACTCTAACCCACAATGGGTATCCCAGCCCACAAAGCCCCATATTTATTTTTACTACTCTACCCCTAATCTTTCTCTCTCCCGCCCCTCTTCTCTTTTTTTCACCGCCGCAGGGGCCTCTCCCTCTCGCCGCCGCCGTCGCTCGCCTCTCCCGTCGCCGGTGGCCGTGAGAACGACGAGGAGGGCCGCCCTCCCATCGCCGGCGTCCACCGCTACTCCTCTCTCTCCCTCTCTCCCGTCGCCATCCTCCCCGGCATCCTCCGCCTCGCGCCGTCACTAGTCGGGGACGCCAGATCCAGCGCCGTAGTGGGTGGATCTGGGCCTCTCACGGCCAGATCGGGGAGGATATGGTGGCAGGCAAGGCGCCGGCAGAGGAGACCGGGCAAGGCGTGCGATGGCCGGATCTCGTCGCCGTCGTCCCTGAGCACGACGACCACCACCACGACGTCGTCCACGTGCTCCTCGGCGGCGAGCACAGGCGCCTCAAGCCCGTCGACGGTGCCAAGCTCGACCTCCGCCGCCCTACTCCCACTCCTCGCCGCCGCTCGTACCACTGCCTCCTCCCGCTCCTCGTCGCTGCTCTTGCCGGGCAGTTGCCGTGGCGGTGTAGGGCCCGAGAGAGGGGAACGGGCGAGAGAGAGAAAGAGAGAGAGGAGAGGGGTGGAAGGGGAATCCTATCGCTGGAGACACAGTGGCCACAGGAGCCCATCGGGGCAATGCGTTGCTTGCCTTCATCCCCTGGCAAAAAAACAACGAGAGACAGGTCCCCTAGCCAGGGCGCGCGTGGACTCGCGAGGGGACGACGCAGACAGAAATATTAACGGACGGCGCTAGGGGCACGACCTAAGGGTACCCATTGAAGATGGCCTAATGGGTCCTCTTGGAACCCGATTACACCAGGCCCACATGGCAGCCTCAATTAGTGCAAACCTTCTTCTACCATACCAGAACCATCAAACATGTTAAGCAACAGTGCAACATGGGCAAAAACATTGATTACCCACCCCACAAAAAGCTTTGCTCTATTTTACCCACTAGATGAAGACAAAACAACCCCCAATCAGTAGCATCTCATCACCCAAATCACAAGATCCACGCCCCACCCCCCGGGCCCACCTGTCATCCTCCTCACGCCCAGGTGGTCCCCCACCTCAAGCTCAGGTGGGCCCCACACGAAGCATCTCCCCCTTCCAAACGGCTACTTCCATCTTCCACCCGAGGACCACCCCCCTCCCAACCTGAGGCTCCCCCTCCCCATCCCCGGCGCGCGCTCTCCCCAGTCAAATCTCAGCCGTCCGATCCCCCCATCCGACGGCCAGATCCCCCGACCGTTGCCGCTGAGGCTCCCGCCACGTCATCCCTCACTCGACCGTTGGGGCTCGCCGTTTCAAAAAAGTCGAGCTCGAATAAATCGGGATAAATCCCCTCGTTCCTCGAGCCCAATCGATTGCTCACTCATCGATCCCCTCCTCCATTCACATGAGAGATCCTCGAGATCCCTATAATTTCTCCCCCAATTCGTCGCGGCCAATCCTTCCCCCGAGCTCGAGCTGATCGGCGTGAGCTTTTTCTCGCCGGAGTTGAGCTGAGCCCGGCGGTTTTCGGGTGTGGATTTGAGCTTGAGCTGAAGTGAAGTGAGCTTGTGGTTTTGAGGTGATTTGTGGGGGATGTCGCGGCGGCTGTCGTTGCCGGCGGGGGCGCCGGTGACGGTGGCGGTGTCGCCGGTGCGGAGCCCGGGGGGTGACGCGGTGGTGAGGAGGGGGAGCGGGCTGACGTCCCCCGTGCCGAGGCACTCGCTCGGGTCGTCCACCGCCACGCTGCAGGTGTCGCCGGTGAGGCGGAGCGGCGGGAGTAGGTACCTCGGCGCGTCGAGGGATGGCGGCGCCGATGAGAGCGCCGAGTTCGTGCACTACACCGTGCACATCCCGCCCACGCCCGACCGGGCGACGGCGTCCGTGGCGAGCGAGGCGGAGGCGGCGGCGGAGGCCGAGGAGGTGCACCGGCCGCAGCGGAGCTACATCTCCGGGACGATATTCACCGGGGGGCTCAACTGCGCCACGCGCGGCCACGTGCTCAACTTCTCCGGCGAGGGCGGCGCCACCGCCGCCTCCAGGGCGGCGGCGTCGGGGAACATGTCGTGCAAGATGCGCGGGTGCGACATGCCCGCGTTCCTCAACGGCGGCCGCCCGCCGTGCGACTGCGGGTTCATGATCTGCAAGGAGTGCTACGCGGAGTGCGCCGCGGGCAACTGCCCCGGTTGCAAGGAGGCCTTCTCCGCGGGCTCCGACACCGACGAATCCGACTCCGTCACCGACGACGACGACGACGAGGCCGTCTCCTCCTCCGAGGAGAGGGACCAGCTGCCGCTGACATCCATGGCGAGGAAATTTTCCGTGGTGCACTCCATGAAGGTCCCCGGCGCCGCCGCCAACGGCAACGGCAAGCCGGCCGAGTTCGACCACGCCCGCTGGCTCTTCGAGACCAAGGGCACCTATGGCTACGGCAACGCTCTCTGGCCCAAGGACGGCCACGCCCATAGCGGCGCCGGCTTCGTCGCCGCCGACGAGCCCCCCAACTTCGGTGCCCGCTGCCGCCGCCCCCTCACCAGAAAAACCAGCGTCTCCCAAGCCATTCTCAGCCCCTACAGGTACCAAATCCTCCTCAAAATTTGAACAATTTCAACAAATTTTACCAAATTTGAGCAAATTGGTTAGCATTTTGAGGTGGATTTGTTTTTGATTAGGTTGAATTTTGAACAATTTCAACAAAATTTACCAAGTTGGTTAGCATTTTGAGGTGGATTTGTTTTTGATTAGGTTGAATTTTGAACAATTTCAACAAATTTTACCAAATTTGAGCAAATTTGTTAGCATTTTGAGGTGGATTTGTTTTTGATTAGGTTGTTGATTGCGATTCGGCTGGTGGCGCTGGGGTTCTTCCTCGCGTGGAGGATTCGGCATCCGAATCCGGAGGCGGTGTGGCTGTGGGCGATGTCGGTGGCGTGCGAGGTGTGGTTCGCCTTCTCATGGCTGCTCGACAGCCTCCCCAAGCTCTGCCCCGTCCACCGCGCCGCCGACCTCGCCGTCCTCGCCGAGCGGTTCGAGTCGCCGACGGCGCGCAACCCCAAGGGCCGCTCCGACCTCCCCGGGATCGACGTGTTCGTCACCAGCGCCGACCCGGAGAAGGAGCCGCCGCTGGTCACCGCCAACACCATCCTCTCCATCCTCGCCGCGGACTACCCCGTCGAGAAGCTCGCTTGCTACCTCTCCGACGACGGCGGCGCGCTGCTGTCGTTCGAGGCGCTCGCCGAGACGGCCAGCTTCGCGCGCACGTGGGTGCCATTCTGCCGCAAGCACGGCGTCGAGCCGCGGTGCCCCGAGGCGTATTTCGGCCAGAAGAGGGACTTCCTCAAGAACAAGGTGCGCGTCGACTTCGTCCGCGAGAGGCGGAAGGTGAAGCGCGAGTACGACGAGTTCAAGGTGCGGGTGAACTCGCTCCCCGAGGCGATCCGGCGGCGCTCCGACGCGTACAACGCCGGCGAGGAACTGCGCGCCAGGAGGCGGCAGCAGGAGGAGGCCGCCGCCGCGGCTGCCGCCGGCAACGGCGAGCTTGGAGCGGCGGCGGTCGAGACCGCCGCCGTGAAGGCCACGTGGATGTCGGACGGCTCGCACTGGCCGGGGACGTGGACGTGCCCCGCGGCGGACCACGCCCGCGGCGACCACGCCGGGATCATCCAGGCGATGCTGGCGCCGCCGACCTCGGAGCCGGTGATGGGAGGCGAGGCGGCGGAGTGCGGCGGGCTGATCGACACCACGGGCGTGGACGTCCGCCTCCCGATGCTGGTGTACGTGTCGCGGGAGAAGCGCCCGGGCTACGATCACAACAAGAAGGCCGGCGCCATGAACGCGCTGGTGCGGACGAGCGCCATCATGTCGAACGGGCCCTTCATCCTCAACCTCGACTGCGACCACTACGTGCACAACTCGTCGGCGCTCCGGGAGGGGATGTGCTTCATGCTCGACCGCGGCGGCGACCGCGTGTGCTTCGTCCAGTTCCCGCAGCGGTTCGAGGGCGTCGACCCCAGCGACCGGTACGCCAACCACAACCTCGTCTTCTTCGACGTGTCCATGCGCGCCATGGACGGGCTTCAGGGCCCCATGTACGTCGGCACCGGCTGCGTCTTCCGCCGCACCGCGCTGTACGGCTTCAGCCCGCCCCGCGCCACCGAGCACCATGGCTGGCTCGGCCGCAGGAAGATCAAGCTGTTCCTCACCAAGAAGAAGAGCATGGGCAAGAAGACGGACAGGGCCGAGGACGACACCGAGATGATGCTGCCGCCGATCGAGGACGACGACGGCGGCGCCGACATTGAGGCCTCGGCTATGCTACCGAAGCGGTTCGGCGGGTCGGCGACGTTCGTGGCGTCGATACCCGTGGCGGAGTACCAGGGTCGGCTGCTGCAGGACACCCCCGGGTGCCACCACGGCCGCCCTGCGGGCGCGCTCGCTGTGCCGCGCGAGCCGCTCGACGCGGCGACGGTGGCGGAGGCCATCGGCGTGATCTCCTGCTTCTACGAGGAGAAGACGGAGTGGGGGCGGCGCATCGGGTGGATCTACGGCTCCGTCACCGAGGACGTGGTCACCGGCTACCGGATGCACAACCGCGGGTGGCGCTCCGTCTACTGCGTGACGCCGCGGCGCGACGCGTTCCGCGGCACGGCGCCGATCAACCTCACCGACCGCCTCCACCAGGTGCTCCGGTGGGCGACGGGCTCCGTCGAGATCTTCTTCTCCCGCAACAACGCCCTCTTCGCCTCGCCGCGGATGAAGCTGCTGCAGCGCGTCGCCTACTTCAACGCCGGGATGTACCCCTTCACCTCCGTGTTCCTCCTCGCCTACTGCCTCCTCCCGGCCGTCTCCCTCTTCTCCGGCAAGTTCATCGTGCAGCGACTCAGCGCCACCTTCCTCGCCTTCCTCCTCGTCATCACCCTCACCCTCTGCCTCCTCGCCCTGCTCGAGATCAAGTGGTCCGGGATCACGCTCCACGAGTGGTGGCGCAACGAGCAGTTCTGGGTGATCGGCGGCACCAGCGCGCACCCGGCCGCCGTGCTGCAGGGCCTACTCAAGGTGATCGCCGGCGTGGACATCTCCTTCACGCTGACCTCCAAGCCGGGGAACGGCGGCGGCGATGGCGGGGTCGGCGGCGAGGGGAACGACGACGAGGCGTTCGCGGAGCTGTACGAGGTGAGGTGGAGCTACCTGATGGTGCCGCCGGTGACGATCATGATGGTGAACGCGGTGGCGATCGCGGTGGCGGCGGCGAGGACGCTGTACAGCGAGTTCCCGCAGTGGAGCAAGCTGCTCGGCGGCGCCTTCTTCAGCTTCTGGGTGCTGTGCCACCTCTACCCGTTCGCCAAGGGCCTCCTCGGCCGCCGCGGCCGCGTGCCCACCATCGTCTTCGTCTGGTCGGGCCTCATCTCCATGATCATCTCCCTCCTCTGGGTCTACATCAACCCGCCCGCCGGCGCCCGGGAGCGCATCGGCGGCGGCGGATTCAGCTTCCCATAGCCGAAGAAGAAGAAGAAGAAGAAAGAAGTTATTTATCAGTAGTGTAGTGGTGTCGAGTTCAGTTTCTTGAAGCTCTGAACTTTCTGAAGCTCACATGAAGGAGTGCTTGCTTCATGGGGCGTGTTGTCAAATTCAGTTCAGTAAAAGTACTTTTACCGAAGTATTAGGTGTGATTAAGCGATTGTTTGTGTATCAATTAAGTTACTTGTGATTAATTGATACTGATTATGTATCAAATATTGGAGACATGTCATATGATTATCTGTAACTGTATATTGTGTGTGTGACGTCTGTGCTAGGAAAATTTCAGCAGGAAAGCAAGCAGCAATTTCCTCTGAATTCAGGCCTGGTTTAGTTCCCAACTTTCTCTTCAAACTTCCAACTTTTCCATCACATCAAAACTTTCCTACACATACAAAAACTTTTCCGTCACATCGTTCCAATTTCAATCAAACTTCCAATTTTGGCGTGAACTAAACAAACGGAGGGCCGAAATTTCCAGTGACCGACAGACAGAAAGATTACCTTTTGTTTTGTTTTCAGTCTTTTTCAGACCTTGTCTGTTTTGGAACATACTCCAATTCTGTTTCGTAACGTAGGATCCTTTTGAAATTGAACAGTTTTTGGAACAGTATCCATCTTATCAACTCAGTTGATTCAACCTCTGAATTTGGATGTTTGAGAAGCGATCTTCTCGTTGTGGATATATTCCTCCTATTCTGCTGTAAGACATATATAGTGATCCCATGAGTATTTCTGATCGGCGGCATTCACAATGATTTCCAATCTTCCATATTAACCTCCAAACTATAGCAGAACACATTCAGACTTGCCTCTCTTTATTCATCCATTCATGAAGCAAAATGATAACTTTTAAACACTGAACACGCCCATAGAAAGGCTCATAAACACGAAATTTACTCTCACGATGAGCGCATCGGCGGCGGCGGATTCAGCTTCCCATAGCTGAAGAAGTATTTATCAGTTGTAGTGCAGTGGTTCAGTTTCTGAAGCTCTGAACTTTCTCTGAAGCTCACATGAAGTAGTGCTTGCTTCATGGGGCGTGTTGTCAAATTCAACTCAGTAAAGGTACTTGTACCCAATTATTAGATGTGATTAATTGATTGTTTGTTTATCAATTAAATTAGTTGTGATTAATTGATACTCCAAGTAGGCAATTATTGAAGACATTTCAAAATGATTATCTGTAACTGTATGTTGTGTGTCTGATGAATTCTTACTTGGTCAGCAGGAGCAAGCGGCAACGAGGCATTTCGATGGAAAATTCTGTCTTCGGTTTGTGGTTGCATTTCGCAGCGAATTCAGATTGCAGATTACGCCGTAATAAAATTTCCTGTGAATTACATATGGAGGGCCGAAATTTCCAGTGACCGACAAACAGAAATATATTGCTTTGTTTTTTGCTTCTTCAGATGTTTGGAACATAGGATTCTTTGTTCCACCTATTTCCTTTTGAAATTGAACTGTTTTCGCAAAAATTCATGGTGATTTGAAATGGAACCTGACACAGTATGCATATCTAATCAACTCAATGGATTCATAGACTGACGGATGTACCATTTCCTCTGAAATATTTGGATGTTTGAACTTCTCGTTAAGGATATACAATTCAGCTGTAATTGTACTGTACTCAGTATGTGCCATCTGTCTATGTAGTGGGTTGGTGGTATATTCAAGTTAATAAATAGCATATAGCGGGTTGGTAGTGAATTGATGCCTATGTAGTGGATCACGAATAGCGGGCGCTATAGCGGATACTAAGTTCCAATAGCAGCATTTAATTATCTCACGTATTTGAGAGTATATATCATGAATAATTCCAACGTACTATTTACATTCCGCTACGTCATAGCGATAGTGGTAGAGGGCCATTACCGCTATAGCGCCCTCTACGAATACTATTTGTTACCTTTGTCTTAATAGCATGTAGTATTTCTGATCGGCAGCATTCACAATGATTTTCAATCTTCCATATTAACCTCCAAACCATAGCAGAACACATTCAGACTTGCCTCTCTTTATTCACCCATTGATGAAGCAAAATGATAACTTTAACACTGAATACGACCATAGAAAGGCACATAAACACAACCACAAACTTAAAGCACGAAATTACTCTCACGGACTCAAACGCCACGAGAATTTGGACATTTCTGCGGCTCTCATTATTTAATTATCACTCACTCTAGGTGGGATATACTGGATAGAGGCAGTATTCCTCTTCATCTTAGGCGTATTCGGCAGGGTGAGCGACGAGGTAGTCCTCGATCATCTTGAGCATGCCATAGTAGCCATCCACGATGTCCTTCTCCTTCTCCGGCGACAGTGAGCTGCCGTCCTCGAGCTCGTACTCCACCTTGAGCTTGGCCACACAGGAGCCATCGCCGGTGGCCTCAAGCTTCGTCTCCGTCGAGTGTGACTTGAGCTTCCCCACCTTGCTTTCTGCCTCGAGCACATCCGACTTTAGGACATGACTTGCGGCGTCGCACACCGCCACCCGGGTCTTGTATGTGCTTCCCACACCCGCGGCTGCATATAATTTTAACATTTGTTGTTATTATATACCCAATCAATTTTATACTGCACTATAGTAATTTTAACTGTCTTAATCAAATTCTTTTTGTTGTTGACAGGATTTTCACTTTCGATTTCGCCGAAAGCCATTTTGGTAGAACCAAAATTTCGGGATTTTCGGCACTTTTTGGACTGATTTTTTTTTCAGAAATTTGAAAATAATTTAACTGAATTTGACTAAATTTTGACCAAATTCACAAAAATTTAAGAAAAAAAATCGGCCGAGATAATAAGTACAATCAGTAGATACAAGTACTTAGATCTTTCTGGACCTACCAGGGTTAAGCTTCATGGTGTAGATGGTGCCCGGACCACCGTTCCCCTCGACCGCAATGTCGTCGACCAAGCCGGCGCAGGCCTTGGGCAAAGTGGACGCGTCCATGAACGCCTTCCACAGCCGCTCCGCCGACACCGCGACGGCGTGCTCGTCGGAGACGCAGGCCGGAGCCATCACTGAAGATATAATCTAACTAGCTAGCTAGTTGCAACTGATCACTCTACTGACCACTGATGCCTGTAGCTAGCTAGAGCTGCTTGTGCTTGTGCTTGTGCTTCAAAGGTGAGCAGTAGCATGGGCTATTTATAGGGTGGCAAGAGGAGAAGAAGACATCATCCAGAATAAATGTTGCAGTTGGGAACTCAGCTCCATTGGTTGCATATGCTGAACTTTGTGTGGAATTCTAGGGTTCTGGAAGTAGGAATATTGGGGATCACATGTGGCTTGACCTGTGGAAATTAAGGGTTTTTTTCTTTGGTTCCATCTAGAAGAGCTGACATTTGAGACCTGGGCATATATAGGACGGTTGGGAGAATAATCATATATGAGATCATGGTCTTTGTTTACAGTTAGAACACTGATTCTCAGATTATTCGCCGGATTATTGGAACTGATTATTTGTTCTATGTTTCAAAAAATCTCTCAACAAACTTTATTCTACTGCTTTGATCACTTGTTTTAAACTATTTATTAAGTTTAATTTTAAAGTATTTAATTTATTTCCATAATCAATTGGTAGGTAATCAACGATAATAATTTGTTTAATAATCTAAATCGAACAGACCCTAATTTAAATGCTTTTAGATGATAGGTACGACTACATGTCATGCTCTGAGATGGGTCTAAACAAATACCCTTTATCGGTAGGTATTAATTCAATTATGAATTTCTTTCAATCTTGTTGGGTTTCATAGCGTATCAATTTTCACTGTGCCACCTCGGATATATACAACCTTCAATTGGTAGACTCAGTGATACTCAATCTGATGTCACGGTCACCAGGGACAAATTGAGCTTTAACGCAAAATTTCCACCTTGCCACCTCGGATCGATAGGTGTGGTTGTTCTTCGGTTGAATTATTGGGCGTCATCGTACGGCTAGTACCAGAGCACGTACGTCCTAACTTTGATAAATCTCTCCGTTTCAAATTGCTTATCATTCCAGCATTCAAAACTTGTGTCAAAATATGTTCTTACATTCCAAAACACTTTTAGAGAAGTTCTCTACTTCCTACCCTTGGTTTGGAAAGATGAGGATAGTAATGTAATTGTTATACGGCAAAATTTGCTACAGGACGTCCGAAAAACGTGTAATTAACTAGGGGATGTCGTAAGAACGTGTATTTGCTGTAGGGCATCACAAAAAACTGTTAATTAGCTGCTGGACACCGGTGAGATTATTTTATTATTTTTGGAGGAATAGGAGAGAGAAATAATCATTAAAGACCAGTTTTCCCTTGGCTCAAATTAATCCGACGCGGGTCCCTCTGTGAGCATGTCCTCGTGTCGCCGTCGTAGGTGAACCCCACGTCGGCGCCATCGAGCGTGCACCTCGCCGGCCTCCGCGAGAAGTAGGCGCCAAAATGGTCGCAACCATGCACCCTGAGCGCCACGGCGGCGGCGGTGGCGTCGACGGTGTCAAGGAGCCCGACGGGCGCGAACGCAACGACGGTGCCTCCCGGCGCCATTGCGATAGCGCGGACGGGGCAGACGTGGAACACCTCGTAATCGAGCGCCCCGAGCGTCACCGGCAGTACGGCGTCGCACGGCAGCCGGACCAGCTCACGCGCCCGTTGCATGTACGCCACGGCCTCCCCATCCCAGCCGTCGTCGCCGTCGCCATCATCGGCGACCTGCGCAATGGCGTCGACGTCGTCAGCGCGCACGGCGCCGGTGAGCGTTCCGGGCGCCGCATCGTGCACATGCGTCTTCTTGGCCACCCTGCACCACCCGGCGCCCTGGCAATTAAACACCCCGACAATGCCGCCGCACTTGTTCAGATTCCATATCTTGAGCAAGGTGCAAAATTTCATCAAAATTAACCCAAATTCTCATGAAATTAGAATCCATTTCGCACAAATTTACTATAATTTTGAAATCTTTTTTGTTACCTCGCGCCGTCGCGCGCCTGGTCGGAGAAGAGGCATTCGCGGGTGGGGCGGCCGGGGAGGCGCACCCGAAGCCCGGAGCCGCTGGGTAGTACGAGCTTCCTAAGCAGTTCTAAGTTGTGGTTCCCCGGCTTGTCGCTGACGTAGATCGGACACCCGCCGATCGCCATCGCAGCGTCGTGGTACTTCGCCGCCGGGTGCAAGCTCTGAAACAAGAACGGATCAGAAATGGCGACGGCGGCGGGCGAGCGCCGCGACGACGGGCGAGGCGGCGGCGGCGGGCGAGGTTGAAGGCGGCGGTGCCGCCGCCGCTCTCGGTGAAGATGGAGCGGATGAGGCGCCCGACCTCGTCCTCCCGGGAGGAGCGGAAGGAGAGAACGTGGCGGTGGTTGAGAGCAGAGAGGGAAAGAGATAATGTGAGAGGGAGAAAAGAATAAGGAAGAAAGAAGAAAAGAAAAAGAATCAAAGGGTAGAACCGTACTTACACAACTATTTCTCTCTCCAATTCTTTCGGATATAATAAAATAATCTCGCGGGTGTCCAACAGCTAATTACTATTTTTTTTTTGTGTCCTACAGCAAAAACGCATTCTTGCGGTGTCTCCTAACTAATTTCATATTTTTTAGATGTTCTATAGCAAATTTTGCCTTGTTATACCATGCATCTAGTTTAGTATGAGATTTGTTAGAACGACAAGCAAATCGAAATTGAAACGGAGTACATCTTTACTTTCTATCTTTCACTTTTTAGTTGAGCATGATAGAGCAATAGCTGTGTGTGCATCCTTACTTCAATTCAGTTGGGTGGAGTTACCACTAGCATCTTGCATAAAGTTCTCTTTTATATACTTATTTTTGTTAGTTCTATGTACATCATATATAAGTTCCTGCCGTGTAAACTTGTGAAATTTGGTCGCAGATGGATCTTACCTCTACATTCTGCATGTTAATTCCATCCATAACAATCCACATGGTGTTTTGGCTCTCAACGTTTTCAACGTACATTATATATACATTTCATGTCATACTTCTTTTACCACCAAAATCACCGTGGCAACGTGCACGCGCGGGGAATCTTCTAGCTGTCATTGTAATCTTACCTAATATGCTATTGGTCGTCTTTTGTCATATAGGCATGATGTCAATAAGATATGTACCGATAGTTGCATTGATGTTGCAATAATATTTTAGCCTCCAAATTCAACCACAACACATGTTCAGATGTTTGTCTCTTTATTCATTATCGAAGTAAAAGTACATGCTCGTACGTACGGCATACATAGCTAGCTAGGCACATACAACACAATATCACAAATTATTAACTGCTCTCAAAAAAATCAAACGCCACGAGAAAATTGGAGCTCGCATTATTTAATTATCAGCCATGGATTGTGTTGGTTGAGACAGTTTTCAGGCGAATTCGGCAGGGTGAGCGGCGAGGTACGCCTCCATCATCTTGAGCATGCCGAAGTAGCCGTCGACCATCGTCTTCTCCTGCTCCGGCGACAGCGAGCTGCCGTCGGCGAGCTCGTACTCCACCTTGAGCTTGGCCACGCAGGAGCCATCGCCGGTGCCCTCCAGCTTCGTCTCCGTCGAGTGCGACTTGAGCTTGCCCACCTTGCTTTCTGCCTCCAGCACCTCTGACTTTAGCACGCGTGCTGCATTGTCACACACCGCCACTCGGGTCTTGTATGTATTCCCGACTCCCGCATCTGCATATAATAGGAATACTCCCTCCGTTTCAAAATATTTGACACCTTTGACTTTTTAGCACATGTTTGACCGTTCGTCTTATTCAAAAAAAAATTGTGAAATATGTAAAACTATATGTGCACATGAAAGTATATTTAACAATGAGTCAAATGATACGAAAATAATAAATAATTACTTAAATTTTTTGAATAAGACAAATGATCAAACACATACGAAAAAATCAGCGGTGTCAAACATTTTGAAACGGAGGGAGTATTTTCTGTTATACATACCCAATCAATTCGCCTTGCACAGCTGTAATTTTAACCCTCTTAATTAGGTGGTGTTTGGGAAGGAGGGACTAAACTTTAGTCCCTCTCACAAGAACATAAGTCCCTATAGGAGGGATTAAAATTTTTGTGTGAGAGACTAAACTTTAGTCACTTCTTCCCAAACACTATCTTAGTTAAGATCTCAACTTATCTCAAGATACCGAGTGACAGATGAGGCTAGGTTAGTAGAAAGATCCAAAAAAAAAAAAAAACTAGGCTGTGTTCTAAACTTTCCTTCCAAACTTCTACCTCGTTTTTCGCAGGTATGCTTATCAAACTTCTAAATTTTGTTTTTACAAAAAAATATCTATATGAAAGTTGTTTTAGAAAATCATATTAATCTATTTCAATGCTTATTTTAGCTAAAACTTAATTAGTCATGCGCTAACTGCCGCTTCATTTTGCATGCTGAAAGTGAAGGTTCCCAACCCTCACTCCCGAGCTTAGCCTAAAGGATGAAAATTAAGCTCCTCACCCCCACCTCCCAAAATTTCTTTTCCAAAATTACAGGTGTACGAAGTGAAAATGTGCCAATGCTATTGTTCGAAACCGACCGGGGTTAAGCTTCATGGTGTAGATGGTGCCTGGACCGCCATTCCCCTCAACCACAATGTCGTCGACGAAGCCGGCACAGACCTTGGGCATGGCGGACGCGTCCATGAACACCTTCTACAGCCTCTCCGCCAACACCGTGACGGCGAGCTCGTCGGAGAGAAAGGCCGGGGCCATCACTAATATCTCTATACCTTCTAGCTAGCTAGATTCCAACTGATCACACCACTGACCACTGATGGCTATATATGTAAGCTAGGCTTGTTGCTTCAATGGTGAGCAGTAGCATGGTGTATATATACCTATAGGTAGCAAGAGAAGGGTTTCATCAGCATGCAGCTGGAAATTAGCTTGGAACGCCATCATTCCAAGAAATCGGCTTCTAGAATTGATAGCTGAACTTTGTCTGATCATGTGGAATTCAGAATTGTGGGTTGGCCATGAAGTTGGACTATGGAGATCACATCACATGGCTTGACCTGTGGAAAATTCAGGGGTTTGTTGTTTGTTCTGTAGCTGATCGATAAGGATTCAGCCCAGAGCTGACTAGGCCATCTAGAAGTGCTGAAATTCATGATAGGTACAGTACAAGGGTTTTGAGATGGGGACTACTCCCTCCCTCCGTCCAGAATAAATTAATCGTACTGAATACGATATATTATAGTATTATAAATATAGACACAGTTTATTATAGGATGAACAAAATACACGACCGCACGTCAGTCTTGTATGACGTCGTTCTTGGTATTCGCTGTTCTTGTTTGAACAAATTATTTGTCACGCTTTTAAAAGTATACTCCTTTTAAAATTCACATGTTTTTTTATCTGCGTTGTTCTTGTTGCAGCATCGAGAAGTTCTTCTCGATTTATTGTGTTTGCTGTGCATTGAGGTGTGTGATATTGTGCCAATCGCTAACGCTCAAGTTCACATGATGGACTTCTTGCTCACCAACCAAACTACTCCCTCCATTTTCTTTTGACGTGGTTGACTTTTCAATATATGTCTGACCATTCATCTTTTTTAAAAAAAGTTATAAAATTACTATTTATTTTGTTGTGTAATTTGGTTTACATTGCTTATATTTTGATATTTACATAACATTTATTTTTTAAATAGGACGAATAATTAAAATATATTAACAAGTTAACGGCTTCAAACATAAATAACAAATGACAAAAGGAGGTAGGAGGGTGGAGTTGCGTGTAATTGATTTTTAATTAGCTGATCTAGCACAGCTACTTGCTGCTTATGTCAATGAACCAATAAGATTGAATGCACGGGGTGATTAATTATCGATCTGTACATGTGTATGCATTTCTTTGTGTACTATTCGGGGACCACGCATGTTATCATAGGCCGTGTCTTAACAGGTGTTAACCAATTTTGTCTCATAAGGGAGGGGCCTTTTTTTCTAAGTACCACGGTTTGAGATCTGGTTGGTATCACAATTAGAGAGCTTAAATACATTAAGGCGAAATTAAATACATGTCATTTGAGTTTCTAAACAAACTTTGAATCTTTAACCATTAATAAAATTTTAAAATAATTAGTTTAAAAATGTAAAAATGATATATGTAGACATGTCTTAAAAATATATACTTTCATAATCTCATAAACTTATTCTAATAATAATTTATGGTTAAAATCAGAACTAAAAACTGAAAAAAAAAATCAAATAATACATATTTATTACCAAACAGATTACAAAATTTCAGAGGCACAGCATGCAAACCAAATGCATTGGCATATGGTATTATTAGTACTAGGTGATTCCCCGTGCTTTATTGTGGAAATTACTAACTAATTTTGAATATATTTTTTTCGACAATCAAACAAGGAGTAAAAAGGAAAAAATAATGAAACATCAAGGTTTATTAGTAATTATCATGAAACAAACAAATGATACCCATATTTTAATGTGAAATATATTGATAAGTATATATCAAATATTATAAAAATGATAGATAGATTTGTTAAAATATTATGCAAATGATGTGAAGGATGATGATTGGATATGTTTGCATGTTGATTTGTAAAGTTGTAGATGATGTTGTATGGTTGCATGACGTTAAATATGTAATAATTGCTGGTGGGTGATGATGTGGCATGGATGCATGTTGAGCTTTGGACTTAGTGTTATAACTTTATAAAAAGTACAGATAACCTCCGTAATCAAATAAACTCACAAATATTATTATATTTCTAATCTACTTTTACACTGATCCACAATCTTCCATATATATTAACCATCAAACACAACACATTCTTATGTGTATTTTATTCACTCGTGAAGCAAAAACACAATACTGAAATTATTACATAACCTTAAACACAGAATAATTCTTCTCACATGCGACCACGCCACAGTAACATGACCACAATATTTTTAGGCGTACTCAGCAGGGTGAGCGACGAGGTACGCCTCGATCATCTGGAGCATGCTGAAGTAGCCGTCGACGATCATCTTCTCCTGCTCCGGCGACAGCGAGGCGCCGTCTTCGAGCTCGTACTCCACCGTGAGCTTGGCCACGCAGGTGGCGTCGCCGGTGGCCTCGAGCTTCGTCTCCGTCGAGTGCGACTTGAGGTTGCCCACCCTGCTCTTAACCTCCAACACCTCAACCTTTAGCACGTGAGTTGCGCTGTCGCACACCACTATTTTGGTCTTGTATACGCTCCCTGCGTCCGCGGCTGCATATGGTTTGTAATAGTTATTAATTGCAATTGTCATTTGACATCGACATATACACATCTCTTAATGTGGCACACACGACTGATTGATCGATTTTACTGTAGTGGAGCGGGCTAGATAAAAATGTTCTGCCATGGTGGATGTTCAGGGCTTTGCCCTATCAGCTACACTTTGGACTCACGTGGTTCATTAAACCAAGATTATGATCTCAAATGCGTCTTTTGCAAGTTCATAGATCCTGATAACATCTCTGGACAAGTTTAAAAACTAGCTATATATTTTACTCTTTTTCATTCTTCATACTCAATAGTGGTTAGGTACAAGTATGTTTTTATTGACTAGTAATGTCATCCTATTTTTATTAGAAAGTTATAAAAGCATAATAAATTTTATAAAACTACAACTATTATGACCCATAGTTATTTTGTGTTATATCTTCACTCTGATAGTAATCCTAATTGTCCGTGCATCGGATTGGATTACTGACCAGATAGGTTGAATAGATGCTACTCCCTCCATTTCAGGTTGTAAGATGTTTTGACTTTGGTCAAAGTCAAGCTGCTTCAAGTTTGACTAATTTTATAGAAAAAATTAGTAATATTTTTGATCCAAGATAAATTTATTATAAAAATATATTTAATTATTAATTTAATAAACTAATTTAGTAATGTAAATATTACTATATTTGTCTATAAACTTAGTTAAAACTGAAGCAATTTGACTTTGACGAAAGTCAAAACATCTTATAATTTGAAACGGAGGAAGTAGATAACTATTAACCCATGCTAGATAACTTAAGTGGGAGATATTATCTAGCATAGAGAAAGACCATTTTACCCCCCCCCCCTTAATTTTATACTGCAATCGATTTAAGTTGGTAGTAAAATCAATTTACATCTTTGGATTGTTTATACTAACAGTATACTTACCGTAAAAGTTATCTTCGAAAAACCCCCTTAAAATAACAAATGCAAGTGTAAGAAGCGGAAAAAAGTGCCAATATGTATTCGGGACCTACCAGGGTTAAGCTTCATGATGTGGATGGTGCCCGGCCCGCCATTCCCCTCGACCTCGACGGCGTCGATGAATCCGGCGCAGACCTTGGGCAGGGAGTGCACGTCCAAGCAGACCTTCCACAGCCTCTCCACCGACACCGCGACGGCGCGCTCGTCGGAGACGAAGGCCGGAGCCATCTCTATCTAAGCTAGTTTCCACCTGACACTTGCTGTGATGGCTATAGCTAGCTCAGCTCAGCTGCTTTTGCTTCTGCTTCAAAGGTGAGCTGCAGAATGGGGATACTTATAGGTGAAAGAGGACCGCATCCGGCTTTTCTCCGGTTGATTTGTAGTTTAGTTTGATATGTGGAATTCAGGGTTTTAGTATCAGGAAATTGGGGCTATGGAGATCACATGGTTTGACCTGTGGAAAATTCAGTGTTTCAATTTATTTATGCAGATGATCGATCAGTTCAGAGTTTGACCAGTGATCTAGAATGTCTGACTCTCTCAGATAAGGTTGGAGGGGTCTTTGAGATGATTTCGGTTATGTCCATGAAATTCTTGCAGTAAGATCTCTAAGGACTTTCCAACACCATACTTTGCACAAAAGTTAGATGTGATTAGTCGGTTTTTGAGATTCAAGGCATGTCGTGATTATCTATAACTGTGTATTAATCGTGTCGGCTCCAGCTTTTCCAGTGTCAGTAGAGTAATACTAGCTATCAATTAGCTCAGCTTCTGAAACTCTGAACTCCTGAAGCTCACACTATGGAGTGCTTGCTTCCTGGGGTGTCAAGTACAGTAAAGTATTTCATCAAAACCAAACTATAGTTCTGGTTAATCGATTTTTAAGTTGCTGAGCCATCTAATTGCTGCTGTATCAAAGAACAAACTCCTGACTCTATTCGCCAGAACTATTTTGAAGTGCATCACGATTCACACCCGGTGCATCATGTTTCCTAAAAAATAAAAAAAGGGAAATTGGCTTCTAAGCTGAATGCTGAGCTTATCTGATGTGGAATTTCGTAGTTGGAATGTGGAGAACTGGAGACCGCGTGGTTTGACTAGGACATCAGACATCTAGAAGTGCTGACATTCAGGATGTTATGAAACTATTCTTCAGTGGTTGTATACATCCACTTGGATGTAAAGGCCGGGTTATTTAATCCATTATCTATAAAGAATGAAACTATTCTTCCGGTCTTTCTGGGATCGATCTTAGTATCTAGACCCGGCTGTCACGACCGTACGTACGTCCTGTACGACATCGCCTTTGGTGTTCGCCTCAGTGCAAATTTCTACCTTGCCAACTCGGATGGATCTAGCACGGTTGTTCCTCGGTTGAATTATTGTTGAGTGCCGTTGCACGGCTAGCTCGTCGGGTTTTTCTAGTAGGTGGGTGTTCTACGGAAAGAGAAATTTTACAATCATTGAGAGGTACTGAAAGATTTTTTTTACGTACGAGGTTTAATACCTCATGATACTGATGTATACCAAATTTTATCTAAGAAAAAATAGGATGCCTCCTCGAGGACCATAAAGTCATCTTTTGTGCATAACAACTTTGTTTGTCGTGCGATTTTTTTATATTTTTTTTGCTTTTCCTTTTTAAGCAATTAACAAACTCATCTTTTCGCTTATACTTATGCTTATCAGCCAAAATTTGAATTTTTAACGCTAAATTTGGAGTTGATTTTGAAGTTTTTTTCATCGAAGTTTATTTTTTAGCCTTTGCTTTTAGACCGCTAAGAACATGTATATCAAAGTTTTACTCATAAATTATTTTTCGTTTGCAAATATGTCGTCTGGCTTATTCTTTGAATAAGCCACACGATGGGGATCTAAACTGATCATGTGAGAGCAATGGTTGTGTGCATCCTTAATTCGATGTAGTTATTAGGAGTTTTCACTTATATTACCTAAAAAACTGAAATTCATATAGAAGGAATTCAATTTTGAAATCATTCCATACCATTATTATCATATTGACAAGCTGAGACTTGAGAACTGCGGAAATACCATAATTCAAGGACTTTCCAGCGGCTTGGCGACCACTAGACTAAAGAGGGGCACAATTGGTGCTTAGCGGGTGCCAATAAATTGGCTCGAAAATGGTTTAAGTCCTAACTTAATCCGTTGAATCACACCTAAACTGTAATACTCCCTTACGCATTTGTCCTCCCTTCAAGCAAAAAATGCGAACGGGTATTACAAATGATCAGGCAACCAAAGCACCCAAAACCCACTAATTCTAAAGCTCTTCTATTCTTTTCTTTATATATATTGTATTTTCCCCTCTAATTATTGGGTGCATCACAGTTATGCCATTTTTACTAATTGTGGAAGCTAATTGTGAAGTTATAAAACTATAATCTTAAAGAATAATATTGTGTATACATTTTAATTATCTATCAATCATAAAACAGTGCTTGGCAAGAAAGTGGAGAAGAAACACCTGGAATGAATTCCGATCTTTTTTTTTTGAAACAAACGGACAGGAGTTTCATTTAATTAAATTAGCAAGGAAGTAAATATTTCAAAATTGAACAAAAACATACCACATTCCTATGTGTATTTTTAATTCTTCACTCATCAAGCAAAATGAGATCTCACCAACACTGAGCATATATACATGTGCACATACAACTAACCCAATCAGAATTACTCAAAGTGTTACACAACTTGAAACACAGAATAATAACTCTCAAGCATCACAAGAATTATGTTCCTAGTGAGCTTGTTGGCAGACATTATTTTAATTAGGAGAAATTTTACGGTACATTTAAATACCATACATAGCACAAAATTAAGGTATTAAATTTACACAATAATATGTGGTATCTCTCGGTATTTTTTTAAGGATGATAAAATTACCATTTAATTATACCCGCAGTAGTAACACCATGGAAGGATCGTGACATTTTTTTTTCAGGCATATTCTGCAGGATGAGCGATGAGGTACGCCTCGACCATCGATCTGGAGCACGCCAAAATAACTATCAACGATCATCTCCTCCCACTCTGGCAGTAGTGAGCCGCCATCTTCGAGCTCGTACTCCACCTTAAGCTTGACCACGCAGGATGAGCAATCACCGCTCCTTCAAGTGCGACTTGAGCTTTGCTACCTTGCTCTCAGCCTCAAGCACCAATTTGTGTGTCGCCTTGTCACATGCCACCAATTTGGTCTTGTATGAGCTCCCTACATTCACGGCTGCATATAATTGTATCATTTATAATTATTATATAATGTTGGTAGAAAAATCTATACCAGGATCAATTTGCATTTGCATTTTATGATTGTAATTAATTTCAATCAACATAATCCAATGGGAGGGTCCCTTTATCAGTTAATTGTTTTTTCATCAATTTTCAGTCATTTTTTCTCTATAGATCTAATGCTGTATATATTCTTAGTTTGTTCACATCAATGTTCTTTCTTTTTCATTAGGTAAAACAAAAAAATGTACATCTTAAGGTTGAATAAACTAACTATATATACTTTCTTATGGATCATTTTTAATATGAAACAGAAAATTATGATTAGATAAGCTTATAGGAATGCATCTAGGCTGCTGTAAACTAAAAGTCACATTTGATTTACGCTGAAGTTGCACTTTATATATTGTCCAAATTTACCTTATGCATTGTGCAGCAGTGCAAAAGTAGGCGAGAGACAAATAAGATGATTTCCCTTTCACAATACAATGCTCAAAAGAATAAATGAAGTATTTTAATCTTATTTTCATAATTAGAATAGCTATAGATAGGTGCAAGTATATTTTTGAGGACCGTGTGTATTTATACCATCATATTTTTCATAAAAAACAACAGAATAATCAAGGATCTATACAAAAAATTTGTCCAGATAGATGATGAGGAAAAAAGAAGTGCCAATAATACTTTCCACACCATGATCATCTTGAGGACGAGGCTTTTCTAACAACAATATATACTTTCCACAGATCAGATGTGTGATTAATTGGTTCTTATAAGGCCATCCCCAACCATCCATATAATCTAGTGTCCGTAGCATTTAATGCATTGCCACATAAGCAAAAATCTAATGTGGCAAGAGAGTTAATGAAGAAACCATTTCGCATGCAAGAAACAAAGAACCAAGAACAAAAAAAGGGGATAGGTGGATAAAAGGAGAAAAAAGAGGGGTGTTTGGATGATAATTTAATTTGAAGACACCATCCATTGGATATATAGTTTCTATATATAGTGTCTATATGACATGGCAAGTATGGAAACTATTTGATAGTTTTTGGGTTGGGGATGACCTAAGCTAAGTATCTGAGCTACTCTCGTTGCATCGGAATCGAAAATTCAACACATGTCGTGATTATATGTACTACTCCGTCCAAAAAAAAAAGACAAACCTGTCCAAATTCGTAGCTAGGATTGGTTTTTCTTCAAACGGAGGGGGTAACTGTGTATTAATTGTGTCGGCTTCAGCTTCCCTTTTCATCAGCAGTACTAGCAGTTACCAAAGGGAGTAAATTCCTTGTGCCCAATTGTTCCTCAATTGCTTCTACTTTCTTGAATTTTGCTATTAAGTCCTTGAGTTTTTATTTTGATCTACTATGTACCATTTCGTGAGTTGACTGGTAATTTTTCTTCAAATTGGCTATATTACCTCTATCTCGTACCTATATGCTAGCTTATTGGGAAAAAACAATTCTTAATTAATGTGAAAAAAATACTCATTTGTAAAATAATTAAATAGGGTAGAATTATTTTACCACAAATTCAGAACTGAATTTTTTTTAAAAAAAACTCAAATCAAATTTGATGAAACTCGGACAACATTTTCACCAAAATTTAAACCCAAATAAAATGTAAGTATTTAATCAAATTCTTTTCAATTTGGTTGAAAGTTTATTTTCTTTTTCTTTCAAATTTGGCATCAAATAGTTCTACTGCATTTGATTTTATTGTGAAGAAAGAAATCACACTGAGATTTATGTTCTTCGCATAGGTTGCACACAAGTATAAGATAGGGTCAATTTAGTCATTTTAAAAATCTAACGGTCAACTTATGCTCAATTAACAGAATAGTACATAGGAAATCAAAACAAAAACTGAGTGCTAATGGATTGAGAAAAAAACTCATGGCCATGTAATATTTTTTCTCTATATACTATCCTAATTTTACCCAATTTTGTCCATTTAGCCTTATTGCATTGTGGTAGTGAGACATCCGTAGCAAAATAAGGGACTGCACAAATATTTCTTAGTGACATTTACACTGATCTATAGCCATCAAACACGAGATATTTAACTATTTGACACTGAACCCACATGTCATATACACATGTGGACCCACGTGTTATTGAGATAGCGGTGGCAAATAGTTAAATGCCAAATGTAAAAGTGACAAATAGTTAAATGCTCCACCAAACACACCGCATTCACCTGTGTATTCCTTTATTCACTTATGAAACAAAATGATCTCACCAACACTGAAAATATCACACACACACACACACACACAGACAACACTATGACAACTACTGAAATAACACAAGTTATCTTTCACACACAACCACCCACATGAAATCAAACACCACAAGAAATTGGATTTGTTGTGGCTCACGAACGTTATTTAATTATCATGCACGCGATGAATGCATTATGTTGGTTTGTAACACTTATTTTTAGGCGTACTCGGCAGGGTGAGCCACAAGGTAGTTCTCAATCATCTTGAGCATGCCGAAGTAGCCCTCGAGGATTATCTTCTGCTTCTCCGGCGACAACGAGCCACCGTCTTCAGGCTCGCACTCCACCCTGAGCTTGGCCATACAGGAGCCGGCACCGGTGGCCTCAAGCTTCGTCTCCGTCAAGTGTGTCTTGAGCTTGCCTGCCCTGCCAAGCGCCACCTCCAGCACCTCTGACTTGAGAAAATGAGAAGCGTTGTCACGTGCCACCACACGTGTCTTGTATAACCCTTGCTTAACAGCTGCAAATAATTGTAATATTTGTTACTATCATGTAATTAGTACATTTACACTGGTTTCTACTATAGTATTATACTAACGGTATTATCACCGGTATAAATGATATTAATTAAGCGTTAATTTATAAGTTCTACCGTTAGCGGAGAAATTATCGTACTACCGATAATTGATATGGTGGTATAAATAGATATAACTCATTGGAATAGAAAAATAAATAGTCTAGATTGATTCTACCGCCAGTAGAAGACATTGTAAAATGCCGCTTGTATATAATTTTTTGCCAATGATATGAAATACAAAACATACGCACACATACCACCACACAAACACACCAATGATAAATCCGTGAACCTCACTAAATTACTACTGAAAGTGTGCCCATATATGCATAAATAACGCTATAATTTAAACCCTCGAAATCATATTGCGAAAACATTTGCAAGGTATTAACAATACACCCTAGTCTCTATCTAGGCTGCGTGTACCTATTACAGATGCACGAATAATAGAAGAGCCAATATTTTAGGTCTGCATACCAGGGTTAAACTTCAGAATGACAACGGTGCCCGGCCCACCATCCCCCTCAACCTCAGCAGCGTCGAAGAAACCAGCGCAGACCTTGGGCATGGCGGGCGGGTTCGAGAAGACCTTCCAAAACCGCTCCGCCGAAACTGCAACTGAACGCTCGTCGGAGATGCAGACCGGAGCCATCAGTGACGATCGACCCGTAACACTTCCTACCGCTAACAATGCACACTACTGGTCACTGATGGTAGCTCGCTAGCCAGCTGTTTGTACAGTTGTTGCTGCGAGTGATTCAGAGGTGAGATGCAGGTACTTATAGGCTGCGAAAGAAGAAGGGATCATTCCTAATCTGAATCTATGGCCTTGTTTAGATCTCAAAAAATTTTAGCCAAAAACGTCACATCAAATGTTTGGACACATGCATAGGGTACTAAATATAGGGAAAAAAATCAATTGCACAGTTTGTATGTAAATTGCGAGACAAATCTTTTGAGCCTAATTATGCCATGATTTGACAATGTGATGCTGCAGTAAACATTTGCTAATGACAGATTAATTAGGCTTAATAAATTCGTCTCGGTGTTTACAGGCGGAATTTATAATTTATTTTGTTATTAGTCTATATTTAATACTTCAAATGTGTGTCCGTATACTTCAAAAACTTTACGACCAAAGAACTAAACACACCCTATATCATTCGTTACAGTTAGCAATGCAACTGCTCATCAGTCCATCAGAGTTCAGTTGAGGCAAAATAATTGTTTGTTGCACTTTCTGAACCTGTCTGATGTGGAAATTTGTGAAGACTTGGGTGTACACTGAATCACATGTCTTGACTTGTGGGATTATCCGTATATTCTGACTTAATTTAATTCGTTTGCACATCATCAGCTAGTGACGTTTTCTTAAAATGGTGTGACGTTTTTAGTAGGAGAATCTGTATGGAATCATATGCTCTTGCTGCAGGAAATTGGCAACGACGAAATGCTAAACAGGAGGTGTAAACGTATTAATTGGTTTGTACTAGGCGACTTGGGTTAATGGGTTTATTGTAATATACTCACACGTTTTAAATTACATAACATTATATGCTTCTTTGTCCTAAATTAAATATGTATATCTTTAATCATTAATTTATAGAAATTTATATAATTTAACATCATAAGATTTATATTTTTAAGATTCACCATGGAAAATACCTTCATATAATTATGTTTTTTTTAAGATAATGGAATGCAACATCCTGGCCTTTGCTTAAGAGCTACAACCAATTATTACAAGGTTCACACAAAAGAAAATTTCATATAATTATGTATTGTTAAACGACTACATGGATTTTTAAAAATTAATGATCAAAGATAAAAGTGTGTGACTTAAGGCAAAAGCTAGAACGGTAAATAATTTGAAAGGAGCAAGTGCAACCTACTACTTAAATTAATCATCCATATGCTAAAATTAATTGAGAATTACTATGCTGATTTCGGAGAGGAGGGAAAAATAGAACTAATATACGTGACAGTACTGTTAATGAAATCATCCTCATTGTCATGAAATTATTTTTGTTTAATTTGTGGTTGAATTCATTTCCACACCAATCACATATACAGTGACCTTTCTAAATAAATAATGATAGTGGTGTTTTTCCTATTCTATAATTAATCATAGACTGGTAAGAGCTAGCACTAGATGTTTCGAGTGAGATGATTTCAAAATAGAGATTAGTTGAGGTAATTTAATTCTTATGAGAAATATGAATATTAGCGGTGACCACACTTCAGCTTCCTGCGATATAAAGTTATAAACTACTCCTAGTCATATATATAAAGGAAGGCAAATAGAATTCTAAAGCATACAAAAGCAACAAGATGAAAATTTTACCTTCCGCCCGTGTAAGGTTGAAATTATTTAGTTAGAAATGATGCAAATATGAAATAAGCAGTAGCACTAATTAATGCGGTGATGGAGCAATCTTAGTACTCATAATTACACATGTGAGTACGCTTGTAGCAGAAATTTAATGAGGTATATGGAATTATCGTTATTCCACGGATCTAGGAAGAAATAATATAAGAGTCTGAAGAAACTAATGAAATTAAAGCCTTCTTCCCATCTACTTATAACAAAAAAAAATTTAGTGAAAGCTTCGTGGGGGTTTCCATAGTCGTCGTCCCAGTAGGCCCGAGAGCCTATCTCTTTCATGTTAGATCCGTCCTACAAGTTAAATTGGATACACTAACAGATGTTGGAATACTAACAGATGTTGGAATGTACAACAGGGAGTAGCAATCACTGATGTGTGAGCCTCCCACGTGTCATTGACTACTACTGCACCAGTAATATTGCAAAGGATCCATATCATGGTAGCATGTATGAGCATGCGTTTTTATTGTAATCAGAAAAAAAAAATCAATAGACGTTGACTTGGACCAGGCAGGCAGGTTGGGCTGTGCGTTTTAAGCCGATCTACAGTATGCCAACGTTTAAAGCCAAGATCGGTCCAAACGTTGTAGTTTTGTGGGAGATGTTAAATATGTGATCCAAATTAAGTTTAGTTAAGCACGTAATATATTCATTTTAGTTTACGACTCTTGGTCTTTTATCCCGTTATACTCCCTTCAGGCTGATAATTTTATCGTTTTGATAAGGTTATTGTCAAACTTTAAAAACTTTAACTATAAATCTAACATCTAAAGTATTTATCTTAGAAATATGGTGATCACATATATAGATTATCTTAAAAAGTGCTCCAATAAAATTATATATTTATTGATATTTCTATATATATTGTAATAAAAAATACTAGTTAAAGTTATTTTTTGTAGACCATGTTATTGTCCAAAACGATAAGTATTGTCAGCCCTGAGAAAGTATACTTCTTGTAAGCCACATGAAAAAGGGTGATGTCTTAATATTATTGTTCCTCTGAGTTTGTAACCAACTTATATTACAAGTGATCTTCTAAATCGACTGCCTATAAAAATAAGGGTATTTTCATAGGCAATCAGCTTAAGGCAGTCATCTTTGGAAACACTTGTCCACAAGTAGTCCATGATGCACCTCCCCCTTGGTATACTACACAGATTTAGAGAAGTGTGTCCTGTCCCAACACATCACTTCAGCTTCTCATCTCTTTGTTCCCCAATGGGACAGAGCACCTCCTCCACGTGGCGAACCAGCTACATGATGGCCTTTCATTCGGCAAACTCATCCTGGTGACCAATTCTTTGCTGGTTCGTCCCCACCCTCTTCCCCACCTCTAGGGCCGATAGTGCCACCGTCGCTTTCCCGCACTACCCCATCACTACCACCGTCCTCTACAGTTCTACGCCTCCCAACCTAACTGGTTGGTGGCCTTTCCTAGCTACCCACTGCCGATCAGCCACTCCCATGACCATCCCCATTGAATCCCCACACTTGCCTTTCCCAAGGCCCTCTTCCGACCTGCCCCGCACCAGAACCCTAAACATAACCCAGTGGTTGGAATCCACCCACATGCATGTTCTTGCATTAGCCTTTGTAGTGATCTCCCAGCAGCAAACATGTTCATTTGCACACATATAGAACACGATCACAATTATGATTTATTTCTTACATAACCTCAAACACAAATCACTCTCACAAAATCAAACACCACAAAAGATTGGATTTGTCGTGGCTCACATTATTTAATTATCAGGAAGCAGCAATACGGAGATGGATGTATATTATTTTGGTTTATGACAATTTTTAAGCATACTCGGTAGGGTGAGCGACGAGGTAGTCCTCGATCATCTTGAGCATGCCGAAGTAGCCGTCGAGGATGAGCTTCTCCTTCTCCGGCGACAGTGAGCCGCCGTCCTCGAGCTCATACTCCACGTTTATCTTGGCCAAGCAAGAGCCGGCACCGGCGGCCTCGATCTTCGTCTCTGTCACGTGCGACTTGAGCTTGCCCACCTTACTTCCGGCCGGCACATCCAGAACCTCTGACTTGATAATGTGAGCTGCGTTGTCACGTGCCACCACACGTGTTTTGAATGACCCCCCATCATCCACAGCTGCACATGATTGTAATATTTGTTACTATTTCGATTACACAGAATACGTACGGGCATATACGCACCGCCACACTCAACATGCTCTGTAACTGGGTAAGCCGTGAACCACAGCTTATTTTGATATATAAGTGGGTTTCACGGGTTAGCCACTTACATCCCTATGCTCAACCAGCCAACGAAGGCCAATTATAAATGAGTGAACTTCATTGAGTTTCTATTGGTGTAGAATACTGAATATAGGCATAAGAAGGGGAAAAGGGGGCAATCTATATTTTTTTGTAGTTCTAGAGGACCTACCAGGGTTGAGCTTCATGGTGGTGACAGTGCCCGCCCCGCCATCCCCCTCGACCTCAATGGCGTCGATGAAGCCGGCACAAACCTTGGGCATGGCGGGCGCGTCGGAGAAGACCTTCCACACCCGCTCCGCCGACACCGAGACGGCGCGCTCGTCGGAGATGCTGACCGGAGCCATTGGTGATATATCCCCCACCTGCAACTTCCTACTGATCACACCACTGCTTAGCTAGATACCTAGTTGCTTGAATGCTTTGTGCTTTAGAGGTGAGCAATGGCATGGGGTACTTATAGGCTGCAAGAGAAGAAGATTTCAGATCATTTAGTAGTACAGTTAGCAATGCAGCCGCTCAATCCATCAAAGTTCAGACTGGAACAAATTGGGTTGTGCTAAGAGTTAATTTTCTGAACTTGTCTGGTGTGGAATTGTGTGGGCAGGAGAGTTTGACTGGAGATCACATGGCTTGAACTGTGGAAATTCAGGGCTTCTGTTCCGCAGCCTGCTGGCCAGTTTCAGAGTTGTTGACTAGGGGATCTAGAAGGTCTGAAATTCAGACAGGATAAGAGACTAATCAGGGTTATGAAATTAATTCATCCAATACTTGACTAGTCTGGCACAATTATTTGTTGGTGACTGAACCTCTGTTTATTTGTACAAGCAACAATATTATACTATTGGTGTAGTTATTGTTAATGCCAAGAAATTAAATTATCTTCTTTTTTAAGAATGAGGCTGAATTTATCCGTATTTGCTTTCATTCGCACACAGTCAGATAGTGACCCTTCCTGAAAGACTGGTAGTGTCCTTTTTTAAAAAAAGTATTCTAGAAGGCATAGACTGTGAAGGGCCCTAGATGAAAATCGGATTGGGATCCGGTGCAGTTGCTAGTGTAACTGCAACTTAAGCAGTTGCACTAGCACTGCATGATAACAAATCAATGGTTCATATCAATGCATCACTGTAGCACATGTATACTGTAGCAAAAAATATATTGTTTTATGTGTTTTGTAGCAACAAATCTGGACCGTTGGATGAAAATACAAATGGTCTAGATTGCTTGCAGCCCTTACTGTGCAGTTGTAGTAACAACTGCACCTGATCTCAACCCATGGAAATCATGCGTCTTGCTGCAGGAAATTGGCTTGAAAAAAAATGCTAACTATAGGGGTAAGTGGATTTTATCTGTAGCTAAGAGTAAATTGCACACCTTTGATGATCAATCATTGATCAAAAGTAAATCGCATTAACAAAACATGAGCTAGAAACATTTTCGGATGACTTTTTTAATATATAACGCAGTTGAGCTTTTCAATATACTTGACCATTCATCTTTCCTAGAAATATTTGTGCAAATAGACAAACATACTATGCACTCTTAAAGTACCTTTGATAATTTTGATGACAGATTTTATTTACTTAACTAAACAATTAAATAAATAGTGCTGTAAAAGAATTAATTTGGTACATATTAAAAAAGGAGGAAGTATTATAAATAATTCAATAGAAAGGAACACCCAGAAGCCTTCACGGCATGAAAATTTGGGAAAAAATCCATTGAGAGTCATATGTAAAGATTCCAAGCCCAATATAGGCCCATTTACTACTGGCATTGTAGTGGTAAAAGTCTATATTGGAGTCCCTCAACTATAACCCGAATCTAATTCACATCCCTCAACCATATCACTTTGTTTAATTTGCGTAAAAAGAATAAGTCAAAGCCAAATGTTAATTTTAAAATTTAATTTTGAATTTAATTTTAATATATTTTCAACTTAGTTTCTTTTTCAATATTTGCTTTTATAAAAGTTTTACATATAATTTGTTTTTCTAATAAACTGTTACAGCTTAGTGCTTACAATCAGCTTTTTAGAGAACTGATGAGACTTTTAAATTAATTACTCCTTATATGATATTATGTTCAAAACAATACGAAATATAGGACCAGAGGGAGTAGTAGCTATGATGATCGTCTGCAATACAGCAGACTATTCAGGTTCAAGCAACAGATAATCTTAGAGGCTGTTTGATTTATTGTCAAATACTCCCTTCGTCTCATAATATAAGAGATTTTGGGTGAATGTGATTCATCGTACTAGGATATGTTATATCCACCCAAAATCCCTTACATTATGGGACGAATGGAGTATTGCCTAAGGCTATCACGCCATATATTAGACAAGTTTAAGTTAGCTTATTATTTAGTTCATGACCACATTTGTAGTAAAATTCTTTCTCATTTCTCATGGTCCCACATGCCATCAACTTGAAAAGTATAACACATTATTCTTTTGCTAGCTAAAGCCACTACTAGAAAAATAATTTGCGCTGGCGGCCAAAAGAGGTTTTCTTTGACGGCTGAGCGGCCCGCCATAAAGTAAAGGCTAGAGAAAATCCTTGCTTTTCACAAGCGGCCACAATACCGGTTGAGAAAATCAATTTTCATAAGCGCATCCTTAAGAGGACCGCCAGCGAAAATATTCTCTGGTGCAAAAAAAACAAAAATTCAAATTCAATCCGATTCAAATATACCCCTCAATTACAAATTCGATCACAAATTCACAAATACAAGTCCACAATCACAAATTCAAGCATTGATTCAAATATGTCGGCATCACAATGCAATTTCATAATCACAAATCAAAATTAATGGCTTGCCGATGGAGGACTTGCCGATACAGGACATGAACGAGCCACCGCCGGATCCGCCATTTGCCTCCCGCAACCGAGCTCCGCTGCTCGCACATCACACCGCCGCCGCCCGACGGATCCAGAGCTCTCCTCCCTTTCCTCCACCGTGCCTTCCCTTCATCCTCTTCCTCCACCGCGTCATCACCTCCTCCCCCTTCCTTTGTCTTCACCGACCACTCCCCTCCAGCCAAATCTGGGAGAGGGAGAGGGTCCAGAGGGAGGGAGATGGGGAGGGGTCGGCCGCTGCGGGGCATAGGGATGGGGTGGAGCTGAAGCCGCTGCCGGATGTGGATGTAGGTCGAGGTCGTTGTGGATGGCAGAGCTCGCGTGGCCTTGGATCCGCACTCCACCGCCTTGACCTATCGTCGCTGCGAGCCCTCGCCTCTGATCTAACCGCCGCCGAGCATGGCAGCCGCCTCGATCCGCCTGCGCACCGCCGCCTCGATCCGGCTACTAGGTGTGCCGCCGCTGGGCACCGTTGCATGCTGGAGCACCACCACCCAGAGCTGGGAGAGGTGGGAGGAGGGATCGAGAATGGAGAGAGAGAGAGAGAGCTAGGAGAGGACGGCCCCCTCTACATCTCCCTCCCTCTTGAGTGGGAGAGGTGGGAGGAGGGATCGAGAGTGGAGAGAGTGAGCTGGGAGAGGACAGGCCCCTTCCCATCTCCCTCCTTCTTGAGTGGGATTTTCCTGTAGATAGATAGACCATTCTTTTATAGCGCCTGTAGGGCGTTTTTCCTAACGCTCTTAGCCGACCACCAGCGAAAATAGATCTTCGTTGGCTGTCACATAAGAGGTCCGCCAGCAAAAATAATTGTATCTTTGCTAGCGGCCCTCTTAATCTAGCCGCCGTGAAGATCCATTTTTACTGTCGATCCGTTGCCCCCCCCCCCCCCCCACCCCTCGTTCTATTATCGCTGGCGGTTTTCGCGTATAATTGCCAGAAAAAAAAATTGGGTGATGCCATGAAAAAAATCGATTTTGTAGTAGTGAATGCTGCTTACTTTTTATTGGTCATAGCTTAGCTAAAGTGTAGCACAATAACATGACAAAATATGCTCCATTCTGGTGGCATGAGGCAAAGAAGAGACATAATGGAGAAAATGATGGTTCAAATCCATGGTAGCGAGATTTGAAATAGTGGCAATATATTTTTTTTCTTGAACACTCAAAATTCAGAGAGCGGCGCAATATTAGTATAGCATCAAACAAGCCTAGTACCTATTGAAGAATGGCACATACTGATATTATCTTTTCGCCGGGCCATACTGAAATTAATGATCTTTTAGGTCAATTAATTGCATCACTAATCCACATCGCGGTTCTTAGAAGGACATGCCAAGAATTGATACTTCGATAGCCTTCCGGCCATCCCTTTGGTCCCATTTTTTGTGTTCAAGTTGCTCTGGAGATGCTATGATGAGGCTAGGACCCACAAAGCAATTAATGCACTGATCCAATCTACTACTATCCAATTTTCTTTATTTTGGAATGGAGTGAGAAAAAAAATAGGGAGCATTTTTCTCTCTAGCAGTAAATCCACTGAAGTTTTCTGCTGGCAGTAACTGGACCTGCATTCTATCATCCAGCAGGTATTCCACATCCTCCTTTGACTGCCTTGAGACACTGGACAAGCCTGAATCTTTGTTTTGGTCTGAAACTTTGTTTTTGGATGTACTCCTTGTACAATGATATGTTGCATCACATGATCAGTTCAGTATTTTTAACAACTGGGATCCAATGCTATAATGGTACTATTGTTTTACAGAATCTTCTGTTTTGGATGTGCTTATCTTAACCTCGGACCTGCACAAGACAGTAGTATAGTTTCAGTAAGTGATATTTTTTTTTCTCTGCAGAACATAGTAAATTTCATTCACATGTTGGCATCAGTATCACAATCTTGACAAGCACATCAGGCTGCACATGGTGCCCAATTGAAGTTAGATGGGTAGTACAATACAATACAAGAAATGATACCTTCACCAAATCATCAGCTAACCATCAATGCCAGCTCTCCTCCTCATATGGCTTATTATTTATCATCTTGTGCTTGCATAAATGGCAACCCAGAAATGAGCTAGCTAACACTGGCATTGCAGCAATGGCGACAAAGGGAAGCTAATAATATCCAGGAGGAGACAAAGGAAGCAATCCACATCAATCTAACAACTCCATTGACACCAAATTTATTGACACCCTGGCCTACACAACAAGGCCAGCCTGTGAATTCCAGGATACCATGTGATATGCTGTTTTTTTTTATTGGATGCTCTCACAAGATTGATTGGGATATACAGGGTGACTCAATCATAATATGTTTTATTTTATATGACCAAAATTGACAGTAGTATGGAGAGACTCTCTAAGACTTATCCCCTCTACCAAAAAAAAATGTTTTTTTCTTACAGATTGAATGAACAAATCTTAACTGTACAAGCAAACACTTCATTGTGCAGAGAACCCCTCTAGACTTCCTCATTGACAAACCAGCATAGATTGTTCCATCCATGAGCCTCAAAGCTGGTAGCACAAGAAGAGTGGTGATTCTTTTGTACACCTATTTGGAAAGAATTTGGAAGGAAGATGGTGACAAAAGTTGGATTTTTCTCTGGATTGTACAAGGACTGGAACAGCGAAGGATGGACACTTGGTACTTTATGCACTTATGCTGCAGCAAGGGCATGGTAGGTAAGAAGGGAGAAGCAGATGGAAGAATTGGAGGATGAATGGTGGAGGTCTGGGCAAGGCTCTGGAAAGACCAACTCAGAGTATCCGGAGATGTTGGAGCAAGACCAAGAGCTGGATTGTGTCGAATCAGCTAGGGAGAAACTGATGTTGGAGAGGCAGATATTGGTGAATGGATCACCGTTTATTCCCGACAAAACTCCAGCAACTGATATGTTTGTTCCAACCATGTTCTTCAGTGTGATTCGGTTGATCATCGGGAGCGCAGAAGGATCAAAATGGTTATCTGGGTGTGTCGACCAATCGCCAGTGAATTTAATGGCGACATTAACATCTTCCATTTGGACATCTGATATTACAACATCTCTTATATAACCTCCACGGCCGGGTGCAGTCTTGAAGAGGATGCCTCTAGAGGAACCATGGATATTAAGGTGATCAACATGAATATCCGAAATACCACCAGACATCTCACTCCCAAATGCAAGAGCAGCTCCAAGTGAGGCTTGGAGATCTACTCTGCTTATGTGAATGTCTGATGCCGGCCTTCCAATGGTAATGCCATAGTTATCCCACCCACTTTTTAACGAGATAGCATCATGAGCGACGCTAATACTGCTATCTTCAATGCACATATTAGAGCATGAATCTGTACCAAGAAAGCAACAGAAATAAGTCAAAACATTTGGATGTTCCGTAGCAAACCAATGTGGGCAGAAAGATCAGGAAAACAATTGACATAAGAAGTTTGAAGTTTTCCCTTGCTATTTGAAGTTGGAATGATGCATATTATCAGAGTAATGATCTCGTTTTCTAAGCCTGATAGTCCTGTTCTTTTACAGCTTCCTAATAATAGTACATATTTATTATGATGTAATCTTTATCTACGAGAAAAGTAGAATATATCTAACTGACAAAATTTTACAGATTACATGGGTTAAATATGATGCATGGACTCCTGTAAAGTAATGAATGTTTCTCTAAAAGAAAGTAAACGTAATGAATGTCTAAAGGTAAAATGCAGTGTTACCTGGAACAATTCCATCGGTAAGTGGAGCATCCAATGAGGTTCGAATGGTGACATCGTGGACCATTACATTGCTGGAGAAAAAATTGTCTTAGCGTGCCTATAATTGATTTGTGGATCCATGTTCCAAACATTACCTACAAAATAAAAGTGAACGTACCTACAAAACACTGGATGTATACCCCATGCAGGGGAATTCAATAATGTCAAGTTTGAAATCACAATATCTTCCGAATCCACAAACTCCACAAGATGAGGGCGGCTATAGTTCAACTTATTCGAGCGAAACCAGTTCCACCATGTCAAACCCTGGCCATCTATGATTCCATTGTTCCCTGGAGCAAGTGCATTTTAAGAATGCAAAATAAATACAATAACAAAAACAACGAACTGAAAAAACAAACTCTTAGCATGTCACAGAAGACTGTATTTACCTGTAATTACAACATCAGTCACATTGTGTCCATTTATTAAGCTGCGATGCCTCGCACCTGGAAGATCGATTCCTTGGCCATATGATGGCAACGGTTCTACAATTGGCCATTCTGATACCTCCTGTAGCAAAAATGCAAAGGCATACAGTCAGTTTCAATACTTGTCATAGGGAGCAAGGCACCATTTCTCACAAGTATTCTCTTTTTCATTGATTTGTTTTGCTTGTATAAGATTTCACGGTAGCATCACTAGTTTTCGAACATTTCACACTTCAATAAGAATGCAGTGGAACAGTAACCTAAGAGATGCCATCAGAACACACGAAAAAATTTGTATATTACAGGCAACCAATCCAAATCAGCCAGCCTGTTAGCACTACATCCCAATTGCGGCATGATTAGAGATAGCGGCTTGACTTCAAAACAATGCCATCGTAAATTGTCTTTCCTTAGCTGCTGTGCTGCCTTCACATGGGATGGCTACATGTTACCAGTAAATACTGCTCCACAGCTCCAGTGTTTACTAGACTGGCTAAGGCCCAAACAACAAGCAAATTAATATTATTCATCCAAAAGAGATCATTTTTCATGGTAAACGAACTAGCAAATTTACACCATTTACGAAATATGGTAAAAATCAGTTCAATGCAATATTTTCCACCAAACAAACGAGCTGACCGCTAAAAACCGTCTGAATACCAAAAGCTATACCCTTTTCTACAGTAACGCAATCGAAATCGACGGATAAGCCCACAATTCATGCAGCAATATCCCATTCAATCAATCAAGTCAGTCCGCGCACATCGTCGCAAACAGGTAGGTGAATATGATGATGGCCAACCAATCCATGGATTAGTAAGTCCATCAAACCCATCAAATCAAATACCAATGCAAATGCAAACGCTCATGCTAATCAAAACGAAACATTCACAATGTGTAGGCAGTGAGCAACAAGAAGAAGAAGAACAACCTTGGCGCCGATGATGACGGCGTCCTTCTCGAGGAAGATGGTGAGGTGGCTGGTGAGGTTGAAGCTGCCGGTGAGCCACCTCCCCCGGGGCACGTACAGCTGCGCGCCGCCCTTGTCGGCGAACGACCGGAGGTAGAAGATGGCGTTCTGGAACGGCAGCGTGTTCACCGTCACCCCGTCGCCCACCGCCCCGAACTCCGAGATCGTCACGCTGTGCGGCCGCGGCCGAGGCCGCCGCGCACACCTCGCCGCCGCCGCCTCCTCCTCCCCACTCGCCACCCCAACCGCCACCGCCACCGCCGCCATTGCCACAACCAGCACCTGAAATTGATGAAAACCAAAACCAAGATCATTCGGAGAAGCGGAAGCAGGCCGCATTCGGGAGATCTCCCCCCAAACAAAAGATCTCGAAACAAATCAAGAACCCAGTGATGCGCTTTTGCCGCGAGAGCGAGCAGCAACCCCCCATTTTTGTTCCCATCCCAAGATTTAGTGATCGGACGTACTTACTACTAGCCCCGCCATGTATGAATGAATCAGTCTCCTTCTTGTTCCTCCCCTTCGGCGGCGGAATGGGGAGAGGCGAATCGCGGGGGAGGGAGAGGGGGGAGGAGGAATTGGGCTTGGGATTGGAGATTTGGAGGGGAATGGGACAAGAGGAGAGGAGGAAGAAGAAGAATAAGAAGGAGGAGGAGGAGGAGAGGGGAGAGGAGATGAGAGGTTTTGCTTGATAGTATTTTGCTGCTATAGTTTGCCTTTGCATTTGTTTTAAACTCCCTCGTCCCGGTTTGAGTGCAGCCAGAGTTTTCGTTTCCAACTTTAATAGTGTCTTATTTAAAAAAATAAAAAAAACATAATAGTGTCTTATTTAAAAAAATAAAAAAAAACATAAGTATTATTTATGTTTTATCATCTAATAACAATAAAAATACTAATCATAAAAAAAATAATACGATAGATAATCGAAGTTGGACATGGAAATTTATAGTTGCGCTTAAAATAGGCGGAGGGACTACTGCTTTGTAGGTAATTACATATATGGAGTAAATTTCATAAAATCTCATAGTATCTACTATTTTATTCAAACATATTCATCCTCTCTTGTATACTTCAAGTTGCATATAGCCACAGAAACTTTGACATGTGATATATAATTTTAGGTATTATATTATCCTAACGTTTTACAGAACCACGTTACTGATTGTTTTTGGCTTTAATCTACCATGTTTTTTAGTTCTACAATCACATCTCAAATTTATGAGTATTTTATCCATCATACAAATGTTGTATCATTTTTAAAAATTTTTGCTATAGGAGTCTATCAAATTTATGAGTATTTTATTCATCATACAAATGTTGTATCATTTTTAAAAATTTTTGCTATAGGAGTCTATCAAAGTAGTTAACGGTGTGGTTTTGTAAATCTTGAGAATCATAATACCTGGGGTTATGTGTCACGTGTCAAAATACATGTTTTTTTAACTTGGACTATAATAGGTTGAGTTTTATGAAATTTACTCTTATATAAATGAAGTAATAATAAGTATGTAAATTATTATTATTTATTAAACCAGTGGAAATATGTTTTAATAAAATAGTACTGGTAAAAATCAAGTATAGTGGTGTTGTCATGATCACCATGTTGATGTCATTGTGCCACTAATGTCAAAGTCTCATAGAGATATGCTTAAGTTTTTTTCATATATGTACAATTTATATGCAGTAGGAGAAAAAATGGACTATAATTTACTGGATCAATCTATATTTGTAGTCGTTTGTATTGTTGCTATCGTCCTGCTGTGGTTTCTGGCTAGGAGACCGCTTACATATACTCATTTATTTACCGAAATTTGTCTTGGTGTGCCTATAGATTTGATGGGCGCACGCGCTAATAAGGTTTGGTAAAGAAATGTGACAAACATGCCCTAACAAAAAAAAGTACTAGTAAAAAAGTTTACACCTTCATAGGATAGAAAATTAAATTGATTTAAGTTTCTCCCCGTCTATCACCAATACTATCTAAGATTGCTCTCTTATAAGATGTCATCAACAATTTTGACATGCCCACCAATATTTGATATACAATATCTTTTTTATCACATATAGCACATCGATAAGTTAAACACTGACCTTACTTTGACTTTTTTGTTCGTTTACCTTGCTTAGTTCATCAGCCTTACCTTTCATTGATGTGGTATTAGATGGTAAGAGGAAATCAAGGACAATGTTATTGTAACACCATGGCATTGAGGATCATGAGTAGGGGAGTGGCAACTGTACAGTTCCTATATGAGAATTCATGAGGAGCCATATGAAGAGGTGCTAAGAAGATTGGTACAAAGATTAACCCCTAAAAGATCAATAATATACACCATCAAAGTAATAAATAGGGAAACTTGCTTCGCCACTAATGGACAAATTAAGAGGGTAGAAAATACAGTGCAGAGTAACAATTCCCGCGCTCTTGTGTATTGTATGTGCATATGAGGAAGAGGTAATGCTTTTTTTTCACCAAAAATATATAACATTGTAAGAATGAGACTTTTTGGAATTTCATTATGAAGCTTTCAAAACATTAAGCTAGATACGGAATTTTTTTTAAGATAATAGGTACAAAGATTTCTAATCTGATGATTTTCATTTATATTCATTCATGGATTATCATAATGTAAGAAAACATTGAATTACCACATATAGAATTCTCATCTGATTTTTCTGCAGTGAAGTTATATATATATATATATATATATATATATATATATATATATATATATATATACATATATATATATATATACATATATATATACATATATACATATATATACATATATATATATATATATATATATATATATATATATATATATATATATATATACATATATATATACATACATATATATATACATACATACATATATATATATACATACATACATATATATATATATACATACATACATACATATATAGGACACTCATATGGGGCACCATGGTATCTAATGCACAAAATTACTCAAATTTTTCAAAATTTTCAAATTGTGAGTATATACCTAGTTATAATAATTTGATTCATACCTATACTTATCAACAAAACAACTCAAATTTAACTTTATTTCACAATCCATGATTACATACCTAACTAATTATATGTATGGATGCTATATACCTAGAATCAAAATCTAACAAAAACAAGTTCAAATTCAGTTCAAACTTGCTTTAAACTAGTTAGTAAAGTAGTTAATGTTAATACCTAAGTAATTGAAAAAGTTTCATACTCATTTGAATTGGGTATATACTCAATTTCAACAATGGTGCCCGGGCACCATGGAGCACCAAACAAATTTACTACATATATATATATATATATATACATATATATATATATATACATATATATATACATATATATATATACATATATATATATATATATATATATATATATATTGCTTGGAGGCTGTGGTCATACCGACTATAGGTCTCGGGTTCATCTAATTTGGCACGATTTCTTGAGTCCATTTTAATTTGTAAGCACAAACAAAAATGTTTTTTTAGATAATACAAACAAAAATGTTGAACAAAAGAATATAAAACAGAACTAAAAGTTCATGGATTTCGTCATGGATTGCAGGGATCACAGATCGATCTGTTCAATGGATCACTCATCAATTTTGTCAAGGATGCATATGCTAATTATTTTTCTACACCAGATGATATGATCAACTTCTGCCGTTGGATCCTTCTTGAGGAGTTGATAATTATTTTTAATTTGTGTTGGATCATGTGATCGATCCAACTGGATTCTTAGGTTTAACAACTGGAAGGTCTTCGATCACTTGGAGTATACAGTCAGCGACAGCCTTTAGACTGAACATGCTGAGTAATGTACAACATGTTCAGTTCAAGATTAAGTAGCACCACATGTGACATATTTTTATGATCTCTCTAATGGAAAATATCACAATTATATATCAATCGCACAAAAATAATGACAGCTACCAACCGTGGATTCGACTTGGTATTATTAGATTCATACTGCCCAAGTCAATGTCCAAAGCAATCTAAATTAACAAATGAAGGTATTTTTCATATTTTGTGGTGTGTTGTGTTTATTTTCTAAGTTGTTGTGAAAAATGAAAAGTTATATTTTTGTAACTACTTGTTTCGCGGATCGAATTACAATTGGATCAGAGAAAATATATTATCCATGTGATGTCGCTCCCAATTATTTCACTAAAATATCAAAAAAAATGTTTGCAGTAAACGACATTATCATAATCCACCGTAATACCAAACAAAGTCTGGCTACTGGTATATATATTTTCCCTAGCTGTGAACCAAACAAGATTGAAAACAACTTAGAGTGTAAGTAGTGTTAACTAATACTAGCAATGATTGTATGAGACCTAACACATGTTACAATACTGTACACCTTTGATGATTGATGGTCTGTATAAACCTAATATTGGGTCCATATATAAACTGTACCAATGTAAAGTAGGAACCCCATGTGGTCTCTGTAGATGGGCCCAAATTTCTGCATGTGGAACTCCTCAGTCCTAATACCACACTTGGATGCTTAATTATAGCTTCCTTGGCGACTAATCTTAGCAAAGGTTTCCAATAGTAGATGAGATCTTTAACCATATGTGTAAATAAAATCATATACGAGCTAACGCAAATGGACGCGTGAACCATATACCTTTACATTATATATGTTTGATATATGAGATATTTCACGACTACCTTGGAGTGCGCCAATGTTCTATTATGGCTATATCTGTTTTTCATCCACGAATTTTAAAGGCCAGCTTGAAATTAGCCCACTAACTTTGACTGGTTTTCGACACTTTTTTTTTTAAAAAAAAACTGTTGCAACTACCATATGACATGTATGACGATCAAGGGCAGAAGGAACAAAACCATGAACAAAAAATGTCTGCAAATTAATTGCAGAGAGGGGGACCGTACATGTGCAAGCAGAGACACCATCATCATGTATGCTTGGAAACACAGTGGCTGAAAACACACTAGGCCCCTTTGAATTGCAGGGTTAAAAAAATAGAGAAATAGGAAAAATATAGGATTCTGATATGAATTGAAGTGTAAAACAGAGGATTGCAAAACACAGGAAAAACACAAGAATAGTCGTTTGATTGGAGCACAGGAAAAACGCAGGAATCGGATAAGAGAGATAGACTCAAAGAAAATTTTCCAAGAGGTTGGAGCTCATGCTATATTTCCTCTAAAATCCACATACAATGTACCATTCCATAAGAATTTCATAGGATTTGGAAAGCTTCAATCATTTGAATCCCTTAAATAGGAAAATGTCTTATATGATTTGAATCCTATGAAGTTTCTATATAAATCCTTTGATTCAAAGGGGCCTAAGTTCTGTGGTTTGAATTGAATTGAATCAGGCTGCAGTTGCCAAAATGCCAATGGGCCGGTATAGGTACACCAAATTAACGGTTTGTATAGGAGGTGCAGTGGTGGTGACTGTAGGTGTTGTGCCCAGAAATACGATGTAGAACGTGCACAGTAGGTGACCAATTAATGGTTCGGAGTATCTACAGTGAGCCAGCAAATTTATTTATTGATAAATTGACTGGGATTACAGCTAGTTTTACATAAAGACCCCTAAAAGATGGGCGAAGAACTGAGAAAACCTAAAAGTACAAAGAAGGACTTCTAAAGAAATAGAAAAAAA